TAGAATGTGAAAGACAGTTTTAACAGAATGACAGCCTCTGCAAATCGGTATTTTGATCTCCCAAAACGGTGTTTTTTGTTTTTGTAAAGTGTTTTACGGCGCTCGCAACTGCATAAGGTCATATGAGCGTGTGGGACACACCTAATATTTTCAGTTGGTAGGAAATTTTGAATTTTGCCCGGGCGGCGGCCGAAGCCTACTCTTATCGATTTTAGACCACCAAGGGATCTTTAACGTGCGCAACTTGCACACGAGCCCTCCGAGATTTTTCGCCCTTGTCCGAAAAGGCTAGGTGTAGATCTTTCCTACCAGAAAATCAGGGGTGTGGCTGAAAGACAGCAGTAAGGAGGAGCCAAGGAGTAGCATTAGAAAGTCTGCAGAAAGAGTCAGGAGCCCAGAGGAGGGGGCAAAGGAGGTGAAGGGGTGGGGGTGGGGGCAGAAAGTGGAAATGAAAGCAGACAACAGAACATTGCTAGAGAGCAGGAAAGGAGGTGAAAGGAGACAATTTTACCGAAGAAAATTTTTCGGTCGCTACCCGGATTCCAACCCGGGACCTTTGAATGAGAGGCCAACACCTTAACCTCTAGGCCACGAGAGCCCCCATTAAACCTTTAATCAAAGTTCAGTTACATTTCATGTGTAAGCAGCACACCTTAAAGACACCTTGACTGATGAAAGTCGACAAAAGCAAGCCTACTGCAAGGACCTTAACAAACAGCACACTGCTACCTATAACAGAAATGTAAGGAAACGAACACTATGGTAAGAAAATAAAACAAGTGGTCTTAATATTTATAAGTTGCACTGAGACTTCAAATACACCATCAGCTACCAGATCTTCAACACGGCAATACAAGCTCATGACATTCACCTACCATTCTATGCTCTCACTCGATCAACACAGACAAAACAGAAATGTAGCACCCATAAGAGTACCAAGCACTAAATACATTGCATGACTGCACAAAAACAACCAATATCACAGAAGTCCATAATACTCTTTTTTAGCTACATCTCCATCGACACACAGCAGTCGAAAAAATTAAAATAAAGGTTGTGAAAGTCTATATTTGACTTTAAAGCGTAATGAACAAATTTTCAATTAGAAAAGTGACACAAGCAACAGACAAAAGTCATAAAAATCTGGTCACTTTTTCATGTCATCACAATCTGACTACTGCTAACAACTTTACTAGCAAAAGTCTTCGTTTGTATTGGTAAGTGCTTTACAGAGCTCGCAATTGCATAAGGTCACATGAGTGCGCGGACACAGTTTGGTAGGAATTAATTTTGAATTTTGCCACGGTGGCGGCCGAAGCCTACTCTTATCGATTTTGGAACACCAATGGATCTTTAACATGCGCAACTTGCACACTGGACCACAAAGATTTTTCGCCTTTGTCTGAGAAAGCTAGGTGTTAGATCTTACCTACCCTAAGATCAGCGGAGTGGCTGAAAGACAGCAGTAAGAAGGGGCCAAGGAGTGGCAGTAGAAAAGTTGCAGAAAGAGTCAGGAACCCAGAGGAGGAGGAGACAGAAAGTGAAGACCAAAGCAGACAACAAAACATGGTTAGAAAGTAGGAAAGGAGGTGAAAGAAGACAATTTTCCATCGCTGTTAGGTTTCGAACCTGGGGCCTATTGAATGAGAGACCAACTCCGCAACCTCTAGACCACGAGAGCCCCCTGCAAAAGCTTTATCCCATTCACTCTTAGCATTAGAATTTCTGCATGTCAAACAATTGTGAAACATTTTCTGCCTATCCAAAAATTGACAGATGAAATACAAACTGCATGCAGGATCCTTGGCTTTAGGAAGTCAAATTGTCAAGAAAGGTGTGAATAGAACACAAAAAGCATTGCCATACAATTTATATTATTAAAAATATCTGATACAACCCAGACAAATGAGTGGTAGGGAAAATGAATTTTAAAAAAAGACACAAACTAACCAAGTGCAGTGAAGTCAGAGGGGGAAAATCCAAAATCAGTAAGGCAAGGTAGTGAAAAGAGCATGCTGCAATGAGTGAGAAGCAAGACCGAGCACAATAGAGACGGCAAAAATCATTGTGAGCCCTCCTATAAACACTTACACCAGATACGGGGTGGTACACCTATCCCATGGGAAGTCCATAAATAAAAATCCTAAACAAACACACACACTTTGTGATATTAAAAGTCTAAAACTTTCCTCGACAAGATTTAGATTATTTTGATAGAAAAGCATGTAGCACCCCACAAAGACAAGGTACCAGAAGCATTATCAAGAAAACAGTTAAGAAGGCTAAAAAAATTCAAATCTCACTCAGATTAAAATCCAAAACTCCCCTGTGTGGGCTAAATAATAGCCAGCAAAGACATCATACATTAGGAAAGCGAAGGTGCAAGTATCACCACATTGTCTGCCCTGCCAAAAGCAAACAATGCCTGATCTAAAAGAGTTTTATTTCTTTGTGTGCAAAATGCTATCAACATCATAGATAAGCAAGTGCCATTAGACATTAGAATGTGAAAGACAGTTTTAACAGAATGACAGCCTCTGCAAATCGGTATTTTGATCTCCCAAAACGGTGTTTTTTGTTTTTGTAAAGTGTTTTACGGCGCTCGCAACTGCATAAGGTCATATGAGCGTGCGGGACACACCTAATATTTTCAGTTGGTAGGAAATTTTGAATTTTGCCCGGGCGGCGGCCGAAGCCTACTCTTATCGATTTTAGACCACCAAGGGATCTTTAACGTGCGCAACTTGCACACGTACACGGGCCCTCCGAGATTTTTCGCCCTTGTCCGAGAAGGCTAGGTGTAGATCTTTCCTACCAGAAGATCAGGGGTGTGGCAGAAAGACAGCAATAAGGAGATGGGGCAAAGGAGGTGAGGGGGTGGGGGGCAGAAAGTGGAAATGAAAGCAGACAACAGAACATTGCAAGAGAGCAGGAAAGGAGGTGAAAGGAGACAATTTTAGAGAAGAAAATATTTTGTGGTCGCTACCCGGATTCGAACCCGGGACCTTTGAATGAGAGGCCAACACCTTAACCTCTAGGCCACGAGAGCCCCCGGTTATCTGTGTTTTCTAAGATGGAAGAAGAATGAAAGTACCACCACAGCTAAAAGTATTATTGCCCAAAAATGCTCAAATAGCCAAACTTAGTCACAGCAAAGGCAAGAGGTGCACAAAAGAAGCAAATCTGCAAGACACAGGCAACGAGGGAAAGCTGGGTCAATCTGTAATAAGTTCTAATCATCAGTGAACACAAAAATCTGATGTAATGTATTTCGTTCAGTATCAAATTAAATTGAATGACAAAAAGACAACTGACAAAACAACAGAACTGGTGCTGAGAGCAGAATAAAATACACAAGGATTAATGAACCATCGAGAGAGATCAGTGCAAAATATAACATTTTTTACGTGTATCAGCACTAGAAAATAAAATGAAAGGTTTACAGAGTGAGAGTTTAAAAGACTATGAGTCAAACATCTAATCTTGAAAACAAAAATGGTTAAATGGTCTAGGCTACTGATGCCACGTCTTATCTTGCTGATGTTTTAAACTAGCTTGATATTTGAGAGCATCAGTTCTTCACTTTCACATAAAAGTTTTTTTAAAGCTAGAATTTCTTCATTTTTCTACAGAATGGAATTGAATATGCACTTAGATGACAAAAAACATTAACCTGTGTTATGAGAAACCTGGATGTATAAAATAGACCTGCATGTGAGCCTCAACCAGATTGTCTGAAAATTTTGCGCAAGCTTTTGTGGGTGTCATAAGGAAGGACTTCCGAGTAACGAGCGACCACCCCATCAAACACAACAAAGAAGAGACCTAACCCTACCCCTACCCCTAGGCCTACCCCAAAAAAGAACCTGCAACGAGCCTCATGTGAAAAGGCCAGCAAAAGTCCAAAATGAAAAACATTTTTAAAATTAAAAAACCACACTCCAAAACAAACAAGGCTTACAAGGTCAAGGAGCATAATGGCCCACATCTAACATTGCTAGATCTATAATAATAGGGTTTGATACAATAACACAATAGATTCTAGAATTGGAATATGAATCCTCCATATAGATCTAGATCTAGTAAACTAAATAAATCTAGATCTAGATATTGTAGAACAAGTGAATAGGATCTAGGAATAGGCCTTGAACTAGAAATCCGCATCCGATTCCGATCAGAAGGGCTCAGCTGAGTCTAGACTTGGTCTAGATTCTAAATAAATAAATAATTCACGCACCTGATGAAATGCCTTTTACCAACATTAATATTACAGCACAGCCTATGATAGGGTTTGACAAAATAGAATTGGAATATGAATCCTCCATTGAGGTCTATAATGATCTATATAAATCTAGATCTAGATCTAGATTCTATTATCTAGCCTAAGTGAGTCGGACTGGAATGAATCCACACGATCTGAACAATTGAATTTGTCAACAAAACGAAATTCAAAATGGCCGCTCGAGCACGAAACTGAAAGTAAATAATTTAGGTCGTCGTCCTTTTTCGTATTCACATTTCTACTCAGGTTCCGACAATTATGTCGGAAACGCCGACGTCGGCAGTCGGTGGTCGGCACGAAAACGAAAGTGCCGACAAAGCCGACGGGAGAAAAGGGGGACGCTGGCAGTCGGCCAGGCCTCGCACTTAGCACATTGACTGATACAGGTGGGCCTAGCGATAGCATCGGGCGCCTCGCGGGTCGCGTCGCGATTGTCGGATTTCAGACGATTGTCGGCAAACATGCAGGTCTAATGAAAAAACAGAAAAAGAATCTGAAAGCAAAATTTCACAACTTGAAAAGAAAAAGCAGCTTTAAAAAACACTCAGATAACTCTTTCAATATCCTCTTCTTGGCCTTTCACTGAATTTTCATCTGCCAACAAAAAAATACCAATCCATCTCCCCTCTCCCTCCCATCCAACATTCCCAATACCCTCCAGGCGTGAGGCACAAGTGGCTAAAAAAAAAAAAAAAAAAAAGCAAGCTATGGCTCATACCTTTTTGATCCATTGACTGAACTGGAGGAAGAGCGAACAGAATCCTTACTGCTCTCATCCACATTGACACTGGCCAAGTGAGAAATCCCCCGGGTTGGGGTGCTCGACGGAGTGGATGTCGAACTAGAGGTTTGTCTTTGACCTGTGAAAGAGCATATAGAGGATTCAGATGACTATTTGTCAGTGACGTAGACATTCACTGCGCAATTTAAAAAAACAAACTATTTTTTAGGGGGGGGGACGTGAAAAAAACAACCCAATTCAGTAAACTAATACCAGTGCTTCTAACAGCTGAAGCTGAAAAGTAAGGAAAATTCTGCAGCACAATCGGCCGATCCCATCTGTAGTGGACACGCCCGTGTATCAGCATATCATATTTTTTTCATCGCGGCCCTTATATTGCGTTCACGTGCCATAGAATCTTCGCATTGATAATTTCTCTAGATCTAGATAAAATTTGCTAAAAAAGTTTCTTTCCGATAGTAATTTTCTGTCTAAGATCAAAATTAGTCTTGATCAACGCGCAGATTTTCCAGCCGCGGCATCAATCCGAAGATAGACAGAAGGAATGAGTGAATGACAGAAAGGAGGAAGTTGGCACAAAAGGTTCGCCAGATTTGGATCCATCTGCAGGTAAAAAATGTACTGCCGACCAACACGCAATGAATGCATGGGACTGGGACATAGCGGTATAATGTCCGATTGCCGGAAATGCGCAATTTGGCAGGTTTCTATAACGTTAACTTGTTGCCGAGAGAATTATCGTAAATATCCGTAACTTATACAAGACGATACGAAGGCGAGTACGGAATTTCGGCAGTCCTGCACTGTCACAGTTTTTTTTACGGAGGGAGTTGATAATGATGGATGAACAAGTACGGAACAGGCAGAAAGTACGGATTTCCGTAAAAATACGGAAGAGTGGAAGCACTGTAATACTAAGCCTTTTAGTAATCACTCATGATCTGTTCCACTTCACCACCACGTTGGGGGAACCAGAATAAGCTCAGACACAAAAATTTCCCATTTCATTATTGTTGCAAGAGGCGGATGACGCTGGAATAAAAATTCAACAGAAAGAGACAAACCTCATCACAGAAGGATGGACAATACGTGAATGGTATTTTATCATATTCTGTTACCTTTTGTGTTCAAACAACTATTACCGTACACGCAGAAAAGGCACACATAGTAACAATGATGGCGAAAGTAATTATTTTATATGACCCTCAAATTGATAAATGTTGTGTATTCTAGATCTGCTTGCGAACAGTCCAAGAACACCAACAACATTAAACATTAATAAATGAAACAACTTCTCGGGTTGTGTTCCAGAGTTTAATATAAGACTTAAACTTTACATGACTGCGGCTTGTGCTGCCGTAAGCTAGACATCTTTGTTGTTTATCTGTGTATGTGTGTGTGAGTGTGTTACTCTTTTCTTGCTCTCAACGATACCGATATACTGATCATTACAGTACTCGTTATGGAATACTGAAAATGGGTACTTATAATGTTACATTATGATTATTCTACTTTACAACAATAACCACCACGCTGGAGAAAAATTATAAACTTTTAAAAAGAAAATGCCTTAGACATTTTACATAGTGCAAATAAATACATAAAGGGATGGAAAATGGAAACATCTCGTTTTAATATCTACATTTGAAAAACTATCACCTTATGGACTTTGCAAGCCATAAAAAAAAGCAGTGAAAATCAAAAACAATGTTGGGAAAAAATCAGACGATATATATATCACAGTTCATGAATATACAAAAAGACTTACTTCCAGTTCTCCTCAGTAATCTCTTTGGGGAGAGAGTAGATGAGGGAAACGAGCGCCGCTTGCTAAGAGAAAGCTTTTCCGATTTGTGATTGCCCGTGGAATGTCTAGTAGACTTATAAGATGCCTTGTGAGGGCTTCTCCCTCCGTTACTTTGATGACTGCTGATGCTTGTCTCATGGCTACTTGAGCTAATACTGCTGCTTGAAATACATTGCAAGATTGGCATTGACCGAGAACGGCGACTGTCTTGTAAAGATGCATACAAAGCTTTGTTCAATTCTTGTTCCTCTCTTCGAGACATTCCAACAGTGTCATCCTGAAGAATGAAGTAGTAAAAAAGCATTAAAAATATAAATATTTTCTAAACCTGCACACAACAAACCATTGTTTACTGGGCAATAGTTAGAACAATGAATGTTTTCTTTCATCACCATTATTAAGTGCCAGATTTGCAACAGACATCGAAGATCACAGTTTGTCGTTCATTTCTTCTTCATTTCATTATTTTGGCAAAGAGCTTGGTTTCACAACGCCACAAATTTTATTTATGTGAAACATTTGGCATCTGATGTAAGCATATGTGAGGCATCGTGGTAAAATCAGGCACTCGTCAAAATAATGAAATCAAAGAACCGGCATTTTCCCGCCAGTTTGTAAACTTTATCGAATTTTTGTTTATTGGCTTAACACCTTTCATGTCCATTTAAAAGCAGACTATTTCTGTGTGGATTTTATTGAAAAACGATTAAAGGCCTAAAAATGTACATTTTTATTTTCCAAAGGCTCTCAGACTATGAAAGTCACCAAACTTTGACGACCATTTTATCATTAATTGTACCTTTGCCCCCCGCCTCTTTCAATCTCGACTTCTGTTCAAGATATATGGGTATTTTGCATCGAGAGACAGACAAATGAACATGTTTTGAGACAATACCAATAACTCAAAATGCCCAAAAATTGATGAGAGCCTGATTCCACCGAATCGTGACACATATATCTATACCCATGATCTTTAAATTGTTGAATGTTTCATCTTTTCACTGCTTAAGAGATATGATTTGCTGCTTTTTTATTAGATAGAACCATGCATTGTTTTCTTTATGTCCAACAATAACCCTTCACATTCACTTTCTATCACAACAGATCTAGAAGCAATTGAAGAGATCCTTTTCTGAATCTGCTATAAAAACAGTGCCATTGGCATATATCTGACATTATCAATACTTTCTCTATCCACTTTGAGACTAACTTTTTTCTATGTTTCAAACGATTGTTTTACGATGTTAAAGAGTTCTTGTGACATAACATATAGTCTTTCCTAGCTCCTCTTTTAATTTGTTTATAAAATATTTACTGTAGTCTCCCTCGATTCTAAGAGGAGCGTTTTGGTCTCAGTACAAATTGCCAATACACGTAATTCTTACATTCTTTCCATCTTTGTATAGCTCTTCCACAATCTTAAATAGCCCACCATATGTAGCTTTACCAAAAGCCTTTGGACTATCAATGAAGCATAAGTACTAGAGGTGTAGCAAGCACCCGATACCGATTCATTACACCTGAGCTCAGATGGTGCACTTGAAAAATGAGCAGAGACTGGTTTGCCAATATTTTGTTTTTATATGTTTCTGAAATTGCTTTTAATCTTAAAGAATTTGTTTGGGCTTTTCATAACAAATATGATGCCCTTATCAAACAAACACAGAATTCCTTACCAACACTTTTGGTTGCACTATTCGTCTTGGCCTTTTACCAGGTCGTGAGTCAGAGTTGCGCAAACTGCGCTTTGTTACAAGCAGCGTGCTCCTCCTCCCAACCATTTTGACGTATCTGGACATGGAAAACAGATCGAAATTTTAAAAACACATATGTAATTTCAATATTTCTGCACAATGGATAATATATAAGTGCCAAAGATTACAGGTTAACAAACACAAAAAGAGAAGGAAGAGAGATAAAAAGATGGTAGATGTTTGATAGGAAGGAAGGAGAAAACCCACCATCATTCATAGCACTCGCTAACCATCCACCTACAGGACATTTGTTTCTCAAATCCACTGTGCAATTTCAAACAATGTTATCTAATATCATGTGTGTTACTGAGAGGGCAATTTGGGGCAAGCTGTTAAATCAGTGTCAATGTTTTATGAAATGACCCTCAAAAGTCAGCCTCATTATAATATTGAAAGTTACAGCTGGGAAGTTCCAGGGGACTGAAAAAGAAGCTGAACATGCGACGACAGCATTTCTTGCCAAAGGTTTATTTTCAAAATGGAAGCAACCCATATAATGGTTCTTTTAGAGCAATTCAACAATGCAATCTCTAATTCTTGAAAATTTGTTAATTGAAGCAGTGGGGATGTGTTGGAGTTATAGGTTTCAAAGTGAGATCTGTGATATATGTGATAAAGGCATCAAGAACTGTGAGGGCTTTCGCAAGATGCAAGTCACCCCAAACAGCCAATTTTTTTTAATGTCATGAAAAAATAAATCTAGTCATGTCCACCATCAGCCCCCCCCCTCCCTCTAAAATCTACTTACGAACATTATGAATAACTAGTCGAAGCAATATTCTTAGCAATTATGGTGTCATGTCCAAGCATGTGATCAGATATTTCTATGAAATAGGGCCAAACTTTTCAACTAAGGATAACCACAAAACATACCCAAAACCCCATTGTTTTAGCCATATATTTTTCTCATCTCTGAGAGTAAATTTAGCAGCTCAAGTTCTCTAGGCCATAGTGTTACTGCTGAGATAGCATTCCTCCGTCAAGTGAATGTGTTACCATCCAAAGCACACGGACATCTTTTTTCATTGACAGGTTAAACAGTCTTTTTAATGCTTTTATTACCAAAAAAAAGCAAGTCATCTGCACCTTACAAATGTTGTATCACACCAACTTCATCCCATATTTCCTTTTTGAAAGATACCATTTGTTGGTTAAGCAACATGACAGGGCAATGAAACAGCGAAGACCCTTCCTGGCGTTTCAAGTAAAAGTCCTTTTGACTCTTAAAGGAAAATGTCAAAGGTGATGATAACTTTCACTCAACAACAGGCAGAATCAGGACTGTGTTGAAAATCTCTTTGCAAGCATCAAAGGAAAAGGCAGTCATAGAGATTATAATCCTGACCCCCAATAGTTCTGCACTGCTTTTCTTAAGATGATGGTACTATTGATAAATAAAGTCTTCCTTAGCAGTCCCGGTGTGACCAGCAGCAATGACATGACATTGATCACTTCCTCCTCAAATTCAAATATTCCATTATGTTGCACCACCTGCGTTCTCAGAAAATAGAACACAAAAAAGAGGAACAACCACCAGTGACTAATCTTATAAAGTCACTGAAAGTAGGACCTGATGAAGCTTGAAAATGTTGTCACAGGATACAATACAACTGTGGGTACTTGCTCAGGAAAGTGTATCCAGTCATATAAGACAAGTGCAAAACTTTGCTTGAGGAAAAGGAAAACCCATTAGCCAGGCACTTGATTCTCATTCATGATAGCAAAGTTTAAAAAAAAAACTTGAACACATGAAATTCTTGTAAAAAAAGCCAAGTGAGCCAAGTGTCCAGCTTACAGTTCAAACTGTGGGTCTCTATTTTTCAAACACTCATACATAAAAGTTTCTTAGAGGAAAGGAAACGTCAGAACAAAGCTACCATTGAACCTCCCATGGCCATGCAGTCAGCACCTGAAAAGTTGAAAAGTTCAGACTGCCACTGCCATACTGTGTGTTGTCTAATAGCCTAGCGAGCCTATTCCTCAGCCAGAATGAATCATGAACTGAAGCTACTAAGAAAAAGAGTACCAAAAAAGAAGATATGAAGCTACAACGAGCACCTAGCACACCTCTGTGATTTGCCCAAATAGATGACGTATATGTGCCATCTATTTTTGTCATCGTCCAGGGTTTCCCTCACCAGTTGACTGTTCTAGATCTTGCCGTGGCAGGCCCGCTTTGGGCACGATGGGCTTGGTTTCATCGTCGACTGCTTGGGCTGTGTGCGCACATGTTTGTGTGTGTGTGTGTGTGTGTATACGTGTGCGCGCGCGCTTGTGTGTGTGTGTGGTGTGTGTGAGAGTACAACTTTGTTGAGGAGAAGCTAAATTTACGGAAAGAGAATTTCTGAGATTATTTATAAAAGAAAGCACAAATTAATAAAAAAAACTACAAAGTTGTACACACACACCAAGCAGTTGGCGATGAAACCAACCTCAGGTCTTATTTCTGTAGCTATGCCATGACAATGGACATGGGGTCTTATTTATATTACAGACATGGACCTAAATCTAGGCCTACTCTTGACTCAATCAAAATTTCATTGTCTTTCCTTTCAATGAAATCAAAAAAGTATCAAAGCCAAATACTCCACTAAATGCAAGAATTCCATCTAAAAGCTTGCACACCTTCACAGTTATCCAACACCGATGAATATATTCCCCAGTTTTCAGCTTAGACAGCATGCATCGTGAAGTGAATTGCTATTTAATGAATATAATCATGCCATGCAGCATGCAGTTGAGTTATTCAGTTAGCCATCACAACGGCATCGCGTCGCGAGGCGTAGAGAACGTGGTGGCAAGGAGCATTGGAAACGCTGATTTACATTGCGTTCCCCAACAAAGAAATCAGAAATTAAGCTTTATTCCTGTTGCTCTAACTAGCAATTAAATTTGTCTTCATTGATTTTCATAGTGCGGTTTTCATCGAACCAAGGCTTGTGCAAATAACTTACTTTCTTCACAGTAATCTCAGTTCAGTCTCGTCTTTGTTCCCATCGTGAAGAAAATGAGTCGGGTTTTAGAGTCAGTATTGTTGTGAAAAATTCCATGAACTAAACATTTACCGAAGAACTTCCGGTTGTCTACTTTCATTTTCGTCTTGTGATTCCTACTTATAGTGTACTCTGTACTGTCAAAAACTATTATTTCGTTGTGGAATAATATATTTCCTTAAGTGACTAATTTTGATATTGAGTCTGGCAACATTTGTTAATGCATCCTAAAAATGTTTTTATTTGATTCATGGGCAACCATATTTTTTATTGTTAAATATAGCTAACTTAACACTTTCATTCCCATGAAATGCATCTTTTCTTTAGTTTGACCCGCACTCGACCCACTTTACTTTTTGTATAATTCCAATAGAGAAAGTAATTGAGAACTGTATACATCAGCTTCCACTTCCTCCTCTGTGATGTAGGCTTACTGTGTGTGTAAACTTACAACTGTTGTTGTGGAGGAGCTAAGACTAAGAGTTGTTGCACAAACAGGCGTGACAGTGATACTACCGTACGAAAATGTCAAGCAGGGCTTTAAGACGTCTTCAAGCAGATTCTGGTCTCTCAGACTTCCATGTGGATGCTCCAAACGGAATATCAGAGGACAGTGACGTTGAGAATGATGGAGATGGAGCTTCAGAATGCAATGCCAATGATACGAATTTTACGAAAAAGGGAAAACGAGACAGAAGGAAGAAGCAAAAGAACGCCACTCTAAATCCTTTTGAATTGGTATGAATTAAATCATATGGTATTTTTTTACTTTCCCTCCCGTCTCACACTCAGCTACCAGTTGTCTATTTTCTACTAAATATTGATGCGCTGAACACGAATAAGTCGAATATCAACTTCATTTCCGTCGCAAATTAATGGTTTTTGAAATATTTGATTGTTTTTAACCGAGATAGACATGCTTTGGACCAATCGGGGGGTTCCAGGGGGGCCTGCCCCACTGGGGTAAAAGAAAATCTGGGGGGTTACAGGGGGGCATGCCCCCCTGTTTTTACACCCATAATTTGATATTTTAGTTTTACAGTTAGATTTGAAATTGTCTTGAAAATAATTGATTTGCGACAGTTTTAGTGGCTTTATGTGTGATCTGCAGCAAACAGTACAGCAGTTTGACCCCTGAAACAGTACATCTGTGTGCGGGAGTGAAAGTAAAAATTTACCAATCATATCCCAGGCTAGATGACTTTTAAACTCTTAAATCTACACCTACACCTCTATTCTCACCCGGAGTGAGAATAGTGCAGGCGAGTCTTGTGGCTATTCTCACCCGGTGCGCGTTCACCAAATTTTGCGTTCACCCTAAACCACAGAATTCTACACTGTGATAACAGAAAAATTGTAGAATTCTGTGCCGTGAACAAACGTTCCATTACAACTGTAGCCTACTAAGAGCGTACAATTTTGTCTGTGGGCAGTGGAGAGAAAGAGAGAGAGGAGTAGCGCGAGAATTTCCGGGCAAAACAAAATGGCGACCCGCGTAGTTCGGCTCGATTCGAAAAGTTAAATAGCCGTAGCATCTTTGTAGACTACCAAATTAACTTACTTTTGTGTTTTAACATCATTTTTTAACTTTGTTTTGGTCAATTTGATCGTCCACACCGATAGACAGTATTCAGAAAGAGACAGAGAGAGAGAGAAGAGGGGAGGAGTTGATCTTGCGAGAACTTCCGGGCGGGTGAGAATAGCCACTTTCTTAGATCTAGATCTACTAAGTTTATGCTGGTAAATGAAATTCAGTTCGTGCTCGTATTATAAAATAAATTAGAAGATCTGGGTATTTTTTTTGGCCACCTCAATAGCGCAGGTGAGTCTTTTGGCTATTCTCACCCGGTGTGCGTTCACCGTTTTATAGCCTAGGGCTGGATTGTACTTTACCGGACCACCCGTCTCGGCCCGTGATTACTACGCACGACTAGCCTAACTACGCACTGATAGTACTCTACGTGCGGATAAAAGATAGTTCCGCGGGCGACTTCGCGCACGCACACCGCGAGGCGAGGTGAGCGAGAGGTGGTGGTTGAGAGTGGGCAGGGGATTTAACTTTGGTTTCAGGGGGGCTTGCCCCCTGAAACATTAAAGACAACACATATTTTATGCGAAACACTAACATGAGCAGACAGTCGTGTTTACATCTATCAATGTAACAACAGTGGGAGGAGGGGGGGTTTCAGGGGAGCTAGCCCCCCTGGCAACAATAATTTAAAGACACACACACATAAACAATAACATGAGTGGACCATCGGGGTAGATACTCGCCAAGTCGCGAGCAGGGCTGAGGGGGTTGCAATTATGCAAATGAGCTCTCGTGCACATCTCTAGCCTCCAAGCCAGCAGAGTCGCGAGCAAAAATAAAAATAGTGGACCGCGTGATTAGATTGACCAATTAGCCTCAAGGTGTCAGGATCGAGGGTCAAAGGGCACGTTCGTTATGACTGAAAAACCCGGTAAGAGACGTCGGTCGATTGCTGGCAGTGGAAGAGTGAGGACGTAGAAAACTGAGCAAGAGAGTGAGTAGAGGAGCTCGGAAACGAAGAATAGTAGGCCAATAGGCACCAGGGGCGCCATAGCAAAAGTAGTTCCGACCGGTGGTCCGGTAAAGTACAATCTTACCTAGCCTAGGCCAACCAGTGGTGTTCACCGTTAACTACAGAATTCTACTCTGTTATAACAAAATTGTAAAATTCTGTGCCGTGAACGAACGTTCCATTACTATACTACTGTTAGCCTAAAAGCGTGCAATTTTGTTTGTGGGCAGTGGAGAAAGACAGAGAGGAGTAGCGCGAGAACTTCCGGACAAAACAAAATGGCGACCTGCGTAGTTCGGCTCGATTCGAAAAGTTAAATAGCCGTAACATCTTTGTAGACGACCAAATTAATTTACTTTTTTGTGTTTTAACATAATTTTTTAACTTTGTTTTGGTCAATTTGATCGTCCACACTGATAGACAGTATTCAGAAAGAGAGAGAGAGGTGGGAGGAGAACTTCCGGGCAAAACAAAATGGCTACCCGCGTAGTTCAGCTCGATTCGAAAAGTGAAATAGCCATAGCATCTTTGTAGACGATCAAATTAGCTTACTTTTGTGCTATAACGCCATTTTTTCTATGCTTTTATTAGCAATGACAATGAAAAATTAAATTTTCATCCAAATTGCTTAAAAATAAAATGGGCTTAAATGAAAATAGAGTAAATTCTAAGAACTATGGTTTTTTAATTTTATAAATCCATTGATAAATAATAAAGTTATTGGGATTTTTGTTTGCAAAATGTTGGAGGACCTTCATATAGGAAAAAATCGCCAAAATGTACGACATGTTTTGATGTATTTTGAGGAAAAACTGTTCATAAGTCAGTAATGATTAGCAATGCCCATCGGGCTTTCCCGCGCGGCGAAAATTTGGTCCCCGTTTGCGGGTGATTTTGCGGACCCGGCTGAAGCGTATGTGACTAACTTTGTCGACCTCGGTCTGCTCTATTTCCGAACCAATCCGAATGAAACTCGGGAACCAATCAGAAAATAGGGCAAACTAATGATATGTGGACGTTGAAGTTCGTACACATAAATTAACCTATACTTTTGGTGTCGGGAACACTTTCGTATCGGGTACACCGAAAACTATAAGGAGTTTGAATTTCAACGCCGAGATAGTAATAGATCTATCTATCTTCTATAGTGTGCTCAAATTTGAACGTTCTGTGTCAAGTAGTTGTTTAGACCCGATCATAAATGCACAACTACCCCCCTATCCAAAGCGGCTTCGCATGGAGACCGGCCATTTTCCCCTCACTCTCGCGGCAAATGTATGTGACCTACAAATCCCGGCATGACTATTCCGGGCCCGTTCATTGGTCACTTGAAATAGGGCAATGGCGGGCACGCGCATCCGGTTGTTTTTCTCTCTGTTCCCCTGTAACATCGCAATGGGGGTATTCCGAGGCGAGGTTATCTCGTCTCGAGGTGTTCGCGTCTCAACGGGGGAAAATAATTTTTTATTGTACGGCATGCTAGATTGAATTAACTTATCTTTTAAGGTTGGCATGGTCTAAATTCATCATAAAAAGCTTTGCAATTATTTAGTCACGCTGCCGACATATATTCTTAAAGATCCCATGTTGTGATACGATGCTATAAATAAAATGGACTCATCCCGACACCCCATTTTTGCAAAATCGTAATATGTACACCAAAATTTTAATTATAACAAAATGACTACGAAATGGGTAGTAAATCTGAATGCAGAAATGATTTCTTTGTCCTTTCTTACAACTTGCACCCGTCCGCCCTCCCACTCACACTAATCCACTTGCTATGTCACTTTTTGGTTTTTTTCAAAGTATCCCGTGCTCAAAAAGACATTGCTTCCACATAAATAAGCCAGACACTTTTATCTTATTGCTGGCCATTTTTGTCTTTAGTCCATTGTGAAAGTCATTATAAAAATTGATAATAATATAATAGCGTTGGTGCTGTGGTGGAACCTTGCATCGATATCTGATAATGACTATAGTGCATCTGCAGAGGAAAATATCTGAATCAAAATAGAAGAAATAAGGATTAAGATGACTTGTGGCTTCTGCTATGGCTTATGAGACATTCTGGCAGAGAAGAGTTTGCCACAATTTGAGCATTTTTTGGATGTTCACAGCTTGTGGGCTTCTCTTTTGGTTTCAGCATTTATAATTCGTAGAACCTCATATAATTTGCTGTTCTGTAGCTGAATCTATCGTGGTATATAATGTTAAAGTCCTTCAGAGACATAACTAATCAAATTGCCGTTATAATAAATAAACTGGCAGCATTCGGAGGTCATGCATCCTAAACTTACCCCAGGTAAGAACACCTCAGACCAACCAGATTTATTAATGAAATCAAGCAGATATTACACTGTAGCTATAACAAACTCCTAATGTTATGTAATAGGCAGCAGATTAGCAATAGTTAGCAAGTTTAAAAATAAAAGTTTGATGGTCTTTCTCTTCTATTCAGAAATGTAGCCTACCCAGTCCAGAGTCAAGTCCCATTACATGAAGTGTTTATGTAATTACTGTTTTGGGTTTTTTAAAGTTTTTTCTTTGTAAATTTTTTAGCTGAATGAACCAGACAATGAGGAACCAGAAGAGAATGAAGTTGAGGAACCTGATCCAGAACTGGAGACAACATCTGTTTTGAAGACAGAGGCGAAAGGTGCCAAGAAGAAAAAGAAAAAAAATAAGAAGGGAAAAGAAAAGGTTGCTCCTGATTTGAATGGTGGATGTTCAGAGAAGGTTGGTTTGCATTAGTTTTTACTTCTACTATTGATAGTTTGCTTTTATAAGTTATATTTTGTACTTATTCTCTTGATTTACTTGTGATTTTAGTTCCCTGTATATATATATATATACAGTCAAACCTGTGTAAGACGGCCACCCATTGTCAAGGAGAAAAGTGGCCCGTATAAGACAGGTGGCCGTCTTAGGCAGGACTGATCAAGATAAAGAAAACAAACCATTCCCATCTGAGGCCCCAATCGAAAGTAGCCCATTATGTTGTCTTTGTTGGTGTTGTTGTTGTTGGTTTGTATTTCGTTTGTAATTTTTATTTTGTCGCTGATTTTGCACAAGGGTGACAATAAAACAAAACGTATCAGACAAAGAAGACTGAGTGCCATGTTAAAACAAACACATGGGTCGCCACCACTCGGAGAACGAGCGACGCTTCTGTAACAAGTTCATGTTGACTTACTTTGTTACAGACTGGGTAAACAGTAACCACTCATCTCACTTAAGATTTGTGTATGAGTTCTGGGTGGGGCTTATGGGTTATGAGGGATCACACGCTTACCTCACCGGCAGCTGAAAATTGGTAGCTATTGGTCAACAGTTGGAGGGGCCTACGCAACATGATCGGTTGGAGGGACTACCAAACAAGAACGACAGGTGATTGAATTACGATGGCTTGCCCACAACACCAGGGGCCAAAGCACAATTTATGACAAAACGTAATGGAGTCACTAAGGTGACCGTCTTAGACAGGCATTATTGCTTAGTATGATAGGGGTTGTGTGTTAAATTATGGTGGCCGCGGCCGCGTTGGACAGACAGGTGCCCGTTTTACACAGTTAAATTATATAGAAAAAACGCAAGGGGGGGAAATGGAAAGTGGCCGATTGTACAGGTGGCTGTCTTATAGAGGTGGCCGTCAGGGCAGGTTCGACTGTATATATATATATAAACATTCTCTCTCTCTCTCTCTCTCTCTCTCTCTCTCTCTCTCTCTCTCTCTCTCTCTCTCTATCTCTCTCTCTATCCCTCCCTTTCCCCTCCCCCTCTATCTAACACAAGCATGACCTGCTTTAAAGAGGGGCTGGCAAATTGCAATTTGGTGAGTGTGGTGGTATTGTATGAGTATGTGAGTTGAAATGTTTATCATAAACACATCTTAAAGTGAGATATATTTGGTTTGGGTTTGTTTTTTTTTTGCAACACTAGGTGCAGGGGTTATTTTTGTCTTACAGGATGTGTTTGAAAAAGTTTCCATGGCTGCCTGGATGATTGCATAGTTTTGCTCACAGGAAAAAGCCGGGAGGGAGGGGGGGAGGCTCAGTGACTGTGCCATTGCAAAATGCTGGGGGTGTGTCAACATGATAGGCTGTCATGATATTTGTAGTTTTCAAAATGCTTTTAGGTAGCAAAATTAAAACTGACACATCGATAACTGAACATCCTCCTCATCATTAAAGATGCAGGTTACTTTTTATTTCCCGTGTTTCAAAAATATATTTTGCAGTTTTCTCTTAACAAAAACATATAATAAATCCTTTTTTCAGGACCCCATAGATGAAGTGGAAGCATCAGTGCAAGAGGTGAATAGGATTTTAGGAGACCCAGGCACTGCTTGTGCAGCTGAGGACAGATCCTCAATACAGTTCTCTGTCAACATGAAACCTTTGCTGCACATAGACTACAGGTGTGACAAATATATGTGCTGAGCTTATTTGTTAACTGTCTTCCATCTAAAGGTGTTTTGACAAAGTCATTTCATGATATGTTTATGAATCAATTCAGCCAAGTGCACAGTAAGTGTCTTATCTCATAGTGCATTTCAAGTACATCTTGAAAACAACCACAGGAAATTTGTTGGTCCCACTAGATTGATATGTGGATCTCTCTCTCAAACAGGAATGGCATGTAGTGAAGTATTACTGAAGTGTATGTATCTTTTAAACAATGTCCTGTACTGCAGAGGTGCCAACTAGTACGATTTTACGTATTTTAGTATGATTTTTTTCCGAAAATACGCGCATACGACTTTTCATGAAAAAATACGGATCCTAGAATGCCAAACATACGAGATTCGGCTTGGGCGAGTAAACCTAATTATCTCAAGTCCCATCTTTTGTCAAAATAGTATCAGTATCGCGGAACTGGAATATTTCAAAACCTAGTCCGATAAGGTCAGTAACTTCAATTTTGCCGGTCGCGATTGTGATATTATATTCTTTCACCTTTTCCCCGTCCGAGAGTAGGCTACATTTCACGCGAACAGGCGGCTATAGCGGCAGGCGGAAGTGTATGTGACACCGAGGCTCGATAGGGAAAATCAAGTTCTACTTTCGCTTTCGTTACCACCGAGAAGTTTGCCAGCTGTAGTCTGATAACACAACATTTGTGACATGCAGGTTGTGCAGAATAAACGCTGTGTCACCGTGCAAATATAGTTTAATCAATACTCGGACTCGTCTCTGTGCTGTCACTTGTGGGAAAAAAAGAAAAGAAAATACAAGTGCCGTCTGATTTTTAGATTGTCTGGCTCGCCATCGTGACCGGTCAGTGACCCTGCGCGCATTCGCATCATAAATAAATGCGGCATTGTGTGAGCAAAGACCGTCTTTAGTGGAAGTAACGGCGTTGCGAAGTATAGGACTACGAAATAGGGGAGGGGATTATTGATTTTTTTAAAAGATGCCGGGGGGGGGGGGGGGGTGAAGACAACACCAGAGGACAAAAACTTGGAAGCAAATTTCAGTATTTTGATTAGAGCTCTGTGCAAAGCGCGCGTTGGTGCAGGCCGTGTGTGGAATCTGGACCCTTCATATTTTGCAAGTCTGTGTTATTGAAATAAAGTGTTCGCGTTTCATTGGATGGGTGATAGTAAATTATACCTACAGTGTGTGTTGCAGCTTTCTGTTCAAGACTGGCAGATTTTCAGTGTCACTGCATCTTGCCCTCCCACAGATGTTACAACTCTCACAGTGCATGGGTCTACTTGAGCCATTCAAGTTATTGCTTTTCTCTGAGTTTGAGCAATAATTTTAGTCTGTCAGTTATAATAAGGGGGGAAATTATATAATAGACTGAAACACTTCAGTGAAACAAGACCCCAGTACGACACTGAACACTGACATGTTTTTGATTGGATACATGTATATTGTACGCATGTGTGCTCCCTTTTTCGAGCTGGTGAGCTAGTAAATTTTTTTTCAGGAAATATTGCTGGACACCCTGAACATTTTACTAGTTGGTCGGTCGGTCGTGGGGAATACACATTTTCATATTTCCCAATACTTATTTCGGTTTTCAGTGGTTGGCATCTCTGTGTACTGGGAGAAACTTATGATAAGTTCATGGTTTGAAAGATTGACTATTCCCATTTACTGGTAAAGTTTTTTGTTATCTAAGATGTCTAATAGTTACCTATTGACTTTCACAATACAGGAATCTTAATCCAGACACAGAGATGAAAAGAATGTTTGGTTCAGATCTTTTCAGAGGAGAACAGCAGCAAAGGTAAAGATACAATTTCTTTGAAACGTAATCTGTACTTTTTACATGACTGATCCTGCAAATGAATCATTTGTTAAATGTACTACTAATGGTTAGATAGTAAGTGTTAATGAATTGTGAAGAAAGTGTTTGAATGTTTTCTTGTAAAAGTTTGATAGATAAAGGTAGTATAAACACGCTCGCTGCCTTCCGAGCTCGTAGTTTAGGTGAAATGGGGGTAATTCAGCTCGCTGGGTTTTTTTTGCTCTTTCGCAATAAAACACCAAATGCTGAACACCTTGTAAAAGTTCAGCTTTTCCTCATTACAATGGTGTAAGTTGTTTATATGTCCGATTATTAGGACCTGGAGAATCGCTGTGGAAAGCGAAGCCCCTCGCGGTCGGAATGCGTAGTCGGCCGGTTCAAAAATTGACACGAGTGCATTCAAATGCTTCGCGGAAGGATTGATGATTAAATACTGCTTTTCATTGGCGGAGAACTGTAGAGCTTTGAAAGGGCTTTCCCATGGTATATTTTTGGCCTTTGGAGTTTAAATAGAAAGCCTTTAAAAAATACTGTCAAAATTTTCAAAGATAAATTTTTACACGAAATATGTAAAATACCTGCTCAAAAAAGGTACCAATAGAAAGATCAGTTCATCTTCTATTAGAATTAAGTAATCGGCTTGGAATTATTTTGCATCAATCCTTCTCGGAAAGCATGTGACCCCCCTTCGCTTGGAGCACTCGGTACACTGCAGTATAGAGCCGACTCGCTCGCCACGGAGGCCGGGACAGCACTCTGTGTTTTGTTGAAATAATCATCGTGTTTGAGGCGATAAAATACTAATTTGTAATGATCTCACAATCTATAAAAAAATTAGGCTCCATATCTATGTTATAGTGGTTGTACTCTGTTAATGTGGAGATGGTTGGTGCGCTTGATACTCTTTTATATCTGTCAAACATGGGGTTGCAGCCAGTTAGCAAATCTGATCTTTTTTTTTAAACAGCTACCATTTTCTTGAAAATTGACTGAGAGTTTAAAGAGTGGTGTCAAAATTCTCATGGGGTATAGGCTCTTCATATGGAACTGATCAATTTGGCATTCAGCTACTTTAGTTTCTGGTACCTAATAGGTGCAATAATCTTTTTTTGTTAATGTTACTTATTTTAGCTACTTTTCTTTTCCAAGTTGTTGCAACTATCCACCGTAAAGTTGTTAGAGCAACAGCATCTAAAAATCTATTGTTTAGTTAGTTGTCGACTGTTTTTAACTGCCCATGGAATATCTCCTTATTTGTGTTCTAGAAGGTTTAAGTATAAATCTATTCTTGTCCCTCATTAGAGACCCACTTTGAAAGAGCGAGTTCAACCTCAAATGTATTTGTCTAGTATTGTGAGGGATTATTTCATTTCTTTTTCTCCTTCTTGGATCTTGATATAGGCAACACCAGCCTTCTTCACAAATGCTAAGGTGTATCAGAGTTCTCCAAGTTGCCCTAGTGCATGTCCCTCATGGGCACTGGTTGTAGTTCTGTGACTGTTATGGGGCTGTCTTGTATTGGGCACTCTTCAACCAGATGTTCTGTGGTAATGGATGCTGAGTTGCTTTGCATGTCTCTGACCAGCCAACCCTCAGTTTCCTGAAAGTGTGTGTATGTATACAGCTGGATTGTTTTTAATGGGAACTATTTCTCTTCTCAGGCACCGGAGACGGAGAAATCGACCCGTGTTGCGCAGCACAAAGCTAGTCCAAGTCAAAGACACCTGGCATAGTACTGGTGGCTCAGGTGATTCATAGTTTTATACCACCAGATAGATAATAGATACACTTTTAGCTCACTGAAGACGTTTCCGGTTAAAAACACAGGCTGGCCCGCCAGTTCTGTGGTTGATGACTTTTTGATCCAGAGCATTTTTAGTTACGAGACTGCTAAAACTGCTTGTGTTGTAAATTGCAATGATTGTCTTTATGGCGTCTCTAATTTTCTTATTTTGTTATTGCACAGCTCTTTTCAAGATGTCATTAAAATATATTTACTTTTGAGAGGAACAAAATGCAAAGAAAGTGATATCGTTTTTCTTCTCAGCAAAATTCACAATTGCGCTCTCTACAGTGGAGCTTTGTTGTACCGCCTCCGTTATACTGCCAGCCCCACCTACCACCAGGTTTTGCCACATAAACATAGTATTTACACTTTTACACCACCATCCCCCAACTGTATGAGTTGTACTGTCCTTATTTAACTAATATAAATTTGCCCCACCATACCAGTGTCAGCAAACTGATCTCCAGAGGAACACACCACACAGGGCGCACAGCACAGAGTGATTAGCTGCTTGGAAATCTTTTTCCCACAAGAAATACATACAGATAGAGAGAGAGAGAGAGAGAAGACTTTCCGCTCTGAATACATGTGCATGTACATGATGTATATCACCCATAAAAACAAAACTTCAACCACAGATCACACAGCAGAATCATGTCCCTTGACTTTGGGCAGTCAGAACTACATATCAAAGGAACCCGTTGAAATACTTTAAACCACCAGCTCCGCTATTCTGCCGACATCATGCTCATAACAAAAGTGGCAGTATAACGAGGTTTGATTGTATATACGTAAAATAACCCTCAGCCACCAATGTATGGGAATGATTGACTTATAATAGATATTTATTGAGTTTAAAAAAAAGGTCATCATCAATATTTGAAAATATTGTAGTTTAAGATACAAAGCAACTGATTGCTAAAGTATCTTGGAAGCTGTACTGTATCTGTTACATATTTTTTTCCCCTCTCTCTCTGCCTTTCCAGGTCTATCCATGAAATATTTGGGTGAAGAAAATGGATTTGTGTATGAACATTCATCAGCCTACCAGAAATTTCAACACAGGTTTTTGGATGGCATTGAGTCGGGATACCCAGAGAACATTTTCGTAAGTAACTCCCTGCTGCATATCATGCTTTATGTTTGAGCATCTAATTTCTTTTAATACCACTGGTTGTTGCCCATATCAAGATTTTAACTGTGCATTAGTTTTTTTGAGTATATTTCAACTTTGGTTTCAAGGACAATTGATCCTTGTGCTGTGATCCTTATCGTCTGCTCATAACATGAAAACAGTCAAGTTTTTAACAGGCTTTAAAAGTTTTGAATTTTTTCAAGGAGTGTTGCATGATTCAAAAAAATTTCATGCATTTGCTTTGTGTATTATTTTCACAGTGAGTAGAATATATTTAGATTTATCCGTACTTTGTTTGTTGTGAACATATTGTGTCCTAGTTCAAATGAGAGAAGAAATAAATGCTCTCAAGATCTATGTATTGTGTCAATTGATTTCAGTTTTGAATGTGTCAATGTTTATTAGGCACATTATTATTTTCTTTGTAATTTCTTGCTTAAGATTGTTCCATTCATAAACTTGTCTTTAGTCAAAGATTTTTATCTTAGTTTCAGAGATCAATATCAATGTCTTCCACGGACACAGCCGTAAATGTTCATTGTCTTTTGATCCCCAAGTTCAGCATCAAGCAATAGGTTTTTGGAGTTATAGATCTATTTGGGGGTATAGCTTATTGATCCAGCACTGTCTGTTCTGTTACTTTGTTCTTTATTTTCAACCATCTTGATGAGGGGTAAAAGAAGGTAGCAGGTCCTGATCTTCAATTTTAACATTTTTAGAGTTGTTGGGTTTTGGGTTTAAAAAAAAAAAAAAAGATCTTTCTCAGATATGTTGCTTTTGTTTGTGAAATGAAGCTGACGGGTTTGTCTTGTTTTTTGTTGTTTCTTTTTAGGGGGGGGGGGTATTTTTTTTTCAAGTGTCAATTCTGAGAGCTGATTCAATACTGTCATGGGAAAAGCATCATATTTTTTTTCATAGTTGAATTACTGTAAATCTTGATGAGAAGAGAGTTGCCACTTCAAAACGTTCCACTCGTTCACAAATTTTGTTTTCATTACAGAATATTTTGCAAGAAAACCCATACCACATAGACACACTGATCAGCTTGGCAGATTTCTACAACATCAATGAGGATTTCCAGACAGGAGCAGAATGTATAGGTTTGTATTAACAATTTTTCTGTTAATGAAAAGATGAAACACAAATATTTATTCAATCTTCTATTCTAAGTGATTTTCAGTATCATATGACATGTTCATATGGAAGCTCTTGTTATTTTATGATGCCTCATTTCCAGAAATTGCTAGATTACAAAAACTTGAAGTATTTGTCCTACATTTCCAAAAAAGCAAGAACAGACAGATATAGAAATTCATTCGTACCAACTGCAGTGAGGTTACTGAAGACACAGTGCTACAAATGAAACAGAGAGAGAGAGAGAGAGAGAATGAATGTTTTACGGAGCGGGTTGTCCCAGCCCGTGAGACATGTATTTACTTGGCCTAATGTCCTGTCTTGTTGTGCGTTTGGGTCTAACTTTTGTAACGTCTACTGCCATTGTTAACAACCAAGACAAATTTCTCCCTGCGAGATGAATAAAGATTGTCATTGTCATTTGTATATATTTCCTTGTAACATGTTGACCCCTAGCAACATCCATAACTTACCTGAAACCCATGATATATTGCAATCATAGTCTCAGGTTCATGAAATTAAAAATGTTTCAGTAAAACATGACCACCAAAGTTTGGGGGTTATGGCTCCTCAAATGAGGCTTCCAGTAAGTCTTTACTAAATGTCTATATTTTAATATGACCAATACCAACCAAGTTATGAGGAAATCAATCAAAAATTTATCAGTGAAGTGCTGGAGGCAAAATTGCCTGAAGTTCAGCCAGGGGTGAAAATCCGTGAAATATTTTGAAATAATTCTAATTTTTTCACTCTATGCGAGGAGTTGGGAATGAGGGTTGTGCCCTGCCCCCCAGGACAGCCTGGCGGGGATCCAGAGTAAGCGCCAAACAAAAAAGGAATACACTTAACACTAAGATTAACTTGCACATTATTTCCAACATTAGAGCATCATCATCGTTACCATCATCATCATCATCATCATCATCACCGACTGAACAATTCCTCTCTTTCTTGTTTCTTTTTTCTTGAAGCCTATCAATTTGCACCATGTCAGTACATTTTTACGTAACCTACAAATGTCGCCACCAAAATCAGGACCTGGGACAAATTAAAATTTTTATTAAAATCCCGGAATGCAGATGCATTTTTCAGTTGGGCATTCCCTTAGATCAAAAGTTTCCAACCGTTAAGGCAGTCTGGTGTGGATTTGTTGCAAACAGGTGGTTTTTTTCTTGGCATGTATTTCAACTGAATAAACTTCTCATCTGCAGAAAAAGCGCTGTATGGAATGGAGTGTGCATTCCACTCTATGTTTAATCTGGCAGCCGGAAACTGTTTTTTAGATTTCAAAAGAAGGGAGAACAGGTGAGTTGTGCTGGAAAAATTTCGGCAAAAATGAAGTAGCAGTCATGCAACTCTTATGAAGCTAGTGAATCAATTTCAAGATTGGTGCTATTTTCTTTTTCAGTGTGAGAAAGTGCAAACTGAAATTGTTGATGGAAGTGTCCAATCTCATGTTTATCCTCTGGTGTCCACCAGTCTATAGAATTGAATGTTAACAGAGTTGCATAATTAGCATTACCTTTTTTTCTTATTTTGGGGGGGAAAGGGGGGGGGGTTGTACACGTGATGATGAGCCCCATATTCATGGGGAAAAAAACCATCAATTTTTCAATGGTTCCTACTCTCAAATGAGTATAGTTTCTTTTATGCTTCTTAGAATGTTGGAATTTACTTACTTCTGTCAAATGAATACTTTTCACAAATGGAAAATTATTTTGAAATGAATAACGTAAAAGCTTTTTTTACGTATTAGTTGAGAAGCACCATGAAACGTGGGCAGTTATGTTTCAATCAAATTGTGGAAAAGTAAGGTGTTATGTAAGGTGTGTTCGGAAGTTTAGAAATTGGTATTTATATATGTGAGGCAACGTGGTGGAATCAGGCTCTCGTCAAAATAATGAAATCAAAGAAAACCACAGTTTTCTCCCTGCTTGGCAATTTTTATCAAATTTTTATTTTTTGGCTCAAAACTTATTATGTCCATTTACAAACACATTCCTTTGAGGATTTCACTGAAAACGTTGATTAAAGGGCACCAAAATATAAATTTACAGTTTCCATGGACTCTCCAGCTTTGGAATTTACCAAGCTTTGGCGGCCATTTTCTCGCTAAATTTACCTCTTAAACCAGGTGACCCCCACCTCCTTCAATCCAAAATATCTCCACTTCTATTGTACATGGATGGGTAATTTTTTCATTGAAAGCAAGACAAACGAACAAGCTTTAAGATGATACCAATAACTCTACATGCCCAAAAATTGACGAGTGCCTGATTCCACCACGCTGCGTCACATATACTCATCTTTGTCATCTGTCATCCCCAGAGCAATGTTCATTTGCCTATTCAAGCACATCGTAAACCTAGGTCAAAGGGGTTGTAATCGCACAGCCTTTGAATTCTGCAAAGTCTTGTTGAGGTTGGTATTGCTTGAACTTTTTTGCTTCTCTTTATTTTATTTTGGTCATTGAAGTTCAAACATTTGGCTCCTTTGTGAATGGAAAACATTTAATTCTATTCTGATCAAAATCTTATTCAGTAACTACTTTGATCATCATGCTTCTCATTGTTCATCAAGGTGATAATTGATACTTCAGTTTGTCCTTGTTGTATATGAAGGGATCTGCAGATCCAGCTCTGTGTGAAATGACCACTCGTCCGATATAAGTTAATGAAGTTTATATAATACTAGCTGGGCCCCCTTTCGATGAAAGGAATGATCGGTGCATTAACGTCTGCTGAAAGTCATTTGCTTATGATATTTTCATTCTACCGGAATGGAGCAAATCTTGAGAGATGCAAAAATTAGAAGGTTTATATCTATACTCTCAAAACAGTGCGCACGGTTAGTGAACGGAAACCTCCTTTTCTAAAATTACAGAGACAGAAGCGTCGGCCAACAAAAGCGATCGGCGAAATAAAGAAATTTAATTTTTAACAGCAAAACTGTCTTGAAACTGAAAAAACAAAGGGCGTCATGATCTGGAGAATATTTTAAAGAATCTTTTGGCGAAAACCGCATGTCGATCGATGCAGCCATTAAAAAGCCTTTTGAATAGTAAAATTCGGCCACCACAAATAGATAATAGAAGTACTTCTTTAAATCTGCAAAAGGACAATCTTCATTGTCTTTCCTGTGTCTCTTCTATGTCACAGAGCTAAAAAGAAGAAAACTATTGATAAGTTGCTTTTTTTACTCTTCCTTTTGATATGCTTTACTTTACTTTACTTTTCCGATCCAGCGGCCATTTGGGTTCTAGCCCTTCGGTCTGTCGATATGGCAAAGAATTGACAGGTTTTAATCAGCTGTGCTTTGTTGCTGTATAGAGTGTTTCCGATGTCTGGGGAGGCAGGTAGGTAGGTGCTACGCAGATCACAAAGTGCTGGGCAGTTAAAGAGGTGGTGTGGTACTGTTTCTTCCTTTTGATATCTGTTTTGTGATAAGCGTCATATCTTGACATTTTGTTTTTGTGTTCCAGTTTAGACCCGTCAAATGATCCCTTGAACTGCCTCAGCATGATTGACTACTATGCCCTTCGGTGTGAACAGTATGATTATTTGCTTCGGTTAGAAGCAGAAGTCTCAGTGAGTAGTGCTTAGGTCAACAAATTATTTGCTATATGTCTTGTTTATTGATTTTGATTTTTTTTTATCCATCTTTTTTCTGTTTACTGTTCTTGAGTGATTGCTATGATTTGATTGTAGTTTTATGCCTGAATTTACTGTACTTAATTCATTATGAGGCAAAGTGCTTTTCCCCTGCTCCTCAAAACTGTGCTTCGTGGGTGAGAGGGGTACAGTATCCTAGGAGAAAGATGGAACTACTTTGTAAAATAACTTTGTTTGCTCATACCAGCAAATAGCCTATCCATTGCAACACAGCCAGCCACCTTTTTGAAGGATAGACAGATAGTTTTAAAATTCCAAGCTGATATGTTTCTAGATATTTGACATAATGTAGAATTTGAATGTTACAGGTAGGGGTTTCATTTTTCTCAGTAGAGTTAAGCCTACTTAAACTGCAGTGGTTTAGGACATCTTTTTGACAAGTGTGTGGCTCTTTGGTCTTGGGGGGTGGGTGGGGGGGTTTCTGTCAAGTATCTTCAACCTCTCAGGGATTCTTTCTATTTTTTCTTTCCCTACTATCATTGTTTCCTTATAGACTGCTGAATTATGTAATAATAATAATAATAGATAGCATTTGTATAGCGCATATCCCCGCTCAGCAGCAGGCTCTATGCGCTTTACACTATATTATGACTTAATATGTTTGAATGGTTTTTTCCTACTTTACCAGACTGATAAGTTTTTCTGGATGCCTTTCAGTCTCCATGGTATCAATGAGTTCTTGTGAATTCTTATGGTAATAGTGTCCACGGGTCTGTCATGTAAAAAAAAAAAAAATGTCGCCTGTGTATTAAGTTACTGTTTGTGCTGATTTTTCAGGCATGATTTTTATATGTTTAATTCCTTTTTTTTTTTTCCTTCCAGTATTCCTCGACCCAGCTTCAGACACCTAATTTTGCCTTTTCTGTAGCCTTGGCCCACTTCAAACTGGCTTTGCGAAGCAATGGAGACACATCTAAAGCTGACAAAATGGTAATTATAGTTTTACATCAGAAGTCGCTTTATTAAACAGCTTGAGAAGAGTGCTTAGGTGTGTTATAGAAGACTATGTATAAATTCAAATCAAATGTATTTGGAATTTGGCTTTCGTCTATCCAGTATTCTCTCTTCTACATTTATTTCCTATAAAAATGATCATAATTCACCAGGACTGCTTTATAGCATTTGTGTACTCATCCCCGTCACAAAGATGTTATACGGGGGGCTCTCGTGGCCTAGAGGTTAGGGTGTTGGCCTCTCATTCAAAAGGTCCCGGGTTCGAATCCGGGTAGCGACCGAAAAATTTTCTTATCTAAATTTGTCTCCTTTCACCTCATTTTCCTGCTCTCTAGCAATGTTCTGTCGTCTGCTTTCGTATCCTCTTTCTGCCCCCACCCCCTCACCTCCTTTGCCCCTTCCTCTGGGCTCCTGACTCTTTCTGCAGCCTTTCTACTGCTACTCCTTGGCCCCCCCTTACCGCTGTCTTTCTGCTACACCCCTGATCTTCTGGTAGGAAAGATCTACACCTAGCCTTCTCGGACAAGGGCGAAAAATCTCGGAGGGCTCGTGTGCAAGTTGCGCACGTTAAAGATCCCTTTGTGGTCTAAAATCGATAAGAGTAGGCTTCGGCTGCCACCCGGGCAAAATTCAAAATTTCCTACCAACTGAAAATATTAGGCGTGTCCCGCGCGCTCATATGACCTATGCAGTTGCGAGCGCCGTAAAACACTTTACAAAAACAAAACAAAAAAACAAAGATGTTATTCTTCATGGAATTAAGATGAATACACTCATAACAGTTGTCACTTTGATCTTGTATGTCACGGAATTAAACTCTACAACTGGTAAAAACTTTGTTCTAAAGTGGCACGCTCATTTAGAGTCAATTTGTGTGACTTTTGTGTGTTTTTGCCAGCTCCAAGACAAACTGTTGCTGTACCCAATGATGCTGTTGCCGTTGCTGGACAAGTGCTCCATTCAGCCCGACAAGCGAGTCAGTTCTCACAAATTCTTCCATTCGGATCCGGCGCATGAGAAGTAAGCAGTACATTTTCACACTAATTGATTCTACAGTTTTTCCCCTATTTTAATGCCCGCGCAGGAGACCAGCATGTTTTGGCAAAGGGATGTATGAGTGACTAAGTTAATGACCTCTAGTTGCACAGGTTGGTTTGTAGTGTACATTCTTTTCTTGACGTGTGTTCTTCAATACCATTTCTATAAAAGTAGAGAAGCCTATCTAAAGTGATGAGAAAAAGTACTGGGAAAATGATAACAATGAAATGTAGAGAAACTATTCTATTGTTACTTCAAAGATTTTAGATGTTTTTCAGTTCTACGACTCTCTGATGCCTGCACAAAGGAGTGTCACTCTTGTAGATACTTTCATCGAGAGTTCTATTGCAATGTTCTTCCAAACTCAATGTTTTTAAGTACTTACTTCAAACAATTTGTCTCTGTTCCTTGGTATATGTTCACCCACTCTTTCAGCAAGAGCATAATGATATTTCTGTCTCCCCAAGTCAATATTAGTCGTAAGTCGCAGTGTGTTATTATCAGCTATGAGGCTCGAAAGCAAAAAAAGTTACTTTCCATAAAATTTTGGGGTTTTTTTTATCAATTGAAAGTTGATGTCTTCTGCTTCATTTAAGATAAAAGTAAACGACTATAATCAACTATAAATTGCAAGTCTCTATCTCAATTCTAAGACCCCCATTGCTATGGAAACATGTTGCTCAATTTTGGAGGCCATTCTCTCCTTTTCGTGTTTCCTCACCTCGCACAATTAAAAGCTCTGTATTTTCGTCAAATATAGTCAAATTTACTTCATTCTTGTTTTAAATTGTAGGTAGTTTCCTACCCATTTCAGGTAAAGATTACGTTCATTGTTTGATTTATAGACTATATAAATATTTATCAATTTATTGACTCTATGTTGTGTTACTAACATTTTCTAAAAGAGATACTGCGGGCGGTAAAACCCCACAAATGTAGACCTATGCCTATGCTTTCGACTGTCCTATTTCTAGGACATTGTTTGGAGTAGCTTCAGCCCATCACAGGTCCTCTTAAACTAATAAATATGGAAACAAAGTGCTTTAAACATATAAAACCAATCTCTCTGGTCTGAAGGTTTGAAACAGATTTTTTATGAAATTTTAAAAAGTTTTGTCAGACCTATTTTTGTCCTGCACGGGTCAGATGAATGACACTTTTTTTTGGGGGGGGGGGGGGGGGTAATCTTTCCCTTGTACAATGTGTGAAAAGGATGTAATAATATATTACGTATCATTCTAGCTTTTCTTAATATTTGTATATTGCATCGGCCAGGTAAGCGCAGGATTCTTTTTTAAAATTTACTTTAATATTGTGCTTTCAAAAAAATGGAACGTGAAGAAGGCCTACCTTGTAGGTAATTATTGACCTTCCTTTTTGGAAGTCCTGACAGTAGTTTTTCTCTATTTATCAAGGTCAAATGAATTGGGACGACTAGTGCAGCTCTATGTTCGTCGCTGTGAGGCATGCTGGAAAGAGTCAGGAGTGCTGCAGTGGCTGGAACGCAATGTCAACACAGTCTTAGACATTGTGGATGAAGGAGTTGACAGCAGGCTAGAGACGTATCCTGCGTTGTATGTAATATTTGATATATTATGAGTCATTCTTAACCCTATCCGTGGGCACTGGGGTCATTTTGTACCCCCATGGTTGTATCTTCACATTTTAGAATACTTCTAGTACGAAGATCTCTTTGAAACTTTCAGTATTTCTCTAAAAATCATTTTGACAGACTGCTATGCTAAGCGTACGGATCGGATTAACAAGTAAATTTCCTCTTTGGAAAGTGGGGACACAGAGTTTGGAAAGTGGTGGCACAGAGTTCCCCACGTCGTAGGGATACGATAGTAAAACACGACGTACGGGTAGGGTTAAAAAGTCAACTTGTAAACATTGCAATAACCCACCTTTTCTCATACTGTACTCAGTTTTAATGCTTTTTAGGTTTGTCTTAATCTATATTTAATTTGTACCTAACCTGTGCTGTATATGCTGATGTTTCTTTGAAGCTATTCCTTTTTATATTTTCAAAAATTATAAACGTAAATATATCAGATGCCAATGAGTTATGTGGAAGAACAGGATTGAGTTGTGAATGAAGTGAAAAATTGGGAAATTTTATAGGTTTAGAACACATTGCAACTCTGTATAGTTTTTCAAGAGGTGGGAGCGGAATGAATGACTGTTTCAAGAAAATAACAATAAAGTAGACCTATATATACAGATATTGCCGAGTTGAGTAAAAAGGCATGATAGAATATCAGACTTGGGAACCGAAAAAAAATACAGTTGTAAGGAAATGCATCAAAGTGCTTCGAGTAAGTTTTACAGTCAGTACAACATATAATCATATATATATTTTGATTTTTTATAACCGTTTTTGCTTCATTTGCAGACGGCGACAGCAGTTCAAGCACCCGCCTCCCAGCATTCTCAGACATTACCATCTGTCTGGCATTGCTGTTCCATCTGTAAGTTAATTGTGCTTGGGTCTTTTGTTGAAACTTGCCTCATTATGGTCTTTAAAGCTTTTAAAGTTCTTGACTCATGTTTGCTTTCAACTCTGTGCAGTCACATTCTTTGTGTTTAAACTTGCCTCATTATGGTCTTTAAAGCTTTTAAAGTTCTTGTCTCATGTTTGCTTTCAACTTCAACTCTGTGCAGTCACATTCTTTGTGGTTGTGTGTTTAATAAATAGACAAATTGCGACTAGTCTCTACCCATATGTATAGCAAAAATATGTGATTTTCTGAGTACTTCAGTGTTTCTCTATCATTACGTTGTTTTTGACGACTGTATGAGGGAGGCCCCACTGCCCAAACAAAAATTGACGGGGTTCTCGTGGTCTAGAAGTACAGTGTTTACCTGTCATCATTCAATAGGTCCAGAGTTCAAAACCCAACAGTGACGGGGAAATTTTCTCCTTTCTCCTTCCTGTTCTTTAATCATGTTCTGTCATCTGCTTTCAACTCCACTTTCACTACGTTTAGAATAAACAAGAATGAGACCGGGGGCTTCCATGGCCTAAAGGGTAAGGTGTTCGCCTTTCATTCAAAGGTCCCGGGTTCGAATCCGGGTAGCGACCGAAAAATTTTCTTCTCTAAAATTGTCTCCTTTCACATCCTTTCCTGCTCTCTAGCAATGTACTGTCGTGTGCTTTCATCTCCACTTTCTACCTCCACCCCTCACCTCCTTTGCCCCCTCCTCTGGGCTCCTGACTCTTTTTGCAGCCTCTCTACTGCTACTCCTTGACTCCTCCATACTGCTGTCTTTCTGCCATACCCCTGATCATCTGGTAGGAAAGATCTACACCTAGCCCTCTCGGACAAGGGCGAAAAATCTCAGGGGTCGGGTGCGCAAGTTGGGCGCATTAAAGATCCCTTTGTGATCTAAATTCGATAAGAATAGGCTTCGGCCTCCACCCGGGCAAAATTCAAAATTTCCTACCAACTGTAAATGTTTAATGTGATCCCCGCGCTCATATGACCTTATGCAGTTGCAAGGGCAGTAAAACACTTACCAAAAAAAAAAAAGAATGAGACCTGCCACTTTTCAACCCCCCCTTGCCCCCTCATCTGGGCTCCTGACTCTTTCTGCTGCCTTTCAACTGCTACTCCCCTGCCTCTTCTTACTGCTGTCTGTCAGCCACACCCTTGATCTTAGGGTAGGTAAGATCGAACACCTGACCTTCTCGGATAAGGATGAAAAAATCTCTTGAGTCCAGTGTGCAAGTTGTGCTCATTAAAGATCCCTTGGTGGTCCTAAAATCGATAAGGGTAGGCTTCAGCCACTATCCAGGCAAAATTCAAAATTAATTTCTACCAAACTGAGTATTCTTAACGTATCCCATATGCTCATATGACCTTATGCTGTTGCAAACGCCATAAATCACTTACCCAAAAATATTTTTTTAAATTGATAACTTTAAAAAAACTGTGGACCCTATCCAGGGGAAACAAACCACGAAACACAGTATCATGATGATTAATTAGTTTGAAGCATGGTTTCTGCAGCATTAATTGTTGAAAATGTGTAGGTGAAAAGATGAATAATACCCATCCTGCCAGGTCAACAAAATCCAACTTTTACATAATGGAGAAACGGATCAGCTTTTCGTGAGATGATTTAGTGAAAGGTATAATATGTTATCTTTTCTCTCAGGAAAGAAGACTTTCTTGGATAAACAATGAATTCTCTCTATGATGTTTCTCCCCAATACCAGAATGTGTCCAACAGAACTGTGTATGGCCATGATCCATATCCTCCATCTGACAGCATAGCTGGATATACCAGACCCCCAAGGTTAGTCGTATAAAATGTCTTTTTTCTCAATTGTCTTTCCTTTCTCTTTATGTACTCAGGTTTAATACAGTGACAATGGCAAAGACAATCTTTATTCATTTTGCAGGGAGAAATTTGTCTTGGTCGTTAACAATGGCAGTAGACGTTACAAAAGTTAGACCTAAAGGTGCACTCACGCAAACACACAACAAGACAGGACATTAGGCCTGGTAAATACATGTCTCGCAAATTGTGATTGGAAGATTTACTCAAGCACTTGAGCAGATGAAAGAAACTAATGTCTTGTGTTCTAATGTCAAGTGTGCACAGTATCTAGTCATCTGGTAGTAATAAAGGATTGATTGAAATATATTTTGATTCAAAGGACTCTCAAATTTGATTCGAAGACCCCAATAGGAATCTACTGTATAACTGCCAACCAATTTATTTGAAAGGTGTATTTAACACGTTTTTTAGGGTCTGAGTAAAGGAGCCCATTTTTGTATCTGAAATCGTGTATTCTGTTTTCCAGTTTGGCTCCTCACTGACTTTCTGGTGCGATACTGAAAGAAAATTAAGAACTTTCAAGTTCGAATTTGCAAATACAGTCGAACCTGCTCTAATGGCCTCCTGTTTCTAACAATCACCTGTGCAAACGGCCACTTCCCATTTCCTCAATTGCATAATTTTTACATTGTAACCTCACTGTGTGAGACGGCCACGTGTCTGTTACGGCCACTTTTCTCGTCGACAATGGGTGGCCGTCTTGAGTCTTAGACAGTTTCGACTGTAATAATGAGAACGAGGCCCACAGGTTGATTGAAAAGATCTTTATTAAACATTTTTGACATTATTGTTGCATGTCTGTTTTCAATAGCTTGAATTTATTGAATACAGAAAAAGGTTGGCAACAATGAATGTAGTACAAGTTTGTGTTTTTTACACCCCCTGCCAAATGTACATGATGCTAGAAAAAAAAAAGGGTGTTTTTTAATGTTCAGAGATGGATACTGCTGGTAAACAATTCACCTTCAGAAGTCTAACAGAATAAGAATCTTTTGTTTGACAAGTTGCTATTCAAGTTATGCAGCTTGTTGTTTTGTTTATTCCTGTCACATATATGACATGCAAGCACTGCGACAGAATCTGCGCTGCAAACATAGGAAAAATTAGCTATGAAAGAAGCTGCATAAAGAAAACCTTGAGACCATCTTAAGCTAAGCTAAATTGACCGTCTGCATGGACGAAAAGAGCCATATTATATATGACTAAAAACTAAATTGCCTCTTGATGCAAGTAGTGTAGGGTTACATTATTTTCCCACCTGTGTTTGCAGCACTATGTGTGTATCATTTTATACCATGTTTCCATTCTACATTGGTTTCTTTTGCATTCCTAGACCAACGAGAGCTGCTGGGAGTGATCAAGGAATGCTGAGCCTACTTCTTGAATCATTGCTGCCTTCTTATAACCCATATGTAAGCTGAATTGTTGCTGTTTTCATTGTTGACTAGAAGTGAAAGTTTACTGCAGCTCCTTCCTGTCCATCTGTTAAGTTTTCTTGATATAGTGTCATAGTTTAAAGGCCTTTTAACTCTTTAAAATGTATACATTCCTTCAACTGTTTTTGATCTATACTAATTAACCGTATTTTACCTTTCCCTACATGTGTTTTCTTATCTTGATACATCAAAAATAGTTTTGTAAATGAAGACTTAACCCTATCCGTGCGTGGTGCTATACTATCGTATCCTTACGAAGTGGAGAACTCTGTGCCACCACTTTCCAGAGAGGAAATTTACTCGTTAATCCGATCCGTGCGCTTTGCATAGCAGTCTGTCAAAATGATTTTCGAAGAAATACTGAAAGTTTCAAAGAGATCTTTGTACTAGAGGTATTCTAAAATGTGACGAATACAACCCTGGGGGTACAAAATGACCCCAGGCATACGGATAGGGTTAAGGGGGAGAAATGGCAAACACGACAGTTCAACCGGGAATGAAAAGAGCAGTGTGCACATAAAATAGGAACTGAGAAAATTGTTTTTCAAACTTGAGATTTCTCAAAATCATCAACGTGTGACTATGCTGTTTTTTAATCCTGTAGAATTCAAACCTGTATTGTATAGATTTTACTTATTGGCTTGTAAAAAGAAAAAGACAATTCTTAAGTAGAGGCGGTCACTGTTCATAATTTTATTTGAATAAAGTCTCTAACAAGATAACAATGTAGTATACTTACTTCCTTCCACACTCATCTTGGTGCTCAAAACAGATTGTTGGAAGCATTCTTGACTACAAAAAAACAAGAGACATTCTCTTTTGCTGAAGGATGTTTTTGTAAGAGTAAATTATGTATGTACCCCTAAAAAAGGAAAATATTAAACTTAAAGTACTCAAGAGTGCTTGCAACATTAATCTGTTGTCAGATTAAAGTTAATCCCCTGAGTAATTACTATAGTTTCTAAGGCATTCTTACATCCCCTGAGTACACAATTTATGTTTGTTCATCAGGAGCTTGTTGATGTGAACAGCCGTCGCCGACAGAATCCTCAAGAAAACGGATTTGCTATGGGAGCTATGGACGATGGTTTAGGAGATGATCTGGGTGGTGCTGGGGCTAGAGCGATACCGCAACAGCTGCAGACCAGCGTCAACGCTATCATGGATGCCATGAGACAGCTGCTGAACCGGGCTGTGGCCATACCCAATGCTGATGAACAGGGGGAAGCAGACGAAGAGAATGAACGGGCGTGGGAGGAGGATGAGGAGAACTATCAAAATGATCATTAATCTTAATTAAAGAATGACAGCTTATTACTCTGTTATGGATATCGCTAATACGGGGTGCCCACTATGGCTGGATCGGGCCGATCGCCTGAAACTGAAAACAAACACGTTTGTTTTTTAGGCGATTGAGTCGCGGCGATTGGCCCGATCGGCGGATCCCAGCCGTAGAGGCACCCCGTATTAGCCTCATGCAGGGGTGGGATTTCGTGGGACTTTTCTTTAATTTGGGATTTCTTTTCTCTTATTCCTAGGTCTATCACTTCTAGCAAAAGTTGTTAGCGATCCAGATTCTAACAAAAGAACATTGAAATTTTTATGTCCTTTTTTGCAGAGGTAAAATCTTTTATACTGAGTTGCCTTTTTTGGTGAAGTGAAAGTGCTTCAACAGAAATCAGCTGTGATATGAAAAAATATCCCTGTTTTATTTCTTATTTGTCTTTGTATTAGCTGAAATGCTCCTATATCTAAACAGAAAAAAAGTTTCAAGGGTTATATCATCTTAATCTTCACTTGCAACCCTCACGTAATGCAGATCATCAAGTGTTACACACTTCAAGATAGCAAAAGAGATGCGAGAACTCGTATGTGTTGATTGCAGACCAAAGAGAGGCCTCACCAGTGTACCGTTTGCCTACATTTATCATACAAATGAAAAGACCTACACTCTGTGTATAGTGACACAGATTGTTTCTGTGAAGCAAGTTCAGTGCACAAGAACATGTGACGGCATGTGTCTTCTCTTGAGCCAAAAAGTCCATGGTTTGTTTTTACTAGACTCATGACATTTTTTTCCTTATGTTAGTAAAAGACATTCAAAGTTTATGTCTATGGCCATCTATTGCTGCATCCTTTTTGTGTGCATTTGTAGAACTTATCAGGAGACAAGAAGAAATTAAGAACCTTAATGAAAATCCTGATTAAGGCCAGTGGAAGACCAATTGGTTGCATTTAAGTGTTTCATTTAGACTTTTGTCTTACCATCGTCTATGTTTGGTGGTGGTGATGGATATTGTGCAGTGGAGGTTTTTGCTACGTACTGAAAGTTCTTATGTATAAGAGAGATATATATATATGTAGTCTAGCATGCACAAAGCAAAACACATAGGCCTACATAGCAAACAGATTTTATTTTTAGATCCCAAATTTTCTCTTACAGTTGTGTGTTCTTTGTATTTAAAAACACATACATAACAAAATTCGTTGCATATTAATGAAAAGATTTCCACGTCCGGCCAATTTGCTATATGCGTGCTAAACTGTATATATATACCATATATAAACTTTTGTTTTGGCTCCCTAAGACACAAGCCAGTACTATGCATGTTTTCTTCATTTGCTAATTTGACACTTGATTCTTTTGAGACTAGTGTTAAGGTATTTATGAATTTATGAGGGTTAATGAGAGTCTTGAATTCTCTACCGCTTTCAACTTGTCGCTTTTAATTTTGTCTTTCATTGTGCAATTTTTTCTCTCCATCTCATGTTATGAGTAACACAACAGAATAAATGTTGTGATCATGTCCGTTTATATTTAGACTATTTAGTTTAGTTTTAGTAAAAGTTTTATGGCGCTCACAACTGCATAAGGTTATATGAGCGCCAGAAGATTAGAGGTGTTACAAGAGAGTAACAAACAGAAAAAGGGGAGATAAGGACGATAGATATCTTATAGGAAAGAAGAAGCAAACCACACCAGAGCACCCGCCAACCACAGACTATTTGACGGAAAGTGTGGGCTCTGTGGCTGATAAAACAAAATAAGGTGTCTTCTTTCTCACATACAACATGTGAGAAAGCCAGAGGCGATGCATGGAATCCAAGCACTTCTTCAGTCTTGGTAATTTCAAGTTGTTTACATCATTAGGATTATGGGTCTTGTCAATGGATAAAACCTCATTTCTCTGTTTGTTGATGTAAACGCTTGGGCTTTGTGGCAAAAATTTAAAAAAACAATGAAGCATGTCGTCTTTCTACAAATACCACATTTGTGAGGCAGCGTAGTGAAATCAGGCTCTCGTCAAACTAATCAAAGTGAAGAAACTTGCATCTTTCTGCCGGTTTGTGAATTTTTATCAAATTTTTGTTTTTTGGCTCAACACCTTTCATGCCCATTAAAGAACTCATTTCTTCTTGGGTTTTTCTGAAAAACGTTGAATAAAGGCACAAAAAATGTAAATTTTCAGTTACCACGGACTCTTAAGCTAAGGAAATAACTAATCTTTGGCGGCCATTTTCTCACTAATTTTTCCTCTGAAAACAAGTGACCCCCACCTCCTTTCGCAAATATCCCGACTCGTATTCAAGATAAATGGATATTTTTTCCTTCAAATAAAGACAAGTGAACAAGCTTTAAGATGATACCAATAACCCTACATGCCCAAAAATTGACGAGAGCCTGATTCCACCACGATGCCTCATATATAATCGTGCAAGACCGTAAAAGTAAACTCGTTGAATTGGAATACTTGTTCGGTCTTCTGTCTTTCTAGTTGTTTACCTCGTTATATGGTTTGTTTTATGACGGTCTTGTCAGTGGATGAAGTCAGTGTCGCTGTTGGTTTGTTTTATGACGGTCTGGTCAATGGATGAAGTCAGTGTCGCTGTTGGCTTGTTTTATGACGGTCTTGTCAATGGATGAAGTCAGTGTCGCTGTTGGCTTGTTTTATGACGGTCTTGTCAATGGATGAAGTCCGTGTCGCTGTTGGCTTGTTTTATGACGGTCTTGTCAATGGATGAAGTCAAGTGTCGCTGTTGGTTTGTTTTATGACGGTCGCTGTTGACATGTTTTATGACGGTCTTGTCAATGGATGAAGTCAGAGTGGCTGTTGGCTTGTTTTATGACGGTCTTGTCAATGGATGAAGTCAGAGTCGCTGTTGGCTTGTTTTATGACGGTCTTGTCAATGGATGAAGTCAGAGTCGCTGTTGGCTTGTTTTATGACGGTCTTGTCAATGGATGAAGTCCGTGTCGCTGTTGGCTTGTTTTATGACGGTCTTGTCAATGGATGAAGTCAGTGTCGCTGTTGGCTTGTTTTATGATGGTCTTGTCAATGGATGAAGTCAAGTGTCGCTGTTGGCTTGTTTTATGACGGTCTTGTCAATGGATGAAGTCCGTGTCGCTGTTGGCTTGTTTTATGACGGTCTTGTCAATGGATGAAGTCAGTGTCGCTGTTGCCATGTTTCCACAGTATAGACACCTTAAGCCTAGAACTCCAAGCTGAGTCACAAGGACTACGTGCCAAAAAGCTGGGTTCGATGCTTGAAAATCTAGATCTCAGCAATCGAGGGATTCAACAACAGTGTTTTCTTCAATGTCACTCAATCCATTGCTTTCTTCTACCTCTAATGAAAAATCTGGACACCATCTCTCCTGCGTTTTAAATGTTTCATTATGCTAACTGTATTCAAACTGTCACCAGATTTGCTGTGGTTTTTTTATACAAGATCAGGATCTCCAGAAACTGAGGTGACTTGACAGTTTTGGATTTCAAGGTTGTTCACATGTGGATGATTGCTTTTTATGAAGTAAACTTTGGTGTGGATGATTGCTTTTATCAAGTAGGCTTGGTTGGCATTATTTAAGTGTTAAGGACAACTTTGCTTGAGTGTGATCAGTTATGAACTGAGCAGGTTTGAGGAAGGAAAGGGGAAGAGTCAATGTTGTAAGTGCCAAAAGAAGCAATTTCCAAATTGTTGTACTTGTACTCTTGCAGTTGTAATGGGGGGGGGGGAGGATATTTGTTGGAATGAATGGTGTGCTTTATACTATATAATACTATACAGTATACATCCCATGGTCCAGTGTTTCCTGTGATCTGCATAAAAACTTGATGCTATTCTCAAGGATATATAATAGCCTACATATGTGTGTGTGTGTAGTAATCACCAGTTTGGGCTTCTGAACATTTCTGCTGTCTATATTTGCCAATAAATGAATTGATGAGAATGAGTGTGTACTGCTAATTTGATTTTTTTTAAACTGTATCTATGAATAACTCTGTATACAGTCAAATCCTGTTTTATGGCCTCTTACCACCAGGTTTTGCCAATGCATGAAAACGAATACCTGTATATATAAACATACTGTTTTCCCCTTTAAACCACCATCTGCCATCGAGACCTCAGTGCTTTCTTGTCGAATCTCCATTTTTTGTTTTAACAACAATGAAAATGTGACATCTACCTTTAGAAGCTCACTCTTTGTGATATTGAGATACGACAAGAAAGCATTGGGGTCACGAACTGCTGACTGCTGAGTTGTACGGTCCTTACTAAACAAATGTAAATTTGCCTTGCAACAGCGCCAGTGAACTGACCACCAGAGGTGCACACAGCACCCACCCCACATGCTGCTAAGTGATAATCTACATTTCTCCGAGAAAGTTTAATGTGTGCTTGGTACTAACTACTAGCACCTTTGGCTTCTACTTCTAGTGAAGCATCAGATGAAGAGCCGAACTGGATCTGAGAGACAAACTTACCACATTACTGTATCAAGTCTGAAAAAAATCAGTGGGTTGATCCTTCATTTATTGCCTGACTGAAAAGCTCCTAAAACATTGGTAGGGTGGAGAGTGCTCCAGATATTTCATTACTGAGAGTACACCAGATAATTTCTGTGTTGATTTTTCTGAAAAACGTTGATTAAAGGCACAAAAATGTAAATGTTCAGTTACCACGGACTCTTAAGCTAAGGAAATAACTAATCTTCGGCGGCCATTTTCTCACTAATTTTACCTCTGAAAACAGGTGACCCCCACCTCCCTTCATTCGCAAATATCTCAACTTGTATTCAAGATAAATGGATATTTTTTGCATCCGAATAAAGACAAGTGAACATGCTTTAAGATGATACCAATAACTCTACATGCACAAAAATTGACGAGAGCCTGATTCCACCACGATGCCTCACATGTGTTCTTCAAAGAATTCACAGTAGGTAATTCAGTATGGATTGTAGATTGGTGTGTCTTTATGTGTTTCAAGTTTCAGGAATTTATTATGTTATAGTTATAGTACTGATGTTGAGACTGAAAAAAAGGTGTATGGTTAATCATTCAAGTCAAAATATCCTATACCCCTACTTTTGCTGAATGAAAAGTGGATCAGCAACCTTTTTGTCATTTAGTTTAATAAGATAAAGTATGCGCAGGTTATTTCATACTATTCTGCCCACTTCCTGATGTACTACTTTCACTTTCACGAAGTCATGGGTGGCAGCATCCCCCCCATCAAATGAAACAGTTGTCAGACTGGGCCAGTGAAGAGCACCAAATAGAACAAAAAAACTGCAGTGGACTGGTACCCAAAATTCCTTGATAGCACTGAAATTTACCCCTGACACATGGAGTTGGAAGGTTAAAAAAATCTCATCTACTGCCGTCTGTGGGTGGTGTAACGTTTATGCTCTTTGCTGTCTCACACAGGAGACCCCAGTTTGATCCAGTACGGAGAATTTTTGATCAAGTTGCTCAGCCTTTGTGCTGGGATGTTGTGTTCCTCTCCGCCCAGGGCCCGCCTCCTAAGAGATCTAAATTGTGTGAATGGGAGCGTTAAAAAACACCTACATTAATCAAAAGAAAAAAAAGTCTCACTCTGTAACCATTGGTTATGAACATGCAAGAAGTTTATTCATTAAAAAAGGAGCACATTTGGAAATGCATAAAAATGATGCTATTGAAGTTGAAGTTCAACTTTCAGTGTACAATTATATGGAAATGATGCCTTCAATGAGGACTCAACAACATAAGTTCATGACAGATGAAGAGATAATGCTAAGATACTTTATCTTTGGTTTGCGTGCCATCAACCTCTGGGTCTTGATGTTCCTTGGCTGGGTCAGAACCTCTGTGTAGTAAAATAAGTCCACAAACCATAAGAGTAGACCCCAAGCACCACTGCAAACCCAAGTGTTCTCCAAGCAATACTTTTCCCATCACAGCCTGTGCATGATTGGAGAAAAAAAGCAAAACGTTCAGAATAAACTGATTTCAAGGATATGTATCACTGTGAAGAAGTACATGTTATAAGGGTAATATTCAGGGGAAAACCCGATTTTGACAGAACTGAGTGAATGTATTCAGGTTTGAATAATACTAGATAATAGGGTTGGTCTTTTTTCACTGGTCTCATTTTTAGCATATATATGTGAGGCGTGCTGACAAAATGAGGTACTTCTCGCAATTCACAAAGGGAGATATTGGCCAAAAATCAACACCTAGGTCAAATTAACAGATCTTCTATTGATGCTCTATTTTTTTATGTATAACATGCCTCTTATCATTTCATACTTGTAAACTGTAAAACTTCACTAATAAGCATGATGTTTCTATTTCAATAAGGCTTGAATTAGAGAAGTAACTCATTTTGTCAGCGCGCTTCACTTATTGTCAAGGAGAAAAGTGGCCGTCTTAGGCAGGACCGATCAAGATGAAGAAAACAAACGATTCCCATCTGAGGTCCCAATGGAAAGTAGCCGTAATGTTGTTGTTTTTGTTGGTTTGTGTTTTGTTTGTTATTTTTATTTCGTCTCTGATTTTGCGCAAAGGTGACAATAAAAAAAAGTGTGTCAGACGAGGAAGACCGAGTGCCATGTTAAAACAAACGCATGAGTCGCCATCACTCGGAGAACGAGCAACGCTTCTGTAACAAGTTCATGTTGACATCCATTGTTGCTTTGTTTCAGACTGAGTAAACAGTGACCACTCATCTCACTTACGGTTTTGTTTTATTTGTGTATGAGTTCTGGGCGGGGCTTATGGGTTATGAGGGATCACACGCTTACCTCACCAGCAGCAGAAAATTGGTACCTATTGGTCAATAATGGGAGGGGCCTACACAACATGATCAGTTGGAGGGACTATCTAACAATAACGACAGGGGAATGGATTATGACGGCTCGCCCACAACGTCAGGGGCCAGTGCATAATTTATGACAAAACGTAATGGAGTCACTAAGGTGGCCGTCTAAGACAGGAGTTATTGCTTAGAGTGATAGGGGTTGTGTGTTAAAATATGGTGGCCGCTGCTGCGTTGGACAGGTGCCCGTTTTACACAGTTAAATTATATAGAAAAAAACCAAGGGGGGAAATGGAAAGTGGCCGTTTGTACAGGTGGCCGTCAGGGCAGGTTCGGCTGTGTATATAAGGGTGATTCAAGAAGTCTTTGGTCTAAATATGAAGGAATAAAGATGGAGCTTTGTAACTTGGCAAACATACTTTTATTTCTCTATATAATCATCATGCAGAGTAACATATTTCTGCCACCTCTCTTTGACCATCAAAAGTCCTCGAGAGAAAAATGACCCAGAATGGGCCTCTAACCAGTCTTCAACAGCTTCAATGGCGTCCTCGTTGTCATAGAAACGACATCCTTTGAACGATTTTTTTAGATTAGGAAACAGAAAAGAGTTTTAGGGCGCTAGGTCTGGTGAATAAGCTGGGTGTGGCAGGATTTCAAAGTTGAACTGTTCTGCTGTCTGGACTGCTTGTTGTGTCCTGTGCGCCATGGCGTTGTCATGCAGTAGGAGGACCCCATTACAGAGTTTTCCACGCCCTTTTCTCACCAATTTGGAACGTAATTTTATCAGCAAACCTGAGTAGTTGATAGTAGTAGTCTCCTGTGACTGTTTTTTAATTTTACAGGTAGTCAGTCACGATGATACTTTTTACAATCCCAGAAACATGACAGCATGACCTTTCCACTTGACGGTGTTACCTTTGCCTCCTTTAGTGAGGGAGAAGAAGGGGTTTTCCATTGAATGGAGGACATTTTCTGTTCTGGGTCAAAATGATAAATCCATTTTTTCAACCCCAATCACTAGGTTTTAAAAGAAATTTGTGCCATAGGACTCAATTCGAAGGAGAGTTTAGCCCGGACTCAATTCGAAGGAGAGTTTAGCCCGGACTCAACCCTCTGCTTCGTTTGCTCACTTGTCAAAAGGCGGGGTACCTACTGCGCAAACACCTTATTCATTTTAAGATGGTCGCAATTGACCCTACGCCGATTCTCGTTTCACTTGCGAGCTGTTTAAGAGTTACATGTCGGTCTTGTAGCATATGTTTCTTCACTATGGATACATTCTCTTCAGTTACCACAAAGGATGGGCACCCTTCACGATCTTCATCCATCGCCGACAGGAGTCCAGATTTGAATTTTCTTACCCAATACGTCACAGTAAAATAACGAGGACATTTGTCACCATAAACTTGGACCATTTCCAGAAAAATGTCCTTAGGGGATTTTCCTTGCAAGTGTAAAAACTTGATAACTGAGCGGTATTCAACAGGCTCCATGGCACAGCTTCAGCAAAGAAAAACAAATGTTTTTATGCATGGTTTCATTGAACGCGCTGACTATGCCTTATTATCGTCGGAATTCCATGAAAATTTGCATGGTATGTTCCAAAGAAATCGTCTAAAGGCTAGCGATATATCATTACTCTAACTTGATTCCTTCATACCGAGACCAAAGACTTATTGAATCCCCCTCGTATATCTAGTCATTTTTATATTCAATAGTATCGAAAAGGGGCATGTATCTTTTAAATTTTTATTTTAAACAAAGGCAATAATCTGCTAGAAAACAGGAGTAGAGAGACAAGTCTCTTGCTTTTTGTTTCACCCATTTAAAACAAAACCAGATATATTAAAAACTTTTTAACACAGTTGAAAAAGTTGGACCAAATTTAAAAGAATAAACCCAGTGAATGTACCACCGTCTAAATCTTTGGATTTAAGAAGAAAGATAATTCATATCAATCATCCTCTCAGTTATGTCAGTTTAGGTTTCAACATTAGTCTAGCTCTAGCTAGTCAGGACTTTGGGTGTTGCAGTGAAGAGAAGAAAATGACTCTGTTTTGAACCAAACTGTTCTGTTGACAGAGGAGAAAAAAAAGGGGATTTTGTACTGAAGTGAATGGAATGGCACAAAGCTCTCAGACAACTTTTTGAAATACAAGTAGGCCTACAAGGAGATAATAAAGAGCAGCCATGAACCAAGAAACACAAATGAAACTGAAGAAACAATGAACACTTGTATTTGTTGAATACTGATACATTAATATATATAGCACTTCTGAGTGCTGCCTACACTTAACTTACAGTAAAAAAGAAGTTGGACGCTGTGTTGAAGGCTGTGGCTTCCAAGGTAGAAGAGCACATGTGCATTGACTTTGTGAACAGCACCCACATCAGAGCATTGAATAGAAATATTCCTGCAAGGCCTGCCAACCTCACAACCAGTGCTAGCTGTTGACATAGAATGCAGATATCATTTAAAAACATTACATGTTTATCCTAGATTTTTAGTAAATATAGCTTGTTCACTTTCGTCTGACCACAGTTAAGTTAAAACGGGATAGAAACAAATTATTCTGTTTAAACTTTCTGGGTCGTTGTATGCGGGTATAAAAGTTAAGCGACTAACAGAATCTTAAAGGCCATTTTAAAAAGTCACTGTAAACTAAGTAAGGTTTCGACATGTTTTCTTTGATGTAAGCCTAAAGCAGGTTAAAAAAATATTTGCGGACTTACAGCATACACCTAAAACATTTATTAGTTGACATATTTTCCTCAACACCACTCTTAAACGCCTTAAAAACACGATTCAAGAGACGGGGTGAGTATTTTTCGAGACTCACGTGGAGACGTCTAGACAGCCAGGGGATGAGATCGACAAGCTTACATTGAAATGTGGGGCAGGGCGGAGTCGCTGTCTCAAAATGAGCAATTTGGAGGCAAGGCTACTGTCAGTCATTTATTTTAGTGATCCTGGGTATGCATCCAAAGAGCGGTTTCTAATATAGGGGGAAAAAAACAAAACTTTTATAACTGGGTCAAGATCTTTAAAAAAAATATTTTTGTTTGGTTGCTGGCCTGCAGAACTGCCATACAAAGTTTCATGGGCATTGGTGAATTCCTCAATGAGCTAGAATTTTCTTTTTAACGCTGCCAGACGAAAGTCAGCAAGCTATAGTACCGGTTGACAATGAAGTTTTTTTTTTAATCAGACAATGTAACCAACAGAGATAACAGTTTATCCAGACCCAAGGAGAACTATATAGTACTCCTTGTCCAGACCCTAATTGAGCATCATTGCTAATAGTGGTATGCCAGTACCAATGTCTTCCTGCTGGGTACAGAAGGCCCATAATCTCATAACAGTAAACTCTTGATGTAATGCACTCCCTTCCGGCCCAAGATTTTGAATAAAAAAGAATGCAGATACCATCTTGTGTGACTGACCATGATTCACCATAGATTCGTCCCCTGATAAATCAGCAACAATCACGTTCTCCTAAGATGGTGTGCATATTTCTTATTCCCAAGCACTGGGATCTCAGGCGGAGACTACAGTAGTATAAAGGTCTAATAATAGAACAGTATTAGTATAATTTATATAGGCTCTATCATAGAATATAGAGAATAGTACGGTTATTAGTATTATTTATATATAGGCTCTATCATAGTTTAAAGAGCCAATCTACTATATATCTAATTAGTCTGTGGTATTACCTTGAAAACTTAACCACACTGATGATCATACCTGACTTGCGATGTGGATGGTTGGAGAGAAATACCCTTGAATGTAAGAGTGCAGAATTTTCCCGATGCCCTCACATATTTCAGAGCTCACAGCAAGTTTAGCAGACACAGAGGCAAATGCAGCACATCCTCCTGCTTCAATGGCACATATAGGACCAGTAAGGCCCATTTCAATACTTGAAGCCTAAACGCTGAGAACGAAATAAATCAACGTGTTCATTACGGTGTACATGTGAACATTACATAATATGTAGAATGCGAGTGCGTGTATAATATAATAATAATCATTATTAAATAATAATAATAATATATTTATTATAATAATAATTTTGATACACACCAATGGAAATAAAAAGACTGCACTGTGGCTCTGCCAAGTGAACGTGCAAAGATTTTTCTTTTAAACACTCTCTCTCTCTCCCACTCTCTCTCTTTTTCCCTCTCCGGTGTTATACAGTATAAGACGCATAGGTCGAACACAGAAGACTCGAAATCACTCATCTGTGAAACTGTGCCTGCGGTCCCGTTTTTTCTTCTTCTTTATCCTTGTAAGATATCCCTCAAACTACGGATCCCTCAAACTATCGAGGCCGGTCTCAACGAATTTGAGCTATCCTTGTTGTAGGCTACTGTATATTATTCAGGCGTACCTGTGTAAGACGGAAACGCAAGGGAACCAGGAGAAAAATTATATTAAAAACTTGTTCCGTCGGGAATTAGGAGAAGCTGGGGGGGGGGGGGGGGTCAGACACCAAGCCGGTGGGATCAAGTGTTGCTTGTCCGGTTAGCAAGCAGTGGTCAGAACTTCATACCTTTCAAGTGCTGTCCTCTCTGATAATGACAAGCGTCAGTCTTACTTAGCCATTGCCACACTGTTTGCATTTCATAGGACCACTGGTTAAGTTTTAACCCTTTCCTACGCCCTCTGGGGTCATTTTGTACCCTCGGGGTTGTATTCTTCACTTTTTAGAATACACTCCAGTATGAAGATCTCTTTGAAACTTTCAGTATTTCTCAAAAAATCATTTTGACAGACTGCAATGCAAAGCTTACGGATCGGATAAATTAGTAAATTTCCTCTTTGGAAAGTGGTGGCACAGAGTTCCCCACGTAGTATGGATACGATCAATAGTAAAACAAGACGTACGGATAGGGTTAACCTCTAATTGAAAATAGAAACATTTGAACATCTCCTTTTGATTCCACCGTTAGCCCCACCCATCAATCAATGTAATAAGTAGGCTACAGTCAACCAGTGCCACCTTTCATGAGCATGTAACAATGATTCAAGGAACTCTTTTCTCGGCTGGCCATACGATCTCATGGGTGGCGGGCAATGGTCCAACTAATTTCACACCTCTGACTACACGTGAAAGTTTTCATGCTGGAGCGCCACTCGAGCTCTTTCACAGGCACTGGTGAGATTTCATCATACCCACATATCACCCTGACGACCAGCTGCACTGCTCAAGGCTTAGATAAATGGGGAAACATTTACCCCCAAATTGCACTCCTACGTACTCCCCTTCGCCTTGCCTGGAGGCATGGTGAAAAGATTAGCCAATGAAACAAACTTAAGAGATCAGATAGTTTTGTTTCAAATCGGGACTGAGTGGGCAAAACATAATTTTCCGTCTAAGACAGGTAATATATTTATACTATATATATATATATTTTAAAAAACCTCCAAAGAGAAGGAATTGCTCTTTCCGTTTCTATGCTAGACAGGTTTCCGTTTTACAGGGGTAATTAGATCTACAGAGGACTTTATCAAGGGGAGAGCTGGGACATTCCATTATGTCAGGTTTCCGTTAAGTTCGATATAGATCTGATCTACGATTTCTTTTGAAGGGATCCGAATTACAAATTTTGGAGGCATAAAGAAGATTAAAAGGTACTAGAAAAGAATGTGGATCCCCTCTGTTTAGGCTTGACGACCATGTAATTATTATTTTCTTTTGATTAAATTTTATGTTCTTTGGCAAAATTAACATGGAATTATAATGGAATGGCTAGCAGAAAAAAAGTTAGTTCCCGCCTGTAAAATTGCGTCTTTTGAAAGAGAGTAAGTCTAGGCTAAATTATTATTTTCTTTATTAGATCTAGATCTAGTAAGATTGGCAACTATTAACTATTTCCTGTAATACTGTAGTAAATATCAATATCCATCACGGCCAGCACGTAAACAAACCGATTACAAGCAGGCTCATCCACACTCAACTTGTGTAATATGTGAGAATGTGTGTGGGTCTTGGAGTTAATACAGTTGTGTGTGTGTGGGGGGGGGGGTGTATGTGTGTGGTGTGGTATTAAATCTGTCTCACAACATCATGCACTTTCTGTCCTTTTACTTTTACTTTTACTTTTGATTCGTTAGTAAGATGTTAAAGATGATTCATTGTGAATGAATTGAATTATGAATAGCACTAAAACTAGATTTAGATCTAGATCTCTAGCTCTTAATTAGTAAAGCCTTCCACGGATCAGGCGAATATATAAACTCCCATTATTTTTATTAATAACAACAATGTTTTCTTTGTTTAAAAAACAACAACAAGTAAACATTCATTGCGCCGAGAATACCGGTCTAAGCAACTGTTTGTTTACTACTAGTCACGGGGGCTGACATATTGTAGCTACGAAGTGAATGTAAAACTGTACAGTATAATGATGGGCTAAAGAAAGCAATTTCAAAACGCTAATATTATGTTTAAAAAAATGTCATCATTATGATTTCATTAATTTTCAATATTTTTAAACAGTTATAAAACTCAAACACATAAACGATAATTCTGCAGCAAATCAATATTACAGAAACATGGCGGACACATCTGTTAGTCTTCAGGCTCACTGCAAAGTGCTGCTTCATGCCGCTAAATATCCCCACTCCGCTGTGAATGGGGTACTACTTGCTGAAGATAGCAAAAACAAAGATACCAAGAGCCACAGATGTGTAGACTGTATCCCCCTATTCCATGTGTCTCTCGGCCTTTCCCCTATGCTGGAAGTCGCTTTGCTTCAGGTGTGAAAGTAGTGTAGCCGGTGATCTGGGAGGACTTCCGTAACGAGCGACCACATGAGAGATCAGAATTGAGGGCTAGGGGTAGGGGTAGATGTAGGGGTTGGGTTAGGGTTAGACCTCTTCTTTATTGTGTTTGATGGGGTAGTCGCTCGTTATGGAAGTCCTTCATATTTATTTAGATCTAGAGTGGTGTAGCCCCTGCGCGTGCGCCTTCTCGGTCCGTGCACTTTTGTTTTCCTTTGTTTTTAGCCTCAAATTGCGTTTTTGCGTTTGATTGAATGCGTCAGTGTGTGCAGCAGCCATTTTTGTTTACTTCCATCACTCGTTTGCCGACAAGGGATCATCGAGAGTGTTTTTATCAGCTGTGGCAAGTTGACATTCAACGCTGACCTGTGAACTAGTTTTTATGACCTATTTGCCTCTGATTGGTTCAAATAGACTGTGCGCGCCCCCTAGCTTAAAAAATGTCCCTACTCCTTCCTTGAGTGTTTCACGTGACCTTTTATCGAGTTCTATGCCAAGTTGTAATGCGGGTTTGGGGATCGGGGGGGTGCACGCGTTGTGAAGACTGAAAAAACTCGAGTTTTCTCTGCGCGTGCACAATGAAATATATAGTAGAATACTAAGAAAAAAAGTAGACTCAATTTTAGAGACTATTTGGTTGCAGTTTGAAGAATTTCATGGATGGTGGCATGTGGACTGTGTGAAAGATGGAAAGATCAGAGGAATGAGTGATGAAGAGTAGGAAAATGTGGATTTTAGTTGTGAAAAATTCTGTTTGATTTTTTTTCACTATGTATTTGAACTAGATCTATCTATTTATACCCCCTAAATTAAATTAGTTTAGATTCTAATTAAAATTGCCTTACTTTGCTTCTAAAGTGACTTGTTATCTTTCTGTGTGGTCATTTAATGCAGTAATGTTATCAGATTCCTCTTCTTTTGGCTTTCAACGTGGGTGCACGCACAGTGAAGAATCCCTAGGTTGGAAAAACTGTTGGGCACACAACGTTTAAGAAATCTGGTGACTATGAGCAAGACCATTTTATAGGTCAATAGTTTCTTGAATGGAATAGCTCAATAGCTAAAAACGAAAGTACAAAGCCAGAAATGGCGGAAAATACGTTCAACGATCGCGAAGTGCACGGGTACCGGCGACACCACTCTAGATCTACATCCAGAGAAAAAATGGAAGTGGCTATTCTCACCCGCCCGGAAGTTCTCGCAAGATCTACTCCTCCCCGCTTCTCTCTCTCTCTCTGTCTCTTTCTGAATACTGTCTATCGGTGTGGACGATCAAATTGACCAAAATAAAGTTAAAAAATGATGTTTAACACAAAAGTAAATTAATTTGGTTGTCTACAAAGATGCTACGGCTATTTAACTTTTCGAATCGAGCCGAACTACGCGGGTCGCCATTTTGTTTTGCCCGGAAGTTCTCGCGCTACTCCTCTCTCTCTCTCTTTCTCTCTCTCTCTCTCTTTCTCTCTCTCTCTCTCCACTGCCCACAGACAAAATTGTACGCTTTTAGTAGGCTACAGTTGTAATGGAACGTTTGTTCACGGCACAGAATTCTACAATTTTTCTGTTATCACAGTGTAGAATTCTGTGGTTTACTAAGGGTGAACGCAAAATTTGTTGGCCTAGATCTAGGCTATAACGGTGAACGTGCACCGGGTGAGAATAGCCAAAAGACTCGCCTGCACTATTCTCACCCCGGGTGAGAATAGAGGTGGCCAGAAAAAATCCGGGTGCTTTTTCGGTAGTTCCCACCCCCCTTATTTGAGCCTAAATCTAGATCCTAGAAGATCTAGATTACGTTTGATGCGCGGCGAGCTAAGACTCGTTAAATCTAACAACTGCAAAACATCAAATTTAACCCTCGTCCTGCGGGGGACGGGTTTATATCGCCCGATAAGCCTATTTCGACCCCTCGCCTACGTTCTGATCCCGAATCAGTGTAGCCCCTGGCTCAGCTCACGCGCACCGCGCATCATCTTACGTGAAATTCGGGTCCCGAGTCGGATCCCCATTCACGCAGGTCAAGTGTGTGTGCGTCAGTCTGCTTGAGTTTGTATGCGTTTGTGGCCTTCTTCTAGATCTAGAACCGCCTGCATTGGTTCGTAATCGAGGCATACGTCTCATTCGAAACACGCCGAGTTGTAGCTCTATAGTAGATGTTTGTCCAATGAAATTATAGAAGAAATTGACCCACTTAGACATGAGGAGCTCGAAAGGATAGTCAGGAAACAAGACTTCCATTCTTCTACTTCTATACAAAATCTTTCAAATGAGCTTGATTCTGTATGAAATGATACTACCTGATAAAAGATAACGCTCTATCTTTCATAGCTTTCTATTTATAAAGTGTTACAGACACATGAATAACCCCCTCTCACAAACTGATAAGACACTACGAGAAGTTACGCCCATTCGAAAACCTTTCTGGACCCTCTTGTTGTTATGAATGACCTGAGGTTCGAAAGGGGATAATATAGGTCAATTTCCGAAAGTTTTGCACTCAAATTGTTCGAAGTCGAAGTCGTTCCTGTTGTTCACGTGGCCCGAAAGCTAGAAAGGGATACACTTCCACACATGGGAAGTACTTGCCGCGAAACGTGTGTCAGCTTGCCGCCATCTCGCTGTGACGTCATGGCTGCGTTAAAGCGTAGCCACTGATGGGACAGTTATTTTGATCGGCCTGAATACCACAGAAAACACCGTACACAAGGACACGGACATAATGGAAGTTTCTTCTTTTTGCCGTTTAAAAAAAACTGGGTTTAATTTCAGCTTTACGTGAATTTAGTGCAGATGTGGACTTCAAAATAACTGCATACATACTCTTCTAGTATTTATTATGTTTGTGGCAGAATCAGAATGAAGATTACTCGGGTAGATTTCCGTGGATTTATGCATGTGTCAGTCTACTTACTCCTAATAATGATAAAGCAGAACGATGTTATAATTACAGAAAATACACACATCAAATAGAAATGAATGCAATATTGCAGTTCTAAGGCATATATTTTCATGGTTTGGAAGAGGGGCAGGCGAGTGGGATCATATCTTCTTTGCTAAAATTACTATGCAGTTGATTAGTTATGCGCATAATCAATTGACTTATTTACCCACAATTTCCGACACGTACATAGCCATGCCATAACCTTTTTATTTATGGGCCGATTTTGAAAAAGTAAAAAGCATTTTACTTCTGGCTTATTGATCTTTGTACCTGAGGTGTTTATAGGTTGGTAGTACCCATCTTTTAAAAAGCTGTGGAATTGCTATGTATAGTTTAGTATACAAACAGCAACGTTTGATTCCACAGACCTATCTTATGTAGATCTATGTCAAGACTAGCTTATCATTGTAATATTCATCAGTAGACGGGGGGGGGGGGGGGGGGGATGACTGTGAGCACTGTGACTTGTTTGTATTTCTACTGACTACTGGTTCTACACCCGGACTCCCCCCTTCCAGACACACTCACGCACGCACGCACACGTTCATCACACTTCACAAGTGTGCTGGCTGCCCATCCAACCCTGATACGCTAAGACACGTGTATGTGCCAGCAAGGCATGTGTTGGTATGAAAGAAGGCTGCTGATTGGTAGCATGAGATAAACACAATAGACCTTACTAAGTAAATAATGGTTCGCGATGCAGATTTCATGGATACTTTCCAGGAACAGATAAAGTTGTGGGAGAAAAATGAGCAAAGCCACTTTGGCAGTGGCTATTCACCCCGCAAGCAACTTCGTTGAATCCATGCCTGCTCATTTATGTATTCATTGAAACAGAGAACTATTTTTAATGTTGATTTTAATTAATTAAAAAAGAAAGGGGAAGCCATCTCCTTTTGTTCCATCAAAGTTCACTTGACCTAATTTTGGACTCGTATGGTCTGACTGTTTCTTTACTGTGGATACATGGATATATATGTCCCTTCCCCTCTGCTGCCAGTTTGTCTTGTATGCCATGCTTTCATTTCATTTGTTTTACACTTTTACTTTTAACCTTGTTTGTTTGTTTTTTTTCACAGATTGATGCGTACTGCAAAAGTAAAGGTCTTGTCATAGCAGGATACTATCAAGCTAATGAAAACTATAATGACAATGAGTAAGTATTCTTTATAACTAGCAGTTTTAAGTTTGTGTGCTTTTCATGTTTGTTATTTCCATTTCATTAACTCACTTCAGACGGGTCACACAACAGTTGCGTGACCCCCGCCGCGACGCTCGCGACGGGTCACACGAGCCCTGCGTGACCAACTTTGGAATTTTTTTTTCGCTCTACAAATCACGCACGGATCGCGAGACCCGCCTCGTACCCTTGTTTGGCCAAGCCTGAGCTACTTGGACTTCGTTTCGTATCTCTGGGGCCGGTAGTTTTTAAGTTATTGAAGGTGAAGGACAGTGACCCCAACTGGGGTTGAACAGACCGGAACTCGCGCTTTGTTTTTTTCTATACAGCTGATAGTAATCCGACAGTCGCGTCGTAGTAACGGTCGAAGAAGTCGCATGAACAAGAATCACATAATTTCGCCGTTTTCTATACTTCTGTACGTTTTACTAGTTTTAGTGTCTCAGAATATGATGTGTCTAATAGTTAGGATCCTGGATATGTACCTGAACACGGCCCGAGTCGTAGTTCTAGGGCTAGATCTAGCACTAGTGCCGGTGTTGTTTTTCGCGCAACGAAATCACAACGTCGTGCCGTACATCTGTCTATGTATTTTCAGTGTATGGGTCTGAATCAATGCACAGACCAGCTTTTATATTTTCACCAAACACTCGCACATGTATACAAATCAAAACAGAACACTTTGAACTTTTATTTTTGTTGTTGTAGTGAATTTCATTCTACTTGTCACGTCTCTGGAAATTTTTTGGAAAATCAAATTCATGCCAATTTTTAAAAAATCATACAAATTAAAGTATTAGACTTACACAACTTTGGTTTTTTGTATTAGATTAAGCTTGAATGTTACTTTACTGTGTCAAAAAATAATTACAATAGGGTAATTCTGAGAGTTGTGGTGATTTATTGAAATACCCCCAAAAACGCCAGTCTTCAACGCTTGTGACTGGTGAAAGGGCCCAGTCGCAAGTGAGTTAAATGGCATTAAAATGGATTCGCATACCTAACAATGTCTGAAATTGAGAGCCAGCTGCCCATTTTCTTAGTCTGAATGCAACTTAACAACTACAGGACTTTTTTTTTTATTAGATCAAGATCACTTTTTTATGACTTGGTCCCAGTGTTTGCCAATTCCACTCAAGCTACTTACACTTTTGTTGTTATGATATATGAGGAAAAGAGTTTAGACCTATGTCTTTCATGTGCGTTAATCATTGCCTGATACATACAAACATGTAATAAATTAAGACCTCATTATGCAAACTAATGTCATCATCACCTCTTTATTATAAATAATTTTATTTTATTGATGGCTTAGTTCAAAGGCTCTACTGTGAGTTCTAGAAAGATCAGGATTTATCTTCCTTACTGATGTCTTCATAAGCAATGGCTTTATTCATGTGCAACTCTGTACAATCAGTGCCTGCATTAATTATTTTTTTATTTCTTTATAGGATGAACCATGTTGCAAGAACGATAGGCAGAAAGATACAAGAGAATTTCCATGATGCTTGTGTCTTGATGGTAAGTTCCCTGATCAATGATCTAAACCAGGCGTGGGCGAGCATGTCCAAGTAAATCATGGGTCATCAAGTGATTACAAGTATTCTGTGAACCAAAGCCGGAGAAAATTGGATGATTGAAATACCAAAGCTCTCAAAAATGAGACTAAAACTAACACTGAAGCATACAGTAGTATGTTGGTCTGTTGTGTGTTGATCGGCTCTACATGACTGTATTTTTAACATAAGTACCACTCGTGTCAAAACTGCTGCAAAATATCCCACAATACTCGTGCAAAAAAAACTTTAAAAATAAATTCAGCCATAGCAAACTTGCTGCGTGGGGTAAAAGATCACTTCAACTCTAACGTATTTATGTAGGTAAGCTCAACATAACCATTTAACTTAAACAAATGTGTCATGACGTTGTGGAATCAGGCGCTCGTCAATTTTTTGGCATTTGGGGTTATCAGTGTCATCTTAAAGCCTGTTCATTTGCCATGTTGAATAGATCTCGAAATATTTGTGATTGAAGGAGGTCAGGGTCGCCTGGTTTCAAAGGTAAAATTAGCGGGAAAATGGCCACCAAAGTTTGGTAACTTCCATAGCCTGAGAGTCATTGGAAACTGAAAATTTGCATTTTTGTGCATTTAATCAATATTGTTTGGTAAAATCCACACTTTACTTTTCCTATCCAGCGGCTATTTGAGTTCTAGCCCTTCGGCCTTGTAAAATCCACACAAAAATGTGTTTTTAAATGGATGTAAAAAACAAAATTAGATAAAAATTGCCCATCGAAAAAAAAAATGCAAATGCTTGGATTTCATAATTTTGAAGAGTTCCTGAATTCACCACGATGCCTTATAAATGTAAAGAAGAAGTGGTGCTAGGAACTAAAGTTGTTTTCAGTCGCAGATCATTCAGCTATCGTAGTAATAAGCAATCTTTTATAGAGTGTTTTGGAAGATGTGTCCTGTATGTTGCTGATGGCACTTTTAGTTATTTCCTTTCTTGATGAACTAATAGATAATAAGAGTTACCCCTTCTCCTTATGCACTGTCACTCTAACAGTAGGGGGCTCTCATGGCCTAGAGGTTAAGGTGTTGGCCTCTCATTCAAAGGTCCCGGGTTCGAATCCAGGTAGCGACCAAAAAAAAATTTTCTTCTCTAAAATTGTCTCCTTTCACCTCATTTCCTGCTCTCTAGCAATGTTCTGTTGTCTGCTTTCGTTTCCACTTTCTGCCCCACCCCCTCACCTCCTGTGCCCCCCTCTGGGCTCCTGACTTTTTCTGCAGCCTTTCTACTGCTACTCCTTGGCTCCTCCTTACTGCTGTCTTTCTGCCACACCCCTGATCTTCTGGTAGGGAAGATCTACACCTAGCCTTCTCGGACAATGGCGAAAAATCTCGGAGGGCCTGTGTGCAAGTTGCGCACGTTAAAGATCCCTTGGTGGTCTAAAATCGATAAGAGTAGGCTTCAGCCGCCACCCGGGCAAAGTTCAAAATTTCCTACCAACTGAAAATATCAGGTGTTGCGAGCGCCGTAAAACACTTTACAAACACACACACTTTACAAACACACACACTTTACAAACACACACACTTTACAAACACACACACTTTACAAACACACACACTTTACAAACACACACACTCTAACAGTTTTGCTCTTTGTTTGCGCAGATTGACAACCGGAAAGTGGCAGCAGAGACAGTGTCCCAGGCTTACAAGATCTACACATTCAAAGAAACAGGATGGGGAACCATTGAGAAAAAGTAACTATATAACTTAAGGTTTCTTTTCCAGGGTCTCTTTGTCTCAGAATGTTTAACATATCAACAACAAAATAATTAGATTCAACTGTGTTTTTGGTGGTTGAGGAGTAAGTTAACACATTACACCCTAACTCGCCCGCGATCGCCCGGGAATTCCCTTACGCGCTCCACCCTGACTCGCCCGGAACCGCCCGCGCCGACCCAGCGTCTTTAGAAACGAAAGTCTCGCCTTGACGAGACTCTGGGGCCGGGATTTTGATTTGCATAGTATAGCAAAAAGTTTCTTCTTTCGTTTGATACCGAAACGAAATTTTTCGGGCTAGTAGTTTTAGTATTAGAGCTGATCGAAGTGCGATCGCGTTACCGACACTTCGAAAGTGCCTCGACTTGTTGAAAAGCGACACAATTGAGTTCGAAAACGGAAATAACGATGGATTTGAGCAAAAACGAGCATGTGACAAATCAGATGGCTCAGATTTTGATGAAAACGTTGTAGGAAGAGTTTGGGGCGATTCCGATTGATCAGACGGAGAAATTATAGAATTTAGATCTAGGGCCCGACCGCGAGGCTGAGAGTGAGAGTGACGGGTCGGACACCCCGATTGAACTAAATTGAGAACATTTCCAACAGTTTGCGCATACATAAAGTTATATTTTTCTGAAACTACATTCAGTTTTCTTTTTAACTTTTATTTTTTCAGGATTTTTGGAATTTGTTTAGTATTTTTAAAATGTGTTTTTTAAAGGCTAGTATTCAGGGGAGGTGGGTTCTTTCCCCTTGCTTAGGATCTACCAATGGACTTCCCGTCCAGGCCCTTAGGGTGTAATGTGTTAAACAAAAATTGTTTTGAATAAGAGTCCTTAGGTGGGAGCAGAATGTTTATTTGTTGAAATCAGAGTTGTCCAAAGATATATTTTATGTTGGGTAATGGGTAAGCACTATGGTATAGGGTTGGGGCGAGGGGGGATTGTCACCTTTATACTCTCACTTAATTTTTTTTTCTTCTGAAAACACAATTGTCAAGAGAAGATCATGCTGCTTGCTCTGATATTCGGGGGATAAAAGCCATTCTATTTAAAAGTTGTTCTTCTTGTTGTGGATAGTGTTCAGGGTTCCCGCGGCCTCCTTGAATTCAAGGAGTCCTTGAAAACTGCTTGAATTTGCATTCAAGGAAAAATCTCCTTGAAAACTCCTTGAAACTAATGAAACCTCCTTGAATTTGATGGGAAGTTCATGGCAGGAACCCTGAGTGTTCTCTCTTTCAATAAATTAAAAATCTCTTTTTATGTTTGAATTTCAAGTGAATGCCCATTGTTCAATTTTACTTCAACTTTTTAAAAAAATGTCTTTTCAGGGGAAATACTGAAGAAGAAATTCTGAAAGAGGAGTGTGTATACGCATTGATGAAGTCTGGTGCTCAGAGGCAGCTGAAGGATTTTGATAACCATTTGAATGATGTGAGGAATGACTGGAGAAATTTAGAACTGAATGATATGATAGCCAGATGTACGTAGCATTTGTTTCTTCTTTTTTTTTTTTTTTTCCTTTTTTTTTTTTTGTACCGCTGTAATACACATGTGTATGTCCTGGATTGACTGTCAAGTAACAGTATGGGTACGGTAGATTGAAAACTTGATGTCTGTGTTTTGTCTTCATTATAGCCACAGGAAATTGTAAAAGTTGGTCAGTATTTAATAGAGAGCAGAACTGTCAAAGTGAGTCAAGAGAACAAAGAATTTTTTTCAAAATACTTTGTTTCATGGAAAATGTACAAGTTCAAAAATTTATCCTTACTTTCGGCTTTTTCTGAAGCTCTAGCACTGTGTAAAGTTTTCTGAGGCTGTAGACTATATAACTCTGAAGATTGTGATTGGATAGTAGACAACTGAAAAGCTGATTTTATGGGTTTTTTCTCCAGGAATGAAGTAACAATAATAATAATAATTGGATAGAGATCCTCTTTCCTGAAAAATGAAAGAGGCTAATCTATTTAGAACAAAATCTCATCAGACAAAAACGTTTCAGAATCAGTACTACTTGCACTGGACAGATCAAAGCAATTAAAGGTCATCTTTTGATATGTGTCGCGACGCGGTTGAATCCGGCGCTCGTCAGGTTTTTTTGGGGCATATGTGGAGCTATTGGTATCATCTTAAACTTGCTCTTTTGTCTGGCTTTTATTGAAAAAATACCCATCTATCTTGGATAGAGGTCGAGCTATTTCGAATTGAAGGAGATGGGGGGTCACCTGGTTTCAGCCGTAAAACAAGCAAGAAAAGGACTGCCAAAGTTTGGTGACTTCCGTTCCTAGAGTCCTTGAAAACTGAAAATTTACATTTTTTGTGCCTTTAATCAATTTTTAAAAATAAAAATCAAGCAGAAAGATGTTTTTAATTGGAGGTAAAAAGGGTTGAGCCGAAAAAAAGAAAATTCTTTACCAAACCCCCCAAAAATGCTGGTTTCTTTGATTTCTTTATTTTGACGAGTGCCTGATTTCACCATTATGACTCACATATATCTTTGCTCACAAAGAATTCAACATTGAATAGGACAGTTTAAAACAACCTCCATAGTCAGTGCATTGTTTTATGAATTAATAGGAAAGAATTAATGGTTATGTATGGAAAAGGCATGAAATCTATCCCCCCTCTCTCGAGTCGAGATCAAAATCTGAAATTTATTTCAAACATTACTTGCTTAAAAGCTCTCCTTTTTGCTCATCTTTCACTTTCATGCAAGTAACAAACCTTAAAAATCAATCTTTTACTTCTAATCATTGAGCACTTTTGATGTGATAACTGTGGAGTAATATAAGATTTTTTATCTTAGTATCTTAGTTATTGTACCGCTGCGTACTTCAAAGTAAGAGGTCAGTTACATGTAGGGCCTACTGAGATGAGAAAAGGGCCAGCTGGTTTGCACAGTACAGTGTTCTAATATATTGGTGTATTTAGTACTTCACTGCAGTGTGCCTGTCTTTTCCATTCCTTTTTTTTTTTCATCGTGAAAATTTAAATTGCAATTTTTCCCTGTCCCATGGGTATCTGAAAAATTGTTTGTCATTTTGGCCTTGAAAAAAATCAAGTTAAGGTGGCTTATTGACTTAATTGATTTCTCTCAACTCAAAAGATTCAATATAATATTTTTGTTTTCAAATTTGATTCCCTTTCCTTTTTGTTTAATGTCCTTATTTTATAATTTGAAGACATGGACTTGGGAAAAAAATTATTTAGCGTTTTATCCTAGGCAGTCCATTTGGAAAGTAAAACAGAAACAGGGTTGTTTTTTTTAACAACTTTTGATTCTGTTAAAGTCAGGATTTGATATTTCTTGAAACAAAAATAGTCTCCATTTATATATATGGTGATACTGTTTTGTTCTTTTTATTAAGTTGTAGTGTCGTAAAAGTACCGTATGTCAACTAAAATCTTTTAAAACGTTGCTGATGAGTGAAGAGATGCCAAACATTTTTGCTGTGTTAAGACAATATATGTTTAGCATCAAAATTTGGAATGGGAATACATTTGTGTATTTTATCAAAAGTTGTTGGCAGAAGACTGTAGGCCTACATTGTATTATTTTTCAAATGGACAACCTATAGTATTGTGTGATCCATCTTTTCAAAGTGTCTAGATTTTTAAGTACTTGTGAGCACAAGTCAACATATTGACTTGCGATAAAATTTTAGCATAGTGTCATTAGTTTTTATCGGAATGGTTTTGAGATACTGGTTGTGGGATTTTATGTAAATTTTCAGTCACAAGCCTTTATTTGTCGTCTGTCGTTGGCTTGGATCTCACATGAATGTGGTATTCTTTTGCACGAGCCGGAGTTTCTTGAACTTCCATCATAGTTGCACTTTTGGAAGTATGGTCGTTTTTGTTTTTTTAAACTTGTGAATGGTTTACGTATGATTTATTCAGAACCTTCCTCCTTCCTTTCTTACTTTGTCACTGCCATGGGATCGAAAGATTCATACATGTTTGCACGTATTAGAGTGTATCAGAGACTTGCTGCAATGGATGTCAGAAAATGTTGTCCTCAAAGAGAGGATCAGGCAATTACCTTTCTTTTGTATTTATCAAGATAGATACGATGGGGTTTGTCACCGACTGTGATGTTCATGTAATAAACTTTGGACCTCATCTCAGCATTTTGGCGCTACTGTTGTTATTTAACGTGTGTGTGTTTTAATTTTAACATGTGAGTGGAATTCATATTTAATTTATTTGTATTCAGTTCCTTCTTGGTCAAACAACTGAGTAGACTACATGTTAGAAAATAGGCAGACATTTTTTTTTAGTTTCTTGATGTAGAAGAGAAGCCTATAGTGCACATGGGTGGTTCATTTGACATGGATGGATGCAAGGTAGGGGTTTAACCTGAAAATAAGAGTAAAATTGGTTGCTTTCGATGAAACTTTTCGAAGTTAAGTAGTGTCTGTGGTGTTATGGTTAGGTTCCTAACCAATTCCTCAATGCATGCTGAAAAAATATGAGTTTGATTCCCACAGAGAAAATTATTTTGTTGAGTATCTCTGTATCTGCTAGGATGCTTCATGTCATTCTGCCCCTTTTGGACTCCTGTAACAGTGACAGGCTTCTCAAACCAGCCCATCTCCGATATGATTTTATTGTGGTAATGGAGGCATAAAACATTTACAATCAAACTACATTGCATGATGAAAGGTCGTATTTGAAGTCATGCCTTTATGAATCGGGGATTGAAAGTTTCTTGCACATATGACAGAGTAAGAGGCAAGCAAACGGCATGCTTCTTTAATTTACTTTAAAAAGGATTTTCCTTGTGTCACGACGTGGTAGAATCAGGCGCTCGTCATATTTTAGGCTATGGAGTTTATGGTATCATATAAAGTGTGTTCATTTGTCTTGCTTTTGATGATAAAAATACTCATCTATCTTGAATAAAAGTTAAGATATCTGACATTAAAGGAGGTTGGGGTCACTTGGTGTCAGAGTTACATTGAAATTATAAAGAGAAAATGACAACTAAGTATGGATACTTTGTAAGCTTGAGTGTCCTTGTAAACTGCAAAGTTACATTTTGTATGCCTTTGATCAACATTTTTCATTAACCCTATACGTACGCTCTGGAGTCATTTTGTACCCCTGGGGTTGTATTCTTCACATTTTAGATTATTTCAAGTGCGAAGATCTCTTTGAAACTCAGTATTTCTCAAAAAATCATTTTGACAGACTGCTATGGAAAGCGTACGGATGGGATTAACAAGTAAATTTCCTCTTTGAAAAGTGATTGCACAGAGTTCCGCACGTCGTATGGATATGATAGTAAAACACGACGTACAGATAGGGTTAAATTTCACTGAGAAACGTGTTTTGAATGGACATTACCTGTATTACCTGTCCTGGGCAACGTCATTGCACACCGGACAGGTCCATAAGTGAATGGACATAAAAGGTGCGAAGCCAAAAAAAAAATCAGTTAAAATGGCCCAACCAGGTAGAGAAAAGTCGATTTCTACAATTTCAATAAGATGAGCGCCTGATTTCACCACAATGAAACACGTATGTATTCATCTACCTGAGCTCTGTCTCAACCTGTACAGGCAAGCCCCACAGTTGGGCAAAGGTCAAGTGTTGGCTCAATGACAATGGAGAAGCTCTTCATCTTTGGAAAAAATACTTGTTTGGACAGAAGATTAGTTTTAGTAAGAGTTTTACGGAACTTGCAACACAATAATGTCATATAAGTGCCGAAGATTAGAGGCGTTATAAGAGAGTAAAAGACACAAAAAAGAAGGAGGAGAGATCAGGACGATAGATATTTGATAGGAAAGAAGGAGCAAACCACACCAGAGCACCCGCCAACCACCCACGGACAGAAGATGACATACTTTGTTGCCAAATGCTGTGCAACTGATTCTGAATCTGAGTAGACGTTTTTTGTAGAAATAGCACAAAGCTGAACACTAAATAGGTGACTTTGACACAGCAAGTACTGAAGAGATCAGGAGTTACCATAGTATTTTCGCTGCTTACACAACACAGATGATTGGTAAAACACTTTCACCATTTTGGAACATGGGAGAGTGCCTAAAGATCTCCACTGAGAAGTCCCTTTTCTGCTGTGATAAAGAAAATGTAAAAGAAATTATAACAAAAGAGAAAGTCACATTTGACTATTCATTTATTGCTTTTGCCTTGCGTGTGAATGGGTTTTTCTGGACACTGGTTGTCTGATACACAGATGGCACATAATGGAAGCTGTATATTTACATATGACATGAGTTTGGTTAGTCACACTTACTTACTAGGATGGTATAACTGAGCAATATTTTCAAACTGTAGCTGCCTTTTTCTCTGCTTTTTAAAGATCAATTCAATCAATAAAAGTATTCATAAAAATAACATATCAAAATATATTTATTAGTAACTATTCAATAAGACAGCCCCAAATTGTGACATAAATGTATATGGTGGAATTGCATCTAAATCAAAATCCTTATTTACTGTAAAGATTAAGGCACAAATTAGATGAAACATAGAATCTGTGCTAAGATTACACATCCATACACATTATAACACAAGCTGCCTTGGGACTGTCACCGAGGAGACAGATGGTAAATAGAACACATGTGTAACATTTCATTACACATTCTCAACAAATGATACAGGTCATAGGTGAACTTCAAATGAACAAAACTAAGGACAAGAGTCAACGGAGATCACAAAATTCTAACAAAAATTCTAGGTCTGAGAAACAGTCATTACTCACAATTACAATCTGCAGGGATGCCAAATCTCAGTTTTTTCGCGGCATTTTCCGTTTTTTTCCTACACTTGCAAAGGAAAGGGGAATGGTAAGAGAAATGTTTTTGTTTGCTCATTGAAAGATTTTACTAGGTTAATTTTAGGTGAGGTGTGATGCTCCCCTTATTTTCAGGGTTTCTTTTCAAAAATCATTTGGCATCCCTGAATCTGAATCTGAGTGTGGTGAGACTTCGATTTATTTTATCCACTTTTAGGGGTACAACATCCTTCAAGACAATCTAAGCTGGCAAAACAAAAAAAAACACAAGGAAAAAAACATAACGTAAATATTGTAGGCCTACTTTTACTATCATGTCATCATAAAATAACAACAGCTTTTATTTTGGAATGAAACGATTTTGGGTTGCTATCTAAAGATATTGCTGCAATAAAAATGCTTCATGTACAATCATTATGTGAATACTGTAGCATTCATTCTTTTCATACAAGTACAAATATATAGAGAAACCGAATAACACACTTCAGATAAAATGTGTACAATACTTACTTTTCAAGGAGTAAAAATTGGTAAGATTAGATTTAGTCAGTTTTACGGCACTTGCAACACAGTAAGGTCATATAAGTGCCGGAGATAAGAGGTGTTACAAGAGAGTAACAAACACAAAAAAGAAGGAGGGGAGATAAAGATGATAGTTGTTTGATAGGAACGAAGAAGCAAACCACACCAGAGCACCCGCCAACCACCCACCAAAAACTGGTAATATACGTACTATCCAGCACCATACTTTCAAGAAAAACAGACTTAAAAGCAGAAAAGGACTTCTGAAAAAAAAGAACAACAACAATCAATATCAGTTTGCAAAAATTATTTTGTTTGTACAAGTTAAAAGGAAATGCCTTCCCAAGGAGAAGACCATTAAGAGCAGGCCCATGAGACAGAGACAACAAGCACAATGATTACATACATGTACACATTTAATTCAATCAAGACACACGCTTGACCCTGGCGGTACACTGCAGGACTCTCAAATTTTTAACAAGTGTATGAGAGCTTGTGACTATTCTTCAATAACTGATTATTTTTTCTTGTTACTGCGAAGCAAGACAGCACTAGCATTTTATCAAGAAATAAGTGAGAATTCAGCTGATTTTTTTTTTTACCATAAGAAACTACTTTGTAAGAACCAACAAAACTCCACGTTTCAATTTTTACTGGAAACATCACTATTTCATGCTATTCATATTGGCAATTTTCATGCACAACTAATGTCTTCTTTCCTGCTAGTGCTGCAACTGCCTTGAAGAAGGCCTAACTCATTAATCACTTCTTTGACATGAAAACTAACACTTTGATGAGGTAGCCATTTTGATTCAAAATAAATCTATTTTGTGCAGTTCTAATAACCTTTACAAGAAAACTTTTCATAAAATCAACTAACAGCATTCCAGTGGTCAGGAAAAAGAAAAAGTGAAAAAATAAATGGCCACTCTTTACGCTCAGAAGCTGATTACCGCGATATGTTCAGTAAGCTACTTTGAATTGTGCCCCAAAAACCACCAGCTACGGTCCTTCTAGCCACTTTAGTCATTCGGCTATTCATGTCTGGTGCATCTTGATTGAGTGTAAGACAGACGACAGATGAAAGTACAAGGACAGGAAACACAGGCATGAAGTTGTAACAGAATCATCCACCAACAAGCGGATGTTAAATCAGTCTGAAAAACATAAAAGAAATAAAAACAAGTGCTTATTTGACACTGCAGAGCATGGAGTCAACAAAAGATATCTGATTATCACACATTTAGAGAGGACCAACAGATATGGACAATATATCCTGAAAATCTCGTTGAACGAATCACATTACACAATCAAGAGTGGAGGGAAATCTGTGTCGGGAGATCCGAGGCCAAGGAATCATGTGGGTGTATTGGTGATGTCTCTCATCCCAGGACTCTGTGAAGTTGGTGTCCTCCAGTCTGATGGGTTAGCACTTTTGCCAGGTGTCTTCAGGTTCATTTTGCTCGTTTCCAGAAGCAACCTTTCGTACTTCTGAAAAAATTAGAGAGAGGCAAAAAACGATACCTCAACTGGACGCAAAAAACACACTTCACAGAAAATAGAATCATTAGAACACGAGTCTTTCAATTTCAACCAAACAATGGTGAAGAAGAAAGTGAAAGTCTCTTTTGTGCACAACAAGATCCAACTAAAATTACAATTAATGCATTATAGCCCAAATTTACCAAATCAACCGGTAAACTCACTCGTCACAGTGGCACCAAGTTTTTCCTGACTTGTTGCGGAGCTACTAACAGTTGGTGAATACGTATGGCACCATTTATAAATTTCACTCTGTTTTTATCAGGACCATTTACTGCACTTTTTCTGTTCACACCACAAGTTTAAGAATGAGTTTTCCAAAAGACTCATGAAAATTGCCTCTCAGTCTTGACAACCTGTCAGGAGCTTTTTAGTCAAATCTAAGATGAAAGAGAAAGAACTGATCATGAATGACTGTGCTATCTATTGGATTCTACAGTTGTACCTTCAATGTGGGATTCTGTAAACAAAAATTCATGTGCATCTAAAATTAGTGAGTAGGGATGGCATTTTAGTGAAAAGTTTTGCTTCCCGTAAATTTTTTCTCATCTGTGTAGAAAGATCTTAATCATTTTTATAATGACTTCCAAAATATTCAACACTTGGTTCCAAAGATAACACCATTCCTCTACCCCTTCATTGGAACAACAAAATCAATTGCAATCAGGCACAATTTTCTTGTCGGTTTTTTTAGTTATGGATGAATACCATAAAAAGATAACTGTTATTAAAAAAAGAGTGACGCCAAACTTTTGAAAGGATATATATTACAATCCAGTGTTCAATAGCTGTAATCTGACAACAATAATTTCATGCGATGTGAATGCTAACACTAACAGGTATCAACAGATGAACTGGAAAATAGAAATGAATGTTGTAAACTGAAGAAACTATTAACAGAGACAAATAAATCTGTAGTCTACAAAAGCGCCGGAGGAGAGGTGTGTGTGTGTGTGTGTGTGTGTGTATGTGTGTGTGTTAAAATAAAAGCCCATTCATTTCTACTACCAAACTACTATTCAGTCCTAGTACAATATACGAACCTTGTGCAATTCATTGTACTCCATGTTTTTCTTTTCCATGAGCTTAATCTTCTGCTGGTGATTGTTGTGGCCAATGAGCCGAGAGCTCTCCTCCATCAGCTGTTGGTTCCTCTCTTTTTCTACTTGGTATTCCTGGGGTAGAAAGAAAAGATAAAGCGAGACCTCATTATTCATTTCAGCATGGAGGTGAATGTGTGTGTTTGTAGTTGTCTCTGCTGTTCATTTGTAAGCTGGCAGGAGTATAATCATTTACGGAGGGTGGCTTTGTAAGAATTTTTTTATTCTGAACATTCTGCATCTTAGTTTTAGTTTTAGTAGAGTTTTTACGGCGCTTGCAACTGCATACGGTCAAATGAGCGCCAAGGGATGGATGTCGACAGAGAAGTCTTTACAGAGAATCAGGCTTACTCTGCTCACCTCTCTAGCTTCAACAGCACAAAGTCTGCTTCGACTATCAAGGCACCCCGGAAATGGAGGGTCACAAGAGTCTGACAAACATATAAAAGAAGTAGAGGAAAAACTACCATAGTAAGGATATGGAAAGAAAAAGCAGCAGTTCCCTGTTGCAGTTCAGGCACAGTTATGAGCATGACATTGATGAATCAGCCCATTTACAATTCTACTGTGCATAAGAACATGTTAACGTCCCCCCTTTGGGAATGGCCTACAGACACTTCAGTCAGTGGCACTGCCCCGGGGAGGTTATTCTGCATCTATTTTGTTTTGCTTTTTTCTTCCCAGAAACAAGACACAACCCAGTCAAGAAAAAGCTTTTAAGCAAACCATAATTCTAGTTTCCAACAGTCCTCCAAATGGGATTCTTACTTGACATCGAAAAAAAAGTTATGTAAGTCAAAGGAGCAACCAAGAAAGTTTATTTCGGAGGAAAAGAGGATATGCAATATCAAATATAATTTTCTAAACAAAAACATTTTCGTCAACAAATATATTACAATATTACAAATCTTTCACCATATCAATAGTTAAGGAAAATACTGGGATTTTCAGTTTCCATGCATAGGAATAGGAGAAAGATGTCACAATGCCTGAGGACCTATCAGACCTGGTAACATTGTCCTATCACTAGATTTTAACAAATGGTATTCCAGAAAACAAACTACCGTAGCAAGTTTCGCCTTTTCTTCCGCCAGACTCTCTATCTGCGAGTGGAGTTCTGTTTTCTCCTGGTGGTGAGCCTCCAGTCGGGTTTGAAGACTGCAAACAAAATAGGCAGTGCGTCAACCAAATGAAGTCATGAAATTTTTTTAAAAATAATAAAACTACAGCCAAGCAGAAATAACAACATACTGAAAACTCAAAAAACCAGATAGCTCATACAATTGGCCATTCCGCGACTGATAACTTTTCAATTTTTTGTTATCAGTTAAACCTAATTATGGATGTGTCGAACACATTACAGATTAGTCAGTCCCCCATGTGTTTGAGTTATCTGTGCCCAACTATACATTATTATAAGAGAATTGTTTTAGTAAAAGTTTTACAGCACTTGCAACACAACTAGGTCATAAAAGTGCCAAAGATTTAAGGTGTTACAAGAGCAACAAACACAAAACAAAAAAAAAAGAAAGAGCAGAGACAGGGCCCATAGATGTTTGACAGGAAAGGTGCAAACTATACCGAAGCAGCCACCCACCACCCTATTCTTACAAGACAAATTTCTTTCAACATTTATTTGCATATATTATAATAATGTTAATCTGACACTCAATAACTTTTTTTCTTTTTGTTCCAAATTCATTTCACCTATCTCACCCTCCCCCTATAAAAATGGACAAAGACAAAATCAACAGAGGAAAGGAAAATAAGTAAGACCAACTACAAACACAAATACAGTGTGGGCACCACTGCTTGATCTTACTTTTTTTTACCCTTTGTTGATTTTGTCATTTTCGTAGTTTTTGTTGTCATATATACAACATATCATTTCTACAATAGATGCAATAAGTCTGCACAACTAATGAATATTATCAATAATATCATTATATTCATTAGTTCTGCAACAATAAACAAAAAAATGATGAAAGACGTATCACACATTATACTTCCCTATAGCACAAGCAATTTTTCCAAAAATGAGACAAAAGCCCCCCCCCCCCCCCCCCCCCCCCCAGTATATTTCGAACAGATTTTCAAAAAATCAGTTGAATTCACAATTTAGTTTAACTATAAGTGAAATAAAGAGAACAACAACAAACAACTGGCCCTCCATCATCAAGAATGCAGAAACCAGCAAGCTTACCGATTAACCTCCTGTCGAAAATGTCCCCTCTCCATTTCAGAGGTCTCCAATCTAGAATGAACAGACATCACTTTTGATTAATATTAGTGACAGTAAAAAAAAAAACTTTTGTTTTAGTAAGTGTTTTACGAAACTTGCAACACAATAAGGTCATATAAGTGCCGAAGATTAGAGGTGTGTTACAAGAGAGTAACAAACACAAAAAAGAAGGAGGGGAGATAAGGACGATAGATATTTGAAAGGAAAAAGAAAAAAAAGAAAAAAAAGAAAGAAAAAAAATTAAACTTGAAAACAAAAAACATTTGGAGGCATCGTTCTCTGGACTTCTCCAGCTCCAAAACTACTTTCTTTAAGAAATATTTTGGCTTTAGAGCAAAGTGTTAATAAACCGAGAGTGACAAGTACACACACACATACAGTGGAACTCATCTTCAACAAAGTCATCAGGCCCGGCCTTCAATTTCATTAACTCAGAACACATTATGGCAAACATGAGGTTTTGGTGTGGATAATTACAGGCATCGAGCAAGTAATGTACATGAATAATGTATTCATCTTTCTCAACCAAAAGTTGTCTGATTTCAAATGAGAAGCATTTTCGGTCTTTTCTTAGCTGCCGAAGAAATGTTAGAAAATTCCAGGAAAATGCACTGCACTCTACCAAGCACACACAGTGCAAAAGGCCAGTTCATTCAAATGCATGTGTGTGTCATCTATCATCCAGATAACGTACTGTTTGTTGAACAAGCTATGTTGCTGTGTAGGGCCTAGCATAGGGGAACGTTTGATTCCGCAGTCCAACATACAACTCATTACAAATATAGATCTATGTCAAGATTAGCTTATCATTTAATATATTGATCAGTGGCCAGTGTGTCTCTTTTGTATCTCTACTGACATTCCACGCCCTGACCGCTTGTACCCCCCCTACACACGCACACGTGTGCTGGCCACCTGTCCGACCCCTACACACCGTAAGACAGGGATGCACGCTTACAATGTGTATGTTGGTATGAAAGGAGGTCGCTGATTGGTTGCATAAAACAATTCACTCTGCAAGTGACTTAGTTGAATCTGAGCTTGCTCATTTATGTGTTCGTTAAATCAGAGTTATTTTTATTGATTTTTATGAATAAAAAATCCAGGGAATCAAACTCCTTTAGTTGAATCCAACTTCCACTGTAAATGCAAATAAAAATATGTATTTTCATGTCATTTACCATAAGTCATGCAGATATTGCAAATGAAAATGTATGTTTCCACAAAAAGTGGTACAAAATATTGCAAACAAAAGCAATTAAAAATGTGTATTTTCAAGTCATTTACTATGAATCGTATAAGACCAATGGAAACAGAATTCTAGATGGGTTTGTTTTTTTAATCGGAGAGCTCCAATTTTATCGGAGCACTTCACAGGTTTGCACCCGCATTAAGTAATGTTTATAAAAGAGTGATAATAATACTGAAAAGAAAAAGAACAGACTGCGCCAGAGAACCAGCCAATCACAGAGGTCTTCCAAAGTAAACAAGGATAAAATGTCTCTTCCACACTGGTATGTGAGAACACACTGTACTGAATTTACTCATTACTTTTTTTCCAAAGTCTTGCACTCCTCTTGAACATTGCCCAAACTCAGCTCTGCTTTCCTCAGACTGGAACGTTCTTTCTGTAGTTCCTCCTCTTTCCCCTTAAGTGAAGCCTCCATGCTTTTGATGCTGTGAAAGTACAAAATCATGGACACTCCTTACTTAAAATTATGCATCACATGTTGATGTGCAGCTGTATTTCTTCCATACATTTCATATCTTTAAAAAAATGAATCTTGGTCATTGCACATGTATTTAATTTTGGAACAACAAGAGCCAGTACCATAACTTATTTTTCAAAATCATTACACTGGCATTTTGGTGATTGTACTATTTTAAAACATCTGTACATATGTTGTCTCAAATCTTGTGTGTTGTGTTCTTAGTCGGAAGATAATCACTTGTTCTTGGCGGGACAGCTCACGGTAGCTATCTGGTGTCTGTGGTGCTTTAAATAGTGTATGTATAATAGTTTTTATCTCTGTGTAGCTGATGCTGTTGTCTGGTTGCTCTTTCTGTGCTCCTAGTTTGGCAATAAAGTTCATGATTTCTAAGTGGCATGCAAAGTAGACGCCTACCTCGGGAAAAAGACGATGACATACATTTCAAATTAAGTTCTAAAAATCTAAAAGATAAAATGGTAGCTAAAAAAACCCAAAAAAAACAAACCCACCCCACTTTCTCCAGGAACTAATTTTCTGTCCCAGGTGCTGCCAGATACACGAGAAACACTGATGGTCTATTTAAAGATACTCACAGTTCTTTGTTGTTGACATTCAGCGCATTCATCTTCATTTGTAGCTCCTCTATTTCCTGTTTACCTGTGAGCAAACTCTGGTTGCACACTTCCAGTTCCAAAACCTGGGCCTGTGAGTACCAAAAGCAAAAAAAATAGACTAAAACTGCTACACCATTTAGTCATGATTCAAATGGAATATAATGAAAATGAAAGCACCTCAACAATTAGTTTAAAGTTATTTTTAAAAGCAAAATATCACTTTTGTTTATGATTTAAAGAAATATGGGTTCAGAAGTTTCAGAAAGGTGCAAACATTTTCACTTCATCTCGAGAGCATGAAACATTCACCTCAAATTTCCTTTTGTACAAAAAACAATAAAACTTTGGTGAAAGAAAAGTAACATGTCTGTTACTACATTTTCTATATATTCAATTTAGTTTTAGTTTGATAAGTTTTACAGCACTCGCAACTGCACGAGGTTATGTGAGTGCGCAGGACACAAGTTGATTGCTTTCACATTAGTCTAGATCACAGCTTGGTTTTACTTTACAAATGAGACAACATCATTCTAGAAGAATATTTATTTAGGACATGACAAGACTGATCTAAAAGAGTAATTCATTATCTGTAATGCATTTGATGGAGCAGCCCACATGGTAAAATACTGAACAAAGCAATGAAAAATCTGTTGATAACTTTATAACTTTTCTTTCATTCATTAATCTCTTACCTTCAACAACTCATTTTCCTCATTCTTCTCTTTGCGAGCTTGCTCGTAGTCTCTCAAAGCAGAGTTCAGTTTCTTGTAATTCACGCGCAATTTACGAAAGAGTCAAGGGGAAAAAACAGTTACAAAAATTAATATATACTGCAACTGGTCGCTTTTAAGCACAAGGGGGCTATCCCAAAAAATGCTGTTTTGAGAAAATCGAAGGTAAAGTTTTTGCCCCTTGTTCAGTTTCATTTTCTCTATAACCAAACAAATATACACACCAAAGGAACCAAACTTATCCTATAGGTAGGGCAATGCCTACTTTTGGTGTAAGTCAAGATTTCTGGAAACTCCCGAAATCTGGGTTACCGGCTTGTTCTTAAAAGCGACCAATTCTGATAACACCAACAAAACAGTGACATTTTTAAAACTTGTGCCTGGTAAAACAGATAATGTCATCATCACAAGTTATGCTATCTCCCTGAAAACAAGATGTCAAAAATGAATAATGAATATGTAAGAAATACCACCTTGCAAAAAACTTACAAGTCTCAAGTAAGAAAGAAATGAGACCTAATATTTTTCTATAATGCACTTTACTGCATTATCATGCAGAAATTGTTATTCTGTGCTTTGCCAAAAGGATATGATTCCAGTTCAACGTTCTTGTCTTGCATCAGCTTCTTTATACTGTCGGTATCTTTGTCACTCGCACTGGCCTCCTGAAGTCGTTTCTCGTACCTGTTGACGACTTCCTGCATTGCTTGCTCCGCATCAGAAAGCTAATAACAAAACCAATGAATCAATTAACAAAGATATATTTTCTAAACAGGTATACATCTTACAGGTTCCATGATAGGAACTATATTTTTAAAAATTGCGTTGTTAAATAAAGGAGGAAAATAAAGATTACACAGCCAAGCAAAACTGACTCTGAGAAAGCCCTAAAGCCCCAACATATGGCCAATCTGGGTCAGCCCCATCACAAATTTTCAGTTTTTCAGTGGGTAGGCCTACTCTCCAATTTCATTACTTTGCTTTTTTAAAATCTATATGGAATCCAGTAACACACAGCAGAGACCATAATATTTGTCTAAAAGTATATATCTCTTAAACCCATCTAATGTGGGAAACGGCAGCCGAGATCTGGGGGTAAAATCATGACAATGCGAGTGCTCAAATTGAAACAGGTGATAGGCCTCACAAGTCCTTCAAATAGTATAGTTCTTTTATTTTTTTTATTCAAATGTGGCAAAATCATAAAATTAATCAATTCAAAAGAATATGGCTATAAATTTTTTCAATAAAAATATTCACTTTCCAGTATGATAAAATACATATTACGGGAAAAAAACAGTACAAACATTAATATAGAATGCAATTCTGATTACGCCAACAAAACAGTGACATTTTGTAACTTGTGTTTGGTAAAACAGATCATCACCTTCTTCTTGTAAGTATCAACTGTATCTTGAAGATCTTTGCACAACAACTGCAATAATGAAAGAATTTAAGAATTAAAAATGAATTAATAAAAAGAAAACATCATTTTTGAAAAATTAAATTCTTTTTAAAACGCACTGCCGAGAACGAGGAAGAAGAAGAAGAAAAACGCACTGCATACGAAGGGATCACTCAGTACAACCATGTTAGAAGTACATAACTGTGTCCTATACATGCCTCAGTAAAAGAAGCTTTTACTTTATTTCTTCTAAATCGCGAAGCACTGACAACATAATATAAACACTGAAATATCAGGCACTTTTGTGCATGAGACTAACAGCTAGGGCTATGCCTATTTGACTCCACTATTCAACATTCAGGATTTTCCTGCTATTCGAAGCGTGGCAGAGCCATTCAAATTGTGTGTGATTTTTATGCAGATAAAGAATTTTCACCTCATTTTTCTCAAACCTTAGTAAAATTGGAATATACTATAAAATCTCACTGAGACATACACAGAAATACTCCGTACATGATGATTTCAAGGCAGAAAGATAAGAGGAGCCAACAAGAGTCATAAAACATGGCACTAAAGAGTATCCATTAGTATTCAATATGAACTAGTCACACCATGAATAGCTCAAGCAAGGGCACTTGACTCTCGAAGCCCAGTGAATGCTTTTACCATTAAATTAGCTGTCACACGAAATTCGTAGTGTTACAAATGGTGACGTCATGCGAAAATACATTCACACTCAGTGACTGGCACTAAGAAAAGTTAACGAGTGTTGAATAGAAAAGTTAGGGATGGACATATCATAGCAGTATTCGGGTAGCATAAATTGCGAACTCACCCTTCGAAGCATCGATGAAGTTCCATTTTCTCTAAATCGCACAACACTACTAACAACATAATATAAACATTGAAAATGAAACATCTGAATTGGTTAATGATTTATTTTCATAAGCACTCACATCTTTTGTTTTTGCCTGTCCTTGCAGGCTGGAGATGATTTCTTCTTGCTTCAGCAAATGGCTATTAGCACTTTCCTGATCCTGCTGCAGGTTATCAATCTATAAAATCCAGAGAAAGAACATATTAACAACTGCATGGATGGGTATGGACGGTACTTTTGAGATCATTAACACTCTAAACGCTAAGCTAAGAATCATTATTTTGGTCTCTAACAAAGAAAAGTATTAATCAAGTCTCATTCATTCTCATGAGGAGCTGCAGCGTATGCAATTTTTTAAAATTCGAAGTATGTGACCAATAAAACAAATTTATAAGTGGAAGGGATCAATAATTTTCCGAATACAAATAATCCACACCAGTCATAGATTGGACTGTTTTGCGAAACAGAAAACGTTTATGCTTTATTACAATATCAACTGCTTTACGTATTGCTGAACAGACAGCCTATAACAAAGATCAGAAAACACTACTCCTTCACACCACAACAAAACAATTTGGACACTGCGTACCTCAAAGACCTTTTGCATGAGCTGATGCTTGTATTTTTCCTTAATGTCCTTCAGTTCTTGCTGAACACAAGCCAGCTCCTTAGAGGTCAGCTCCTGGTCTCGCTTCAGATCCTTCAGCTCAAGAGCATAGTTCTCGTTCTCCATGCTCAAGGTACCGTTGACCTCTTCCTGGCTGTTCAGTTTGGACTTCAGCTCATGGAGGTTGCTCATCAAGTTGGCAATGGCTTCCTAAACCGGTCAATTTTGAAAAGTTATTAGAGTAAAATGAAGCACATCAACATAAAAACAACCACGAAATGTAGGAAAAAAGAAAGAGACAGACAGACAGACTGAAACAGCAGAGGGAAAGAAAAGAAGTATGAACTAACTTTTTAAAGGCCCCGCATGACCAATCTAACTCTATTATTTCAACATTTCTGCAGAAAAAGATTACCACAATAGAAACACTGGGAAAGAAGTAAAAGTAGCAGATTATTCCACAGTGCCAATGACCCCAAATCTGAGACTAGACACAAAGAGCATTCTCCTAGGTATGGCCTTATTATTCAAGCAGACTTGCATCTACCATTTTACAGCATTGAACACAATCTAACAATCTACACAAGTTACACAGAGGAGGAAAACTTAGAAAAATGAAAATGACCGGCATTTTCGCTCACCCGACCCTGACATGCACCTAGATATTATGCACACATGTAGGCTGGTTGTCAAGACAAGATACGTTCAGCTTTGTTGCAGAAGAAAAGTGCTCAAAGACGCACACGTCAAGACAGCTAGAAGAGAATGACATTTTGTTGGGCAAGAAGTTACTCATTTAAAACTGGGTTGTTCTGAGATGATTATGGGGTATTGAAGAAATAACTAATTATGCAGGGATTCCTTCTCCTATTATAAAGAATTAAAACATTGTATCTAAAAAACTCAGTTATAATTCAGTCACTAAACTTTACTTTTATATTCCAAACTTCACCATCCATGACATATAACAAGAGCTAAAGATTTATCTCAAAATTCATTGCTGTAAGGACCCTCATAATACGTGGAAACAAAAGAGGACAAAAGTGAAAACAGAAGGGGTCTGGAGTAAAAATCACCAGTTTCTCTCTTCATCTTTTCATATCACTTTCAAAACCTCAAGGAATTTTTTCTTTCCATTTCTAAGTTGAGCAGGTATCCATCTTAGACATGTAATATAGAGGAATTTATCAAGGGGAGAGCGGGGAGATTCTACACGCACGCTATGCCCACAAGTTACCTTGTTGTCGGCCATGGCACGAGCTTGCTGAGCTATGACCTGCTCCTGTTCAGCTCTGACAGCCTCCAGCTCCGCTTGCTTCAACTTGAGGTTTGTTTCTGCTTGCTCTTTGTACTCCTGATAACTCTGCATACTTCCAGATGACTGCAGGGCCTGGAATTGTCGTTACACAGAAAGAGATAGGCTTTACACTCCAAAGTGGTTGTTTTTTTTCAAACTTTCTTGTAAGTTTCTACTCTAGTTAGACATCCTGCATGAAGCATGAGTTAGCCAAATCCTGAAATTGTACAGATGCCCAACACAGAGTCATTATTCTACACACAGGCTCCTTTGTTTCCTCCCTTAGCTCCACCCATCAATGTAATACTAATAAGCACAACCAACCAATGCCACTTCTCCCCTGCATGTAACAACGATTCAAGGAACTTTTTTCCCGGCTTGCTGTACGATCAGGGCAGCAGGCAGTGGTCAAATTAATTTCACACTTCTGTCTACCCAGGAAAGTTTCCGTGCTGGAGCGCCACTTGAGCGCTTTCACAAGAAGTGAGAGATTTCACACTCACACCCCCACAAACAGCATCCCTTCCTCCTTTTCTCGCCTGGCAGCATAGTGTAAAGGTTAAAGCTGAGGGAACCAAATTTAGGAGTTCTGTTCAAATCAGGACCGAGTGGGCAAAGCATTGTTGACAAGTGAAAACCCCCCAGAGGGAAGGAATTTTTCTTTCCATTTCCAAGTTGAGCAGGTATCCATCTTAGACACGTAATATAGAGGAATTTATCAAGGGGAGAGCGGGGAGATTCTATTGTGACAGGTTTCCATCTTGGACAGGTCTCTGTACAGGCAGGTTTGACTATACACCGTGCTTTCACCTCGCACTGAAACAGCAAACTTAACAACTGTCCTGTGTATTAATGCCACACTACTGTGAACCTGTTCATTACAGCCGACTCCAGAGGGAACCTGGGTGAGTGGGCATGTCAGCACATCCCATGAGCATCATCATGTGTTAGTGTTCTACAAGAAAAAACAGTTGTCTAAAATATCAACAATGGTTAGATCAGAATATTTAAACACCTACATTATAATCCATCTCCAACTTCTCACGTTTCTTTATTTCCAGGTTGCGGAGGGCCTCTAACTCTTGAGAGTGATTCTCCAAGAAGCTGACAGTTAGTCGATTAGTTTCCAGTTCCTCCTGTGAATTTGAAAAAAATACTAATGCTTTTAGAACATCAGAGCTCACTACAAAAAAGCCATGGCATAATCAAAGTCAGTAAAAAATTAAGACATTGTAGAGTTGGAGGGTTTTCTCAGTTCCAAAAAATGAAAACTCTTGACCACTTGACTTCTACCCAAGAGGGAGGATTTAGTACACAATTAAAAAGACAGCCAAAGAACATGATGAACATATACTTGAGTGGTAGTTCGAATTAGTGCAATAACAACATTTCACCGGGCAATATCGTAAGACAATGGCAACACTGAAAAGAAATAGAAAACTCAAAGATGCTGCTAGACCCTTCATAAATATTGTTGGAATTTTTATGGGGGTTTAATTTTAGTAGACCTGTTGAGATCTGTTTCCCTTTAAATACCACAGACATATCTGTATGAAACATTTATGTCAAAAATTTCAGCAACTATTTGTAAAAAGGCATTGACACACGATATCTAGAGTCCACTAAAAGACAAGTATGAAAATTTATAGGCTGAATATTGTCGTAGTTTAAAAATGTACACTTCAACTTACCTTTATGCTTCCCAGTTCTTTCAGAGCTTCCTCATAATCTCTTGTTGTTGTCTCAAGGTCAATATTTGCTCTTGCAAACTGCGCACCAAAGACAGAAAACAAATTGTCAACATTGACCTAACTCATTCAGCGCTGAGTGAAAACCTACGCATTTCCCTGCTGTGCTGTGCAATTTCTGAGTGAACCAGGTGGGTTGAGAAAAAGATTAGAGTAGAAAAACTGCTTCATCTATCATCACAATTTTTTCTACTGCTTATTTAGGACATAAAGTAGTGTCTTTTGGTTGTATGAGTGTTTGGGTCAATGAGTGCATAAATGATACAATAGCTGTGATGTTTGATGGAACAGGCATTTGTTGTCCCAGTATTGCCATCAAAACCAAAGCCACTGTCAGCACTATCACTTGATGAACTAGATTGTTTAACAAACTCTTGATAAAAATACAATAATAACTGCAAAGTATTCACATTGAAAAATTGTTTTGGGACGATTGATCATTTTCCTTGACTGAAGGCCATTGCAAAAAGCCAAACTTCGACAACACTAAGCCTAAGACTGAAAAGCAAGTATCAAGCATTATTCATTAAAAAATGACGCTATAAAACATATCTAGACTGCTTTCCTTTTACTCATGTGACAAAAGATAAAGGCAGAGCTATTCTTTTACTCTTCAACACACATGGGCCAGAACAAGACATACAAGAATTTTCATCAGTAGCACTGAATGAGTTGAAACAATTACATATTTCCTACTTTTCCATCCGGTTTTATCAGTGCAGCACAGAAGGAAAAATAAGGTATCAATCCTTGAGTGTGGAAAATCTTTTTTGTTCATTCAAAGGAACTACCAGCAATTAGATTTATCATCTTTATTATGAAAGACAACTGGGAAAAAAAACAAATTTAAAGCTTACCCTTGTTTCTAATACTTGAATCTCCTGTGTATAAGTAGCTTGAAGATTTTTGCGAGACTCTTTCTCTTCCTTCAGCTGCTTGTCAGCTGATTTGAGAACGAGGTGAATGTCCGTGTTCTCATCATTGAGCACTGAGCACATGAAGCCATCCCATCATAAGAGGAAGAGAGCATAGTACAAAAAGATTACAAGACGTCAAAACAAAACTAATACAGTACATTTATTGATCTTCCTTAACCCTATCCGTACGCCCTGGGGTCATTTTGTACCGCCGGGCTTGTATTCTTCAAATTTTAGAATACTTCCAGTGTGAAGATCTCTTTGAAACTTTCAGTATTTCTCCAAAAATCATTTTGACAGACTGCTATGCAAAGCGTACGGATCAGAATAACGAGTAAATTTCCTCTTTGGAAGTGGTGGCAAAGAGTTCCACACGACGTATGGATACAATAGTAAAACATGACGAACGGATAGGGTTAACACTTTGACTCCACGGGACGCCGATCGGCGACAGTCAGAAGATGTACCTTTTCCCCACGGGACGCCGATCGGCGACAGTGTGATATAGCATGTACCGCATCTGTATCCTGGTCCGTGGGGATAAGACTTTGGGTGGACAGAGTTAACTTAATACACAAACAAGGCACATACAGGGAAAACAACGGTCGTTAAGTCCAACTGTACAGAAACAGAAAAGGCAGCCATTTGATGAACACAAGGTTAGTTATATTTCTAACAAATAAGATTTTCTCATCAGTGGCTATTGCATGTACAGGCTGTTTTGATCTTCTTAAAAATCCTGTGCAAACATTTCTATCATGACACTTCACCGTATAAAAGTCTTCTGAAAGAACTTACTCGGTAAAAAAACATGTTACAGTTAATGATTTAGAACCATACAAAAAAGAAAAAGAAAATATAGAATACATATGCGACAACCAATACTCACATTTCAGATCATTTTTTACAGTATCTATCTCCTCCTTTAAAGTATTTACAGCCGTTGTATAATCATTTCTGCGGGAAGTGTTTTCTGTGCGTTCCTTCTCAAGTACCTGAGGAGTCAAACATATATATTATTGAATGCTATTCGCAGCGACCAAATTTGTATAAATTAAAAGAAACGTTTATTTTAGATTTGTTTTGGCTATTGCTAAACTTAGTGCCCTTAATCCATTAGCAATTCAGCAAAAAAGTATCTGAAAGTCAGGAAAGTATAACGGGGCAAAGCCCAAGGACCTGGGAGAATGAATCCAGGACCTACAGATTACAGGGTAAGCATGTAGGCCACTGAGTGATACTGTAGTCTATTTAATAAAGCAAGCAACCATGTATAAAATATTATAAACATAAATGTAAGTTCAACTTCAAAGGCCAAACCTTTTGTTGCATGGCATCTTTAGACATACCAAAATGGGTTCCCCCCTCCGCAAATTGACAGTCCAAAGAAAGCTGCATAAGACACAGGATTGATGACCAGGCAAGGTGTTAACAAATACTCACTCCATTCAGTTGTTCATTGTACAGTTCAAGTTTTTCCACCTGTTGTTTCATGCGTAACTTCTCTGCTTCGTGGTCGTCAACAAGTTTCTGCTCGAGAAGACAGAAAAAAATAAAATGTCAAGCAATCGGTTAAACAAAGACTTGTTTGTCTCACAGTGGAGAACTTTAAATGGTTACAAAATAGAAAACAAATTATTCTGAAGACACATTTTTTATTGAGTTAGTAAATAAGTTGGCACTGCAGCAAAATGATTCATTTAATACTAAACTACAGAAATATTTGCTTTTTGTTACCTGAAAAGATATTTCGCACCTGGCTGAGCAGTGAGAAAGCCGGATCAACCTACCTTGAGTTTCCCGTTTTCCACTTGCAAAGTCTGGATCTCCTCCATGAGCGCATCATGGGCCCCTTCTGCCACATCCTGGGGCAGGGCTGTTTCGGTGATGCCTTGTTCAGTGTTTGCTGCCTCTCCCACTGTTGGTGTGCCGGGAGAGTCACATTTGCCATTCATCTTTGGAGTTGTCATGACCTGGGAATGAAAGCAAGAATCTGAGAGAGACGGGAAGTACTTCAAATGATCCACTCAGCAGAAAGTAAAGGGCTGGAATTACAGGTTCTGTGGACCGGAGATAGGAAGAAAGAGACGGATACTTGTGGTGGACATTCATCAAGAAGCAGATTTAGACATTAGAAACATTGAGAAAGAAGTAGAAGGAGCTAGCAAAACCACAGCAAACATCAACCATCCAGCGAGTCTGGGCAAAAGGAAGAGATAAAAAGTTGGGGCTAGTGACAATGGTTTAGTATCCTTTTGCTGAGTGGACCATCAATCTAGAAATCTTTCTCAAGAAGATACAGATATAAGGATAATCTTGATATGAGAGATTTTGGGCACAGGAGGCTGTGTATGGATTAAACAAGGTGAATACAACACAAAATGTAACCTTTTTTCACCCTCAAAATATTGGTTACAATCATACAAATTTCATAGATATTGCCAAAAATAGGCAAATATGCTGTAAAATAAAGCTGTGTTTTTGACACTATAATCATAATAGAGCACTGGTGTGTGGGTTTGAGGATTGGGGGGGGGGGTTATTTTTCTGGAAATATCACCCAAGTCCATTTTACATAGTTCAGTTTGACAAACCAGGAAATAAAGGACTAAGGAAAAAATAGAGACATGAATGTATTAAGTTAATAGAAAGAAAGGTGGTGTAACAGAGTCATACATGAACAATTCATCCTGCATTCAGATATGACAGAAAACTAAGCCTGAAACGAAGAGTGCAATGATATTGCAAAAAAACAACCTGTTACACCAACCTTTAGAGTCTGGCAGTGTAAGTCTTTCAAGGCATTGCACTCAATCCTGGCCTTGAGTTGATGTGCTTCGAGCACTCGCTCTAGTTCAGTAATCATTTTACGACAGGACACGAGTTCAATTTCCATTTCCATTTGACGATTCTCAGCCTTCTTTGTCACTTCCAGGACTTGTTGTTTCAGCTGAAACAGTTTTCAGAAATTGTCTTAAAATACCACGACATTGTAAATGCTTAGAAAAAACACATCTTCTGTTTTTAGAGAATAGCTTAGCTCACAAAAAATAAAAAATGGACTGCATATCCTTAATACTATTCTGTAACAGAAATATTCCAATACCATCCAATACAATACCGTAGCAATTATCAATTACGTGAGCAGGAATCATTAACCCTTTTAAAAAGTACAAAATAATCATATGCACTGACCTGAACTCCAGTCTTCACAGCTAATTTATCCTATACAGCAAAATATTTTTTATAACCAACAAGGATAAATATTGTTGCTTGGAATTTGCTAAATTTTAATGGTTACACAGGTCAACAGGATTTAAAAAAAGAACAGAAAAACATGCCTTGAATATGCACAGCTAAGACCAGGCAAAAATGCTAAGGAATGAACCTCATTAATTTAAGAAATAAAGTTGCCAGATTATTCATGAAAAAGCTACTCAAGACAAAAATATTGTAAAACGTTGAGAAGAAAAAAAAAAAACCCCAGTGGGAATAAATATAAAGCCATTTTATTTCCCAAACCTGCTCAATCTGTTCTTGGTGTTCCTTGATCTCTTTGCGATGCTTCTCTAGAGTAGCAGCTGGCACTCCATCTTTCATAGGTGAAGATCTGACACTTGCTGCAGCCGTATTCCCTCCCTTCATTTCTGAGAAACAGTCAGCATTACGAATTTTTAAAATACATCAAGAAAACGTGAGGACAAACAATATTCATTGAGCATAATAACAGTGCTGAACGTACTACTAGAGTATTTTGTGATTGCACTCCAAGTTTTTCTAAAGCATAATAACAGTGCTGAAAGTACTAGAGTATTTTGTGATTGCACTCCAAGTTTTTCTAAAGCATAATAACAGTGCTGAACGTTCTAGAGTATTTTGTGATTGCACTCCAAGTTTTTCTAAAGCATAATAACAGTGCTGAACATACTACTAGAGTATTTTGTGATTGCACTCCAAGTTTTTCTAACCAACTGACTTAATAAAAAGCTAAAGCGTCAGTTTGCTGAATTACAGAGGCCATGCAAAAAGAAATCAGTCGTATACAAGATGCTAACTATGCTGTCCCATGACATCTCTAAAGCATTGAGAACAAATAATAACTTAGAGCTAAGAATTATCAAACATGAATTCAAGAGCAGATTAAACATTATAATGGGAAAAAAGTTAATAAAAACAATATATCCACACAAAATATTTTTTTTCCATCTTTTAACCTCGAAGGTTGCAAGACAGTCATATGTGAACTTGTAACTCAGTCAGACCAAAAGAGACCCGCTGCCAGTAAATTAGTGCTCTACCTCCATTAGAAAAGAAAATTGGGTTAGTGATTGCAGTTACTTTGGAAGAATTGGGCAATAGTATTGGCGTTTTAATTTTTGGTTCATTGTCTGTTATAGCAAACAAGGAAAACACTCCTGGACCTCTCATTAAATTTGCACATAATGAAACACAGAAATGGCCTTTACTTAGATTTGTTTATTTTTAAAAAATGTACATTTAGTATGCAAAGTGTATTGTAACTAAACAGTGTGAATTCACACACATAATTTGAAGCATTTTGCTATCTAGGCTATATTTCAGGAGCAGCGTTCAGAGAACTTTTGATACCTCCACGAACATCTTGGCTAGTTTCACTCTGCTGTATACAACAAAATGGATCATTATGAGTGACACTTACTGCGACATCTATCTTGCATATAACCCATATACTTTATGAACTTCAGTCTGGGTTAAGTGCAACACCTTAACAAACTTTTCTAAATAATACGCAGGAGAACATTTGGAACTTTGGTTATTATATAATTCCAAAATGCTTCTGTTTTGTTCCCTGTTTCCATGTCCTGAAAAAAAACAGTCGATAAATCACTGAAAGGCAAATCCATAAAATCCTTCTCCCAAATTCAATCTGAAGATGACAATGAAGACAATGACAATGAAGCAATCAAGAATGATGTAACGCACAAAACTTGGTATTTTGTTGCTCCCGTTTTGAAAATACTCTTTTATAGCAAGCAGAATTGGGAGAAAGAAAAAAAATCACACCTTTCAACAGTTTCAGCTCCTTGAAAATCTTTTCCAGCTGACTGATCCGGAAGCTATCCCCGAACTCGTCTGCCACAGACTCCTGAGACCTCAGCCGCTTCAGCTCACTGCGCAAGTGTTTGTTTTCCCCAGCATACTTGGCCAGCATCGGGTTGTTCTCCAGTTGTTGTCTCAAAACCTTGATTTCATCACGCAGAGACTTCTGGGAAAATGAATGTCTATTACAACAATACAGTTCATCTGTTGATAAAGTGCTACTCATAAACCTACAGCCTTTATATTTATAGTACAAGGGTGGTATCTTTTCTCCATATTTACTATATCTGGTGTCAAGCTCTATTGTATCCATCTGTTGACCGTCCAGAAAATATTAGATTTTTTCAATATAACCATATGGGAAACTCCCCTCTAGGAATTACCCTAAGTGCCTAGCAGGGCATTAACTCATGCAAAATCAAAATCAAACAATGAGTAACTACTGAGAAAAGAAATGTATAAATTTTATCGAAATGCAAAGCTGGGGCAAAAAAAACAGCCAAACTTTAAAAATATAGTCTTGAAGGTTGGCAGCTATGGTACAGGGGAGACCCCGTAAAGTGAACATTTGCTGTGGAGAATCTGTCTTTAAAACTCAAAAATGAAATCTTCCATCTAAATCCCTGAACTTTCAGAGTGTCTTGTTTCTTTGAACATTCCATCCTTAAGGTCGATAGTGAAAAAAGAAAAAAGTCTTGCTCTTGCCACCTCCCTCCCAACCCGTCTGCTGGGACTCAGTAACCCACTTTCAGCACTTTTTAAGGACCCCCGGGCGAGTGTTGAGTTCCTGCGTGCTGTCCGCATCGCTGACCGTTTATGAAGCCACAGCACCAGAAGAGAGAGAGAGAGAGAGAGAGAGAGAGAGAGAGAGAGAGAGAGAGAGAGACCTCCCTCCCACTGATGAATTTGTACACCTGAAATTATAACCAACAAAGATACAACATGCACCTCAACCAAAACTCCCCATTACAGTATTTCACTCACTAAAAAACATTGAAAAATAACCGGGGGGGGGGGGGGGGGGAAGCCCACTGTTATGTCATGACTCACCACTACAGTGTCTTTCTCTAGCTCTGTATAACCCTGAGCTGCCTGCTGCAGACTTTGGATGTGGTTCTCCCGGAACTTTATGATCATCTTGGTAGACTGAATGTATTTGTCTTTTTTGTTGCATAGTTCTTGGAGGTGATTCACAACATCCTGCAAGGCCTGACAACACATGGACATTCATGGCATTTAGAAACCAACAGAAAAATGTAGTATTATAGAATGGTATGTAGAATAAAATGTTAAACATGTAAATAATTTATTCTTATATCCTCAACCAAAGTCTTAGTCTTTATGCATGAATATATTGGACTCGATGTAAACTAAACGGAAATTAAATGTGTCACAAAAATGAAAAAAAAAAATAAACTGATCTTTTAAAGGATTCTCTAAATGTTTTGCAAGCCCATCAAAGCACATACTTGCATCCTAAAATTGATATACTTACATAAGCATTATTGAAAAAGTTTCTACACACTAAGATGTAAAAAGAAATGTGGCACAAAATACACAGAAGCATTTATCTTATTTCATCACACTTTTAAAGCTCCACCAATGAAAGGGGTCATTTTTGTCAATGAAAATCTTTTGTCTGTGACGTTGATTTAAAAAAATCATTTTTACTACTACGATTCACATTGCAAACTCACCGTTTTCTCACTTTCCGAAATTTCTCGGAAGTGCATGGCTTCAATGAAATTTTTTTTCCAGACAGAATCCGAGTTCATGGCAGCTGGAGAAACCAAAAAACCATTTCGCTTTTAGCATGAAGTATTATTGTTTGCTAAAAAAATCTGCAACCAAAGGACAAAATCAACTCATGATATGTTGCTGAATTTGTAAATCTTGAGGGTCAGCATTATAAAGAATACTCTTGTCAGGAGTGGATCAGGGTATTATTTTTAGCTTAAATATATGTAAATATGAGCAAAGAGAATCCTACTCACATGATAACGGTACAGTCATCTAGTCCACGGACAGAGAGAGATACACAGACAGAAACAACAGAGGAGAGAAAGGAAGAATAAGCGATAAAACTGACAATAGCAAGATAGGGCTGACCACAGCAGATCACCCACTAACTACCAGCTCAAAGTAATACATTGCAGCTCCACATATGAAGAGACAGAATAATATCCACTATATTAGTTTGAGATAGTTTCAATCTGGAGATAGATCAACATACAAACATTAAAAGAGAAAACCCAAGAACAAAATGAGGAAAATGTAAACATTCTGAGAAAACAAGCTGTACAGAAACGCAAAGGTTAAGTTTAAAAATCCGAATAAAGGGCTAGAAAGCAAATATTTGAAATGGTGAAGAGACCTTCATTCGGAAGGGTGAGAAGGTTTTCCACAGGCGGAGAGGCATTCTGTTGTGATTCCAACAACTCCTTCAGTCGACGTATCTCATTCTGTAGTTTCAGGTTACTGCCATGGAAGTCTTCATTCACCACAGCCTAAGGGGAAAAATCATAAACCACTGACTCCAAACTAACACACATGGAAAGCCGTTGCTGGCTTAACTAGACAAACAAATACAAGGGTGATTCATACAGCAGTCTTTGAGTTCACCTGAAAAAAAAATATGTAAAAATAATAAGATAATATATGGCATTTATATAGCGCTCAACCCTGATTAAAGTACACAGGCTCCGAGCGTTGAAAAAAGTTGTTTCCCAGGTCTGTTCATGCCCTGTCACACATAACTGATGTGTATGCAAGGCATGTACAGCAATCAAAGCTGTATTGATGCAGTCTAACTCATCTGATGTTGCAGTCTTTTTCATAATTAAAGAATGTTCTTTTCCATAAAGGAGTCCTGGGTGTTGAGCAGTGATTTACAAATGAACAGTAACAATATCATTCACATGTCTCCAGGAACACAACAGGGCTGTAAAAATGTTATAAACAAGCAGAAGGACCAGAAAACATCTGCAAACCTACCAACGACTCCCTCCCCACAAAAATGTTGCTTATGGGAACAAAACTGATCACAGCGAACAGGAAAATTTCATCCACATTATTATAGTAAGTTCTCAGCACATGATGAGCCCAAGAAACAACAATATTTGAAGAAAATAACCCACAGTTAGTTTTAGTTTTAGTAGAGGGTTTATGGCGCTCGCAACAGCATAAGGTCATATGAGCGCCAGAAGATTAGAGGTTTTACAAGAGAGTAACAAACATAAAAAAGAAGAAGGGGAGATAAGGACGATAGATGTTTGATAGGAAAGAAGAAGCAAACCACACCAGAGCACCCGCCAACCACCCACACATAACCCACAACATTAGCAAATGAGTTTCTTTCTGAAAGAGTGAGCTGTCTAATTTTGTAGGTCAATTGCTATGCAACCAAAAAAATAAAAATAAAATAAAAATACAAAAGTGAATTGCCCATGAGAGCTACATGATACAGACTAGAAGTCAAAGACATACGAATCATAGAGAATACAATACTTGCCTTATTTTTAATGAGCTTAGCACTCCGAGCAAAGTTCAAAGTACTCAAAGTTTCCCCAAAGCATCTGAAATAGAAGAAAATTACACGCAGAATCAAGACGGTGCCACTTCAGGACCAGACATTCGTCTCATCTGGGGTGTGTCTTGTGTTAGAACTATAGAGGGTTCTTGCACCCTTCAAACCCCTTTGCAAAGAGCCTGAGAGAATGTAGTGCATGCAAATCCAATGCCTCGAGATAAACTGTATTCCTAATGCAGTATGCCACATCTAGAGCAGCACACTTGACATACATCCAGACAGCAATAAGTTACTAGCTTTTGTCGTAATGAAATATTATAGAATGGACAAAATGGGTGAGACTGTTTATCAAAAATATAAAAAAGATCCATATGAATCTTTTAATTCAGGAGAAATGATTATAGAATCAGCAGAAAACAAACGTGAATTCTACTACCCATCCCACCAAGTCAACCTGGATAAATAATATTCTAAAGGGGCTGGCAGGTAAAATACATTATATCACACAAATCAGGAAATTTTTTAAAAGTCTGTTAATATAAGCTTACTTGGAATCAGGATGAACACAGGCAATCATTCTTGTTTTTGTGTTTCCTCCAAGAGAATCCTGTTGGAATCAGAAATCATAAGATAAAGACTTAGTCAGCAGGACAGAAAACAAGTCAGACACAAGAAAACAACAGGTGGATGATTATGCTAACAAATAACTACTTTTACTTCTTTCAAGTTCAGTGGATGTTCTCAACATGTCAAATGCCCTCACAAAAATCAGTCTCATATCCTTGCAACAGTACGCTTCTTTCAATTTGATCAACTCAGACTCAGGAGTAGCCAGACTATTCAATTTACAGTTGGCATCTCCCTATTCAGTAAGATTTGGACACTGTCAAGATGTCCACCTGTCTAAGACATCCTCCTTGATGGGCTGATGAAACATTGTTTATAGTCATCGACAAAAACTAACCCTTAGGAGGAAAGTGAGCTTCGAGTCTCTGTACGGTATATGACGTTTTCTGCCATGACTTAAGTCCACCAGTGACATGATGACATTGCCCAGCACAGACAGCGACTTGTTGATGCTGCCAGCCTCCTGAAATGCACAATATACACTTATCAGCACAAACAGTAATAATAATAATAATAATAATAATATATAACATTTATATAGCGCATTTCCAAAAAAGTAGCTCAATGCGCTTTACATTGGAATACCAATTTTCTGCAATATATATTTATGCACACACACACACACACGGACTATTTTCATTCAGATATAGGCACAGAACTATAATAAAAAATAACGTTAAAAGCTTATGAAGGATAGGCCTGTAGGAACAGAAAATGCTTAAGATGTCTTTTGAAGCTATCAAGTGTTCTTGTTTGTCTTAGCTCCATGGATAATCTGTTCCACACGAACGGACCAAGATATGAGAAAGATCTCTCTCCATATGATTTGTATGATTTTACGGCTGTCACAAGTAGGGTGTTATCGTTTGATGATCTTAGGTTTCCTATCTGGCTTATATATACTGATAAGTTCTTGTAGATAAAAAGGAACACTTTTATTTACACATTTGAAACACGTGACACAGATTTTAAATATTATTCTTTCTTTTACAGGGAGCCAATGCAGTTCTTTTAATAGTGGAGTGACATGGTCTCGTTTTTTAGATCTTGTTATCAGTCTAGCGGCATTGTTTTGAATGACTTGTAAACTATTAAAATATTAATGTTCAGACCTGCTAGGAGTGAGTTAAAATAGTCTAATCTAGATAGGATAAGAGATGTTACCAGTGTTTTTGTGGTCTCTTCGTTTAAGTACTTTCGAAATAGGCATATCTTCTCAGCTTATGTAATAACAAACATAACAATATAGGAAATAAAAATGTTGGATGTTCAAAACAATAACCATTATTTCATGCAGGAAAAGAGGGAGAGACAAAAAGCAATAAATTTCATACAAGTTTTGATTGGACAAAAAAGTGATCTTAGTCTACTCCCTTCTCATAATAGTAAAAAACACTTCAATGCAGCATGCAGCGGGCCGTGAGGTGTACAACTCAGAGTGCCAAGTTTTGTAGCATACCACATATGTGTTGGATCGTGGGGAATGACTTAACCCTTCCAGCCCCAGCCATTTTTGTGCACTCCCTAACCCCAGTCCCAGCCAACATAGCATTATTTCAGAAAAAGAGGCATTCATTCTAAAAAGTGATGTAGTATCTTTGTAATGTAGCTTTGATAATAACATATACCAATTTTTAAAGGTAAATTAACAAATAATAAGAAAATTAAAGTTTAATTAAGTTCGCTAATTTCGAAAAATGCACGAAATTTGTACCCCCCGAAACTGAGAATATACGCTCTTGGGACGGAGGGAGGTACAAGCACTGCTGAAAATATATGCGCATGGGGCTGGAAGGGTTAATAAATGACATGACAAATTTTGTTGTTAGGAAAGAACAGCAATTTCTCACCATCACTAATTAAGCATTGAGCAACACGTGAACATCACAATGAGCCAAGCCAGAATCTTTTTACCTTTAGGCGAGTTCCTCCAGTATTTGTGTCTTTCTGTCTTTCTGATCCAGCCAGATCAACTAGATTGAGTTGAGATGTTCTGATATTCTGAACGCCACAATCATCTTCCTGAAATTTTTTAAGTAACATTATCAATATGGGTACTCTTAACTCAATTGTTTTTGCAGATTTTACAATACATGTTCACATCAAAATCCTCCAAAGTGATGAGAAATTACATTCTAGCATGATATTGCTTTTTTCACTTCAGTTGTGTCTTTTACTTACATAAAAAGGTCTGAGTAGTTTCATATATCAAGAAAAACTTAATCTCCCAAAATAGACAAATCAGCGTACATAGACGACACTTTGAGAAAAAAGAAAATTGTCTTTTTCACCTTTGATTCTATTGTGACTGTAAAAACAGCATGAGACCTTGAGCTTTCCCTGTTCATTGATGTGGCAGCCACTCTTCTATTCAGCCATCCCATGATCAAAACCTGAGAAATAAGAAAGACAAATTTCAGTTTTAGTAGAGGTTTTACGGCGCTCGCAACTGCATGCGGTCATATGAGCGCCAAGGGGTGGATGTCAACAGAGAAGTCCTAACAGGGAATCAGGCTTACTCTGCTCACCTCTCAAGCTTCAACAGCACAAAGTCTGCTTCGACTATCAAGGCACCCCGGAAATAGAAGGCCACAAGAGTGAGACAAACATACCAAAAAAGTAGAGGGAAAATGACGATAGTAAGGATTAGGAAAGAAAAAGCAGCAGTTCCCGTTGCAGTCCAGGCACAGTTATGAGCATGACATTGATGAATCAGCCCATTTACAATTATACTGTGCATAAAACACGTTAATGTCCCGCCTTTGGGAATGGCCTAAAGACACTTCAGTCAGTAGCACCGCCACGGGGGGAACAAATTTAATTATACTATAAGAATATCCAAAGTCCAACTTTAAATTGTATGTCAGCAAAATATATTTTTTCACCTGGAATAAAAACTATATGTTTGCTCTTCTTTTATCATTTTCAAACTTCAAAACATAAAAAGTAGAGTTTCAAATCAATCTACATATTAAAAACTGAGGAATTTCACAACAAAAAGAGATGAGTTTTCATATTTAGGAAATATAAAAGTGTAATTTCAGTCTCATGTTTTCAATCTTCTTCTAATTTCCTTTACTTAATTCATATACAACCCACCCTGAACTACCATTTTCTTCTTCCTCATATACTGACATGCAGCCAAACCAAATCACTCATAAAACTAAAAATCTTCATGACCATATGTTATTCAACCAATGCAAATGTAGATGTCTTTTTCACCTGATAGGCGTCACCAGGGTTGCAGATAACTTGCTCTATCAAGCCATCAACAAACACTCCTTTGTTCATGTTTTCTCGTAAGTGAAGGCCCTGGGAAGCCGGATCCAGGAGGTCGAAAATTTGCTCCTGATAAATTTCCAAGAAGGAACATCGGCACAAGAACTGTTTTTTAGTGCCATGCTGGAAAAGGGAATAGAAAATAGCAGTTAAGAAAAGGAATAATATGAACTGCATTTCACTGCAAAACTTACTGTTTCACATTCTTCTTAACAAGCAAATGTTTTGTCAGTTAACAAAAACAAAAACTTATTCTCAGCATATTTCTCAAAGCTAATAGAATGACAACAAAAGTGGATAAAAGTAACAAAATCTTAATCTTAGAGACAATGCACTGCCAAGTTTGAAATGTGCCAAGACATAAATATTTAATTACTACGAGGATGTATATCATTTTCTGTCTCTCACTCAAAAATTTATTTCTGCCATGGAAAAAGCTTGAATCTTATTAGTCGAAATCAGTTGAACATACTACAATCATCAAAGTATTTACAATGAAGGTGGATATATTTTACTGGTGTAGTGCTGCACAGCCACATATTAATTTCTCAAAGAATTACAACAAAAGTACGTGAAATTATACACCTTGATTAACTTTACATGTAAAAATGAATGCCTGACTTACTAGTTCTGCCTGGTGGGCAATAAGGTTGAAGAGGTATTCAAAACTTCGAGGAATAACACCTCGTAGCTCATGCTTGAAACTGTCAGAATTCTCAGAAGGACCTGGAAGAGTACCAGATCTTTTAAAGGTATGTTCTTTTTGTTTAGTAGAGTTTTTACGGCGCTCGCAACTGTATAAGGTCATATGAGCTAAAAGGGCTGGATGACAATAGAAAAGTCCAAACAGGGAATCAGACTTACTCTGCTCACCTCTCTAGCTTCAACAGCACAAAGTCTGCTTCAACTATCAAGGCACCCTGGAAATGGCGGGTCACAAAGAGTCAAGAGAGTGACAAACATACAAAAGAGGTAGAAGAAAATGACAAAAGTAAGGATTAGGAAAGAAAAAGCAGCAGTTCCCCATATGCAGTTCAAGCACAGTTATGAGCATGACATTAATGAATCAGCCCATTTATAATTCTACCGAGCATAAGAACATGTTAATGCCCCCCCCCCCCCTCCCCCTCGGAATGGCCTAAAGACACTAGTCAGTAGCACCACCCGGGGGGTGACGTATGTTCTATAAGTGTACAATAACAATGCTTTTTTCAAGGATTACAACAAGAATGTTAGAGTTATAACTGTTAGCAACATCAGAAACTATGTTTCAAACCACTTTAAAGTACACTGATGATATTCTATCATCCTTCTTATATTTAGAGAAAAACAGCTGAGATGAAGAAAAATGTGACCACAGATCATTTGCTTTAGGAATGCCCAATGCAAGACCGACTCAAAGCAGCCACATGGCCAGAGCCATTGCCTCTTAGAAGCAAGCTCTACAGTAACTTGGGAGCCATAATAACAAGAATAACAAAGAAGATCAACAACTAATAGGCTGTGAAAACTAACTAAATTTATGGTTACAAGGCAACTAACTCTTCACAGCTGACACAACAAAAGGGCATAAGTCTACAACAAAAGGGCATGAGAGTCTACAACAAAAGGGCATAAGAGTCTACAACAAAAGGGCATAAGAGTCTACAACAAAAGGGCATGAGAGTCTACAACAAAAGGGCATGAGAGTCTACAACAAAAGGGCATAAGAGTCTACAACAAAAGGGCATGAGAGTCTACAACAAAAGGGCATAAGAGTCTACAACAAAAGGGCATAAGAGTCTACAACAAAAGGGCATGAGAGTCTACAACAAAAGGGCATGAGAGTCTACAACAAAAGGGCATAAGAGTCTACAACAAAAGGGCATAAGAGTCTACAACAAAAGGCAATGAGAGTCTACAACAAAAGGGCATAAGAGTCTACAACAAAAGGGCACAAGAGTCCTTGTCGTAAGACAATGACCTTGTTTTTCAGGAAATTGCTAAAGAACACTCACATTATATTACATATCAAGCAAATGTTGTATATGCCATCTTGTCATCAATTTCATGAGAGGCAATTGACATTATAAGATTCGTGAAGTCCGGCACAAATATTTCACATCATAAAAGGCACTTTGATTCCAATTACAGTCGAAATAGTCCAAAATGGACACCCATTGTCAAGGAGAATAGTGGTTGTCTTAGGCAGGTGGACATCTAGGACAGTGTCAATACAATTTTTTTAAACGTAAGGTGGGAAGTTGTCATCTCTACAAGTGATTGTCTTGGACAGATGATCATTAGATAAGCTTGTACTGTCATTATATAAAGGAAAGAAATATGAAATTTAAATTCATAGATTTCTGTTGATGTCAAGCACAAATAATCATTTAAACCTGAAAACAGTTCCCACAATATGAACTAATAATAATAATAATAATAAATTGCATTTATATAGCGCATTTCAACAAAGAAGTGCTCAATGCGCTGTACAATAATACAAAGAACATATGCAGTGCAAAGCTCCGATAGTGATCCTCTTTCTCTCTCTCTCTCTCACTCTCTCTAGCATCACAAAAGGAGGAATAATCCTGTCAAGAAAAGCCCATTTTTTACTTACCAAGCATTGTGAATGTTTTACCAGATCCAGTCTGGCCACTGTGAAATAAAGACAATTTTAATTGAAAAATAATACTTCATGTACATGTGCGGTTGTTCAATTATTCAACATTTACAGTACCGTAGGCTCATAAAGTGAAAAACCCTCAAGTACAACACCAGTTTAGAACGCTGAATTCGGGGTAGAAATTGAAAATGCATACAGCTTGCAGCTCGCAGTAACAGAAAGGGGTAGATGTGAAAACAAACTTTCAAAAAGTTAAAATTACCGCAAGAATGACATTTCTAACTCTATACTGTCGGCAATCATAGCCATTTGAGAAATCTCTAAACAGAAAAATAAATCAGGCGATCCTGCAGATTTTGGTATAAGCAGACTCCCTTGTTTATCATATTATAAACCCATCTGGATGCTTCGTTTGGAGACAATTTGCCAGCAGCAAAAAACAATCCCCCCTCCCTTCCCCCCCCCCCCCCCCCCCCCCGAAAATCAGATGATTAAATCATCAATTAGGAAACCAAAACAAATTAAAGCACCACCCCTTTAAGTGTGGTTGAGCATGACCTCAAAGATCGAAAGGAAAAATAAACATATTAGAATGGAGCTGTCTAAAAACATGTAAAGCAACGGTCTTAAACACTTCATTGACACCACACACATGCACAAACACTTTAATTCAGCCCTTAAATACAAGACTTACTAAGCAAAGATAGTCCCATTGTAACCAGCAATGCAACTTTCTATGATCTTCTTGCCAACAATAGAGAATACAGCTTCCTGTCAAAGAAAAATACAAGAGTAACAAGGTAAGTTGCACTTCTGAAAAATAAAGTGCCTCCTGCCAAAACTAATTTCATCAATATCCTGAAAAAAAACAACATGTTTACCAACCGGTCACAAGAAGATTTTGGAGTCAAAATTATTTTCTAGGGCCGACGGTTAACCTATAATCAGTTGCTTAATCACATGTAGCCAGTTCCAACACCTGTAATGCATCAGACTTTCATTCTGACCATGACCTCACCGGTCAGATACAAAAGGAACTGACAACTTTTGGAACAAAAGCATTTAGTGAAAATCTGACATCGTCCATAATAATTACCTGGGTGATATCTGCATCAGCAACATTGTCATAGGTGAAAACCTTTGGCTCTGGTTTTGTTCTCAAAATGACAGCATTATCTGCAGTATTGACATCTAATACTCTGGGTGCAAAGTCATTTTCACTTATGCTTGGATCTGGAGGTCTCACACGAAGGAAAATTTTTATAGAGTCTCCTTCCGATGAATTGCTGAAAGATAATACAAGAGCAATAATTAAAAACAAAAGCCTAGATGGAAGGGATCAAATTTCACACATTACCCCTTCAAAACACCAGAATACTTAAATAGCATGATTTTAAAATCAAACCATTTTGATAAACTCAATTATGGTCATGCTAAAACTAGCTGGAACACCAAAACACTTTAAAAAATTTGATACATTCTCTTATAATTTTATAGAAATCTGATGACAGTATTGACAGCAACCAGAAAAGTTGTAGAGATTGACCTATTGATTGTTAATGTTTTACCATCCTTTTGATATAATTTGAACCACCACGCGTGACTTCAGGGTACCACCATTGCATCACAATCTTTAGCTTTTACAAGCTTTATTCAAAACATCTCATTTTATTTTTCAAGTTCAAAAGAAAAAGTTAGACAAGTACCAACTAAGAGTATTGAACCTCGCCCAAATAAAACAAAAACATACAAAAAAGCAAAAATTATAACACTGAAAAAGTGTCATGCCCCCTCTCCCATCAAGAAAATGTGGGCTTTTTTGTGTAAAATATAATGCAAGTGTTCTTATGCTCCCATCAACACAACTTGGGAGTCAAAAACGCCAAAAACAAGAACAACAATCTACAATACTGACTCAGTAATTGCAAAACAATTATCTTTATGATGGTTGCAGCTCTAAAAGCATGAGCTGGAAAGAGTGTCCACTGATTCACGATGAGCTTGTTTAGTTTTTAGAAGTTAAGAAGCAAGACCAGTTCTCAAGAAATTGTTCAAAAATAGCATGCTTTAAAGAGTTAAAAATGTGCTTTGATTCTTTTCAAATTTCAACCAAGTAGTCTCTTCTTAAAACAAGACTATAAAATACATCCACCCAAATTATGCTGAAGCAATTGTAAAGAATACAAAACAGCAAACAAGGTTTCAAATCACTGAAATACTTTCAATACTGAATCAGAATTAGAATGCTTACAACCTTGAAGATGACAACGTGTCCATGATGCAGCAATCAGGATTCACACTTTGACTGACTAATTACGTAATCTGTCAAAAGAATATAAGATAAATCTTTACTGTCCAGATCCTGGCACATTGGTTTGGTGTTTCACCGCGTGCACACGTACACACAAACACACACACGCATAACAAAGAAAAACCGTCAAAATCACTCACTATGCCATGGTCAACACAACACACTGCTCAACTCAACTGCAACACAACAAAGTGGGCTCTGCCAATACAGCCAGAACTAGACGTAGTTCATGTAGATTTGTAGATTCTATCTAGATGAAAGATGATCTGTCAAAATACAAATTGTACAGAATTGTAGAAGTAGGGAAATGAAACAGTAAAAAATATAGTCTAGTATGTATGATGCTAATTTGTTTTGCATGGTAAAAAAAAATTAATCAAATTATTACAATAATTTCATAGCAACTAGGCTTACAGTTACAATTTGCACTCTGACACTGATAAAACTAAACAAAAACACATCATAAAATATAATATATATAATATATAAGTGATGATAGTGTCTGTGGTATATGCTAGTAGTACAGCCAAAGCTAGACCTAGATGATTTGTAACCAAAAAAAATAATTGTAGAGTCAAGACATTTGAGGATAATAAAATACAGTCGAGCCTGTGCAAGACGAAATCACAAGGGAGCCAGAAAAAAATCGTAGTGACTATTCGGACTCGAATAGACAAAAATTATGTTCGGACACTAAATTGAGTCCAGCATGAAGTCCGTTCCGACTTCTGACCCTTGTTCCTAAATATTTCCAGCATTTACAAAAATTTTTTCAATTATAAAGATAACAGTCCAGACATGAGCTTTAATAACCAGTTACTAGAGATGGGTCGGGCTCGCAAAATCAGCATCCGCGAGTAACTACTCACTGACACTACCCGCAAACAAGCGGATGGGTAACGAACCGTTCGCTTGTGAAGAGTAGTTTGCTACTCGCTACACATCGGACAGAGACAACAGTTCGTTTGGCGAGCAGGCGGACGGAGACTCCATGCATTCGAGCGGGCGCACAGACGGACGGGGAGTGAGTCCTTCTATTGCATATTACTTACACCCCCCCCCCCCCCCGAAAACAATCACCCTCCTGCCCCACATTGTAACTAGGCGTTCATGGCGGAAATTTCTCTACCCCCCCCCCCCCCCCAAAATAGGGCCTTTGGGAATTCTTTAAACTTTAAGCTTCGACTTCCCGATAATTGGAAGGTAAACAGTGTGCCCACACACAAGGTGAAAGGTTACACACATAGTAGTACTACATAACCAGCCTCTCTCACTCCCTGTGGCACCGCTAGTGGCTTGAAACATTAGGTCTAATTAACAAACAATAGACGATGGGTCTAATCTTGCATCGAGTATCTCGTTTGCAGCTTGCTAGAGTTCGTCCGTTCGCCCGCCCACTCGGTGAATAAAATTGTGGAGCAGAAACGAACTGACTTGAGGCGTGAGGTCTGCTGAGAGAGTCAAATTGTGGAGCGGACCCAAAAAACGAACTGTCTTGAGGTTTGCAGTTCGCTCTCATGGCCGTCCGTTACCCGCTCGCTCAGACTGAGTCCGCGAGTAACGAGCCCGTCCGTCCGCTCGCCCCAACTCTACCAGTTACTAGACCTATAGATCTAAACAGGTCCTCCCTGCATCATTTAGTATGCACAAAACGAGTAAGTCGAGCTGACCGTGCCGGGGGACAAAGTTAATTATGTCGACCAATGAGATTGCGCATAGCGATATCGCAACTCTCGGTCTGCGGGGGGAAGAGGCCACGGTTGTCGCTTTTGCGCGATGTGCTTTTTTCTAATTACAGAAAAACTAGATCTAGACGTCTCTAACACACAAAAAAAACAAATTAAAAATGTGGAAAGACAAATGGTGGTGGAATTAATGAAGACTGCCATTGGATAGATCTAATGACAGTGCAGTCTTTTGACTTCTGACACAATGTGACAATTACACAGCCCTAGTAGGCAATTCTAGTTCTAATTCTGGTTTTATGTAAAATCCCCCGACGATATTATTTCCTTACACTCACATAACTCACCAAGAAGCTGAGTCCGAATAAATAAAACATTTTTTTCGGACCTGAGTCTGAATAGATTATAAAAATTATGGAAATCCAGGAAGAGGCTAGCCGTACTGCTAGCCGTACTGCTAGACTGGTTAGCTAGCTGTACTTAAGTACGGCTAGACAGCTGGGTTAGCCGTACTTATTTTTAATATAATGATGGCTAGACTGACCATTTTAAAAAATAGGCCTACTATAAATTTTTAGTTTGCAGTACCTAAAGTATTTGAGACGAAACCAGGTGCCTTAATGACAGTGCATGTATTTTAAACCTTCTGTTTTCTAATGTTAATAGGGCCTAAGATAAGTACGGCTAGACTGGCAGTCTAGCCGTACTTAAGTACGGGTAGACAGCCATGCTAGCCGTACTTGGACGGCTAGACTGTCAGGCTAGCCGTACTTTTAAAATTGATTGCTGAATTGTAAATGAAATTTTTAGTTTGCAATGCCTAAAGTATTTGTATTTCAGACAGAACCAAAAAGTGTCTAACTGACTTGCATGTATTTGAACCAGAATAATTAAGATCTAGATCTAGATCTAATGAGACCTGTGTACTTGACAGATTTGAATCAATAGGGCCAAACCTAGATCTAATCTAAGTACAGCTAGACTGGCAGTCTAGCCGTACTTAAGTACAGCTAGACTCTCAGGCTAGCCGTACTTTCAAGTACAGCTAGTCACTTCAAAAAATTATATTCGGACTCGAGTCCGAATAGAGCAGGCCAAAAAATTCCATCTTAGTATTCTTAGCCAGGGGAATTTAGGGGGAGATGCAGAAGGTTTTTTTTTTCAGAGGCAGAGGCCCAGATGGTGGAATCAAGGGTCGCTTGTCCAGTTCAGCTGGCAAGCTGGGGTCAAAACTTTGCACCTCCCAACAAACAAGTGCTGTCCTCTCTGATAATGACATCATGTGTCAGTCAAACTTTTGAACTTTTGAGCATACTAATTTTACATCCCACTCAAAAGTCCCTTCTTTATTGCGTAGGCTGGGGTGGTTGCTTGTAATGTTACGGAAGTCCTTCCGAGGGATGGGGTAATATTAACCCCCAAATTACACCCCTATTCCCCTTCTTCACCTTGCTGCATAAAAGTTAGAGTAAACGTAACCAATTTGGTTGATCTAGATCTAGATCTAGATCTAGAGTTTTATTTCAAATCAGGGCTGAGCGTGCAAAGCATTTTGAACACCTCTATACTCTATGACAACACCGGCGAAGATGGAAAATGAAAAGCCAAGAAGATGGGAGTTCCGAGAAGGGGGGAGGGGGGTATCTTTTTAGACTTTTTATAGAAATATAAATGAGACAATGGTGTACACTTTGAGTGGCTCAGTTGTTCACATAATTAATTCAACAAGTTTTTACTATCAGATCTAGAATCTACATCGCCTGACAACTTAACCTTCTTCTCCTCCAGCCTTGTTTGTTTACTTTGGAGAACTACTGTGTGCAGTCCTGTTCACTGTTCCTTTGAATTCACCGCCGCTCTCGTAGATTTTCTCGCGAACTCTCGCGACCGTCGGGCGTTAGCACAGAGGGTAGCTAGATGGCAGTTGCTCGGATCCAGCAGTTCCGCTGGTGGGTGGTTCCCCCAAAGTTTCTAGGCCAAGGCACCGCGGTAGGCTCTTAGGCCAAGGCCCTGAAAAGGCCGCCTAGCCTAATACACGACATGATGTCTGCAGAACAGAATGTATTGTTTCCAGTTTGCACGATAGCAACTAGATATCTAGATTCTACTTGTCAAATGCCTTTTTGTTTCACGATAAACTAGGTCTAGATTGTACATTAATATCAAATTCTTTTTTTAAAACATATTATTTTAATTATACGCATGTATATGTAGCTAGCCTACTTTAGTTTAAATGCCCAAATTTGAAGCATGTATTATATTATCGGTACATGCCATGTACACAAATCTGAACATTGTTAATATTATGCTCTTGGTATTTTGTACCTGAAGTTCACGCCTTCAGGATATACAACTGATCACGGTTAATTTATACTCTCAAATGCCAAACAAATCACCTACTCACACGTACACGTACACGCACACACGCGCGCGCGCACACAGAGGGAGAGAGAAGAGGGGGGGGGGGGGGCAATAAAAAGCCTAGAGCCAGCGTGTACGGTGTCGTGAAGTGTGATAAAATAATAATGTAAAGGCCTAATAATAATAATAATAATAATAATAATAATAATAATAATAATAATAATAATAATAATAATAATAATAATAATAATAATAATAATTATAATATTAATAATAATAATAGACTGGCATAGCTGAAACGTAATTTTTATGTACTGTAATTATTATATTATTATATTGGTTGAGGAAAGTAAAAAAGGGGGAGGGGGTGGATATTTTGTTTGTAGTACCGGTATATATTATATTGGCGTGGTGAGGGGTGGCGGGGTCTTTTTAAAATTAACAACAATAATTGTTCTTTGTTAGGAGGGGGCGCTTGGGGTCTTAATTTATAATCATATTATAGTCTATATCATATGAAGAGCAGATGTATTGCCAAGGGCATCATTAGAAAATAATACACTGACACTGGGGATCGACATTAATACATGTAGCCTAGGCATGAGCTATAATCATTTCGACCTCTTCAACTTCAAAGCACAGACGGACTCTTGTGGGGCCTTCAATTCCCGAAAACAGCCATCGACGCACTGGATTATAATTGACACCACGACGCAGCATATGGGCCATGGGTACAAAATTTGTAGCCTACTTTTTCATAGAGCTAATGTAACAAATAAATCTCACTGGTTGTGTGGTCTTTTGTCTTAAACTTGTATCACAATCCTTGACATTAAATGCTGTTGAAACCACGGGCCTACAAATCAATGCTACTATTGGTGCAAAAATCGGGATTTTCCAAGATTTTGGCTGAACGCGCCTCTGTCGCGGATCGATTAAAAAGAAAAAGAAACAAAAAAATAATAACTTAATTATCCCCAAACGCCAAACATCAATAATTATAAGCAATAAGTGAACTGTGTAAACTTGTACTTTTTAACTAGCGCATCAAATGACAATAACGATATCCGAGCCCCATCAAATTATTCGCACTAATTTAACCTTAAATACGATGTTTACACGTCTGCATTACTCGGAATAAGACTAGGGCTGTACGTAGCCTACATAATTATAACAAGGTAAAAGACCTATTCAATAAAAGACCCAAGCCGAGGTCATAAAGGGGGTAAATGTAAGTTTCCTAGTCAGGAAGATCTCGACTGTTCTCAGTCTCAGAGACAATAGAGTGCACAAGCGGCGTTATCAGCAGATTGTATCGGAAAGCTGACTCCCCGCCAAGAATGTGTGCCGAGAGCTTATTACGTTTTAGGTTCCGGGGGACAATGTTTACACTGACCGAGTTCGTGTACAATATAAGTGTATTGGCGGGTTTGGTCACTCATGCTGGAGTTATTCATAGTCATCAGCTGTTTCTCCGCACGTGATGTGATTATGCTAGCGAGGTTATAAATAGCAGTCGCTGAGTTTCTTTCTTCAATTCATCAATAACGTTTGTATCGTTCGGAATTGTTTCTCTCTACACTCGTGATCAATAAATATATAAACACAACATGAAGGACATTCTGTTGCAATGCGCAAAAGTTCTTTGGGACTTTTCGAGAGTAAACCATGTACTGAAGAAGGTGAGTAAAACTATAACGCTGTTGGCAATTACTCGACCAGACTATTGACATTTCTTTTAATTTCAAACATTTGCTTTGTTTGTAACCCACGCTTACATTGACATACAATTATAATGTTCTCGTTCTTCGTCTTAGTTTTTTTCGTTTTAATTAATAACCATGTCCACAACACTTAAGGAAAAGAGATGTATTTTTGGACGCCTTTTAAAACCGCTTTCGAAGATGTAATATTAATAGTAATGACAATGCATGTAATAATCATTTTTTAAAAGCGCTTTCATCTCATCATTGTGTGTGGGTGGCCTTGATCTACAAGGTTTGTGTAGCAGCCTATGTGTATACACCTGTTTGTTGTTGTTGCTTTTTTTTTTTGCACCGAATTGTAGGCCTATAAGTGAATTCTAACATTTTTCTCAAGAATTCTTCTTTTCCTACCTATCTAACTCTAACCACTGGTTATCCATTTTTATTTTTTATCTTGAGCAACCTTCTAGCTCACACGGACATACGAAACACGCGCTCGAGCGCGCTTACACACACAATGGGAGCGATGACATGCCTGTTCTCTCTCTCTCTCTCTCTCTCTCTCTCTCTCTCTCTCTCTCTCTCTCTCTCTCTCTCTTCTC